CCCGCCGATAGAAAATTGTCAAAAGATTTGGTACGGTCTCCTGAAAAATTGATGGAAAAAAGTGATCCTAATAGGGTTTTATCCCCTGTTAAGAACATCGCACTTAGATCAGACATTGTGCAGGTGATTGGTGAAGAATCGAGGAAAACTAAGAATACTGAGATCACCATGGGCTCCAAGAAAGGTGTTCGTAGCTTAGAGAGACTAATCCAGGACAAGAGATTGACTCCGGAAGGAGCTGAGGAAGACTCAAGGCCGGCCTCTAGCGTAGACATGACAACCATGAGAAGGTTCACAGATGCAACAGGAGAAAAAGGGACCGTTACTGTTTCCACGGACAAACGTAAGAGCCCAAAATCGATTTCGACGAAAGTCTCAACAAAATCTTCTATAGAAAAGGCAGTATTGAAGGACAATGAGAAAGAGGATGTGGTTATGGAAGGCGGAGGCAAAGACGAGAGGGAATTTCAGAGTGTTTTCATAACGACCGGAGAGAAATGCTTTTCGGAGGAAGGAGACACGAAAGGGCAACTTATTGAAATGACTCATGCCGCAACGGAGGAGAAGCAACTTGAACAATTCAGTACGAAAAAAACAGCAATGATCAATTTCGAAGGTTTCCCCTTGTCAAGGAAAATGAGCGTGTCACGGTCTATCCACGACACTGTTGATGATATTGTTCAGAAAATGTTGGACACGACGGGCGAGCCAACTAAAGACCTCGCTCATTCTCGTCCCTCGTGTCTTGGGTCGTGCAAAGAGTTCAGGCGTGACAGCGAAGGAAGCCTTGGAATGCAAAGGCTCAGTAAAGGGAGGCTTCCCACTGGCAAGGTTTCCAGAACAGTGATAGACACTGTGGACTTCATGGTTCAAAATGTTTCATCATCTGACAATTTAGGTTCACGGCAAGGTTCTACTGGACACTTAAGTGGAGGTAAGTTGAGTAAGGCTGTACAATTTCATAACACAGTATCTTATTGAATACCGAATTACTAATTTTCCTTTTTGTCTATCTTTTTCCTCCACAGGCGTATCAAGAGCTGTCTCCTCTATGGAGAAATTATCCAGAGGTTCCACCTCAGCACAAAACATCCCATGTGGCTCTGGAATGAGTCCATCTCCACCAACTAGCCTCCAACCAAAAGTACCATCTCCGAGGAGATCTCTGTTAATTGCTACCTCATCCCAGGACTCAGTGGGAATCCGTGCCACCCAATCAGATTCTAGCATACTCAGTTTGTCAAGTGATACAGCCGCTGACCTCAGACATAAAGTGTCGGGTGCATGGCTTGATGGTGCTACCGTCGCAAGTGGGGTGACGTCTGATAGGGATAGTCCCCCAGTACGACCCTCCTCGGGTCCACCTCACTCACAACATAGGCGAGCCTCGCAAGGAAGTCTTTCGGTGAAAAATTCCTTGGATGGAGTTTGCCTTGAGAGGAATAACTCAGTCGATAAAGAGAGTTAAATTTCAAAATACGAATGTTTGAATTAATTTTTTGTTGGACTCTTTTTTTAAAATAATGTCTTGCCAAATCCTTGTAAAATAATTATCGAATCTGAACACTTACCATTTTTTTTTTACGTTGAGCAATATTGACATTCTCTTTCCTTGTTACTTCCTTAATTCTAAACAGAGTCAATCGAACCAGATATCAGTTCAATAAATCCGTTTGTTTAATAGAGCCTTTGTTTTTTTTCAATCAACACCCCGCCGCCAGATGATTTTTACCGAGGTACTTTTAAGTATTTTTGAATATTTAAAACATTTAAATAATTAAAAATACTCATCGATGCTTTTCAAAACAAACAAAGTACATTCTTACTGAGTCCATTCTGCCATCAGCCCGCGACAGCATCTTGCATCATTAACCTCTGATTCTTAAGGATGACTAGTATCTAATTCTCTTCACCCCTGAATCGAAAATTAAGGTCACCAGAATTAAAAAAAAAGATGAAACTCTTGATTGTTGAACAATTCAATTCTCCTGCTCAGCGCCTTAGTAAATGTATAAAGAACAATCTGGAGAATTTACATACTGATGTTAAGGTGTAAAGTAACAGCAGTGGTCGGGCACTTCGCTATCTGCACCACACTCTTCTTCCCTTTCCTGGCTGATGTGTTCTGCGACAGATCACGTTTGTTTCTGATGCCATCTAGTCTTATTTCTACTAGCACAAATTAATTGATAGATTCCTCAGAAGAGTACAGGAAGATAGAAGTGGACAGCTCTAGGTGACGGTCTCTGCCCCTTTTCGCCTGTTTAATCGTGTAGCTGTGTACACTCGTTTCTTTCGTAGCTCAAGTATTGTTCACCATCTTCGAGTTTCTTTGAAAAAAACATAAAAAAGATAAATCACGGTTCGGCACGGACTATATTTTTCTTTTATTGAAGGTTTGGTTTATAGACCACTTAGATTCATTTATCTCCTATTTGTCTATCAGTTTAATTTTCTTACCGATTCTGCGGGGCAAAGGCCTTAGTCCCACTCTTATCGTAATTTTTTCAGCCCTCTCAGCATTTCTGAACATTTACTTCCATCTTTTTGAGAGAGAATTTCCTTCTGGTCACGTCACAAAATATTTATGCCAAAATATTACTACTATGATCGTCTTAACGAGTGGCCTCTTGTATTACTCATTTCCACGAGTGACATCCAAGCTGAGCCGGAGATATTGCAGCGCTGATGGAAGACAGTATTCAAAACCCAGACAATATCTAAAATTATACAAAAACATCTCCGCCCATTGGCTAAGCCATGTATTGTTGGGGCTTTACTGATAACCATAAATTAAAAGGATTTATTTTGTCGGCGGCTTTTGCATATGATTTTCTACTAATTTGCATATCTTGAGTACCTTGCGTAGGTAGTCAATTCATATCTTGATGTCCGTTCGGTGCGTGTAGTTTGTAGACATCGTAATCCTCGGAGCTTGCGTTTCAGCATTTGGCGCCAATCTTAACATTTTTCCATCGAAGAATTTGCCGCATCTGTTTCTGCGCTAAATTAAGTGGTATCTATTTTGGTGCGCGATTTATATTGCGTGATTCTTCAGGGTGACAAGCGACAAGATTCGAGGCGATCGTGAAGGAAATCACGCCAATTTAATTCAGAAAAGCACACAGATTTATAAGGTGAGTTGTTTTCTCTTTCGTTTGTTTACATTTCTGCCTTCAAACTGCTGAAAAATTGCTCTTGGAGCAGTTGATAATGTGCATAGCACTTAGAGCTCGTGGACAGAGTACCAAACGAACATTCGAACATGCAAACAGTGGAGAACGCTGCCCTATATTGAAATCTAACTTTCTGTTTTTGGTAAACAAGTCGGTTTTCTCTTCTCTGGATCAAAGACCTTAGAATGCAAATACCTTTTGAGAAACTCATAGTCAAACAATGAAATTCTTTGTTATGAAGTGGTATTTGTACGTTATATCAAGGAAAATATTTAACACATGCAATCGGTATGCCATTTAGTTTCATTCGAACAAGAACCGTAAACTTAAGTTAATGATATGAGTATTCTGAAAAGCGGTAATTAATCTTCACACTTGAAGCTAAATCAGAGAGGTCTGGTTTAAGGTTATCCTATTTAAAAATGGCCCTCGATCCATGGTAATTCTTCGATGGGTCAAGTTTTTGCCGTTGGAGGTACATCGTTTAAAATCTATCTCTAACTGAGCTGTCATTTCGTTTTAAAATATTCTCTCTCTATTTTTCCGTCTTTGTTCGTTATTGCTTTTGATTTACCTACTATGTATGTAAATATTCGTTGCTCTTGAGCGTCACATATCCCTGGTAGTGTGGAAAGCCAATATAGCGTACAATTTCCTTTTGAATTCTCGAAATAGCTCCATCAGAGTACTTTGCAATTTAGAATAAACCTGTCGGCTTGCAGTTAAGCCGATTGTTGTTGATATTTCTCGCAATCTTGTGAACAGTCGTCTTTAAACTTTATTGCTCAAGTTAGAAATTCGATCGAAAATTTACCAAGATCCTTATCCAAAGCAGCGATAATGAATTATAAGTTTTGATACTTCTTTCATGATTTTTTCAGTTCCTTGTGTTTAGGTAGCAATTTGGGGAAATTAAATCATTTTTGGGCTTAGAAAAACATAAGCAAATCGAAATCATGCCGTGAAAATTATTGGCGTTACAGACCTCACCCTAATGAAACATTTGACCTTTTAGCATTTAATAGAAAGTAAGATTTAAAACAGTGATAACAGCAAATGAGTTCTTTTGTCGCCCACGAATAGCCTTAAGTTAATTTGAAAGATCTTTCAGCATTTCATTTGAGTTATCACTAATTTTCTGTAAACGGGTAGATGATAACAGTTCATCCTTTTCATTTAAAAAAGTTAAATCGAGAATTATGCCTGGTTGCAATTTTACAAAAGCGCTTGGAGCTAGATTCTCTTGAAAGGCCAACATGAAGAGTTTTCGAAACCGGCCGCACTTCTGAGTACAAGAAACCACGATTGCCTGCGTGAATTTCGAAGCAAGAACCTCCTATCTCAGTTGATTCATTTGTCAGTTGATCTTTAATACTTTATGGTGTGATTTTTTTTGTCAATATTCTTTTGTTTATCAGGTATGGTACTTTATCTAAGATTACTCTGACAATTGATGGATGGCCAATAAATCTTGTTTCTTATGGTTCAAAAAGCTAAAGGAAATGACTTATCGGTTCCTTACTCTGAACGTAATATCGCCAGAAACTCCGTCAATGCCGTGAGGTTGTGAAGTTTTAAGCTATTCGAACAAAAATGAAATCTTCGACATCTTTTTATAGTCTTCTCGGAAAAAATCTCTTTCGACGGAATTTAAGATTTAAGATAAATTTATTTCGGAAGAAGAGGAATTCTTTGTTTTGATGCGAACTAAGTCTTCTTCCGGTTCGTGGTCGACGCGGGAAGCATTGCCATGGCAACGGCAGAATTTGACTGACAAGTTTTTGAAAACCGGTAAACCCCTGGGAGGGTCAGTAAGGCCCAATGTTTGTCACCGCGTCGCAATATAGTGTGAAGGACATGAAATCTTTTTGAGTTTGTGAGCAGTTTCACCTCTACTTTTTTGTTTCTGTTTGAGAAGTTGTCAAACCGAAAGAAGTATCTTCAAATCGTAAAATTCGCTTTGTCCATTTGTCTAACCCGGTCGAAGTGAACTTGCAGTTTGTGATCATGTCGATTAGAGGACGCGAATACAACGATGATTCTGCTGCGAAACTTCTTCGTTCCGTCCGACAGCAGGTGAGCTTGATTTTCGTAATTTTTGAATGAGTTAGGCGATATATAAATCATCATAAATCTTTGGTAGTGGTTGTCTGTGGATTTACGTGTGCATTTGCTGTCTTTGTGTAGAATTTGAGGTCGCATTACTTAAGAGTAACTTTCTCGATCGACCATTTTCGTTGAACATATTTAGCGAGTGAGCTTGTAAACACTCTCATGATTTACTTTTCCCTTGTGACAGGAAGCTCACTTTGAAATGCTTTCTCGAGAATTGGAACAAGAGCGCAGAAACGTGGCTCATCAATTGGAAAAGGTAAACTTTGATCTCCATAAAGTTTTGATCGAATACCAGCTTTCCTATCGAACATTTTCGTCTTTCGATAGAAGCTATTCGACGACAGTAAACTTTTAATGGGATTTAACGTCACTTGTTTTTCTATTGCAGTGTAAATATGGCTCCGAAACAGCAAGTGTGAGCTCGATGGGGAGGTAATATTGAACATTTGCTTTGAGCACGGAAACTTACCTGCGAGTAATTTGAATTTATATAAGAACCTTCTCAGCTTGAAATTATTGCTAAGCCATGGGTTTGCTGTTGTACGTTGGTGTAAGGCTATTGTGAGTTGTCTCGAATGCTTACTTTAGATTTTGAAATTCGAATCTACTTTGCCGGTAAACCCCAGCTAAAATCCCCTTGAGATCGGACGGAGGACATCACATTTCACTCGTTAAAACCCATGTCAAGCGAGGGCAGTCAATGGTGACAACTGGTTTAGTAGAGCTTTCACCATTCAGTTTGTTTTTATATTTCAAATATTCCCTTAATTGGTAAAGATTGGTGATTTTTAGAGCATGATTCATAGAGGTTTGCTTTTATATTGAAAGATTTAAAAGCTTTAAACCTATAATGTAAGAATTTTTCTAAAACTACAGTATCTTATGTACGTAATTCCAGGTATTCTGAAGTCTTTAAACAGAAACATTGATAACCAAATTGTTTGAAGTGTCGAAGTTGGATCATTCTTAAAATTTCCTTATCTGTGTTTTACGAATAATATCTCTTGGATCTCGTGCTGGCAACATTCACTTTCCATTAAACTGCGTGAGGAAGGGAGATCTAAGAGATCGTAACGGGTATAATGATTGCTGATTGATTTGATCTCTTAGAGAACTTAAGCTTTTGAGCCCATTAGGGTTTAAAGAAACGTGGAAAGGGTTTTTTTTTTCATTCAAAAACAGTGGTACTGATATTTCTTAATGACTCCTGTGGCCGAAATCGATATTCTAAGATAAATGTGTTTGGATAATTTTCCGTGCAGGTACTGTTTGATTTGTACAAGTGCTATTGTTCTTAGGAGTAAACTATGTCCTAGTTCATCGTCAAATTCTTTGTTGTTTCGTCAAAACTGAAGGACGTTTTCCAGTTTACAATTCATTGTTGTGGTTTTTAGAAAATATTCGTCGCCAAATTAATTTTTTAATTCCTTTTCTGGTTTTTGACGTCAAGTAATAGAGATCTTTGCGGTGTTGCCATTAAATTACATGGAATGTTCCAAAGTGTGAAATATTTTTGGCTGAGGTGTCAAACTGTTGACAGTTTTCTAGAATGTGAATTTCCAGATGTAATTTGTATTTAGCCAAGAAATTGTTTGAAGTTACTGCACAGGATGTACAAGAGCAACTGTTATGATTCCTTTTGGACTGATAGGTTGCCTTGTTTCATTTTCTAAAAGCAGCATTGAAAATGTTTGTGACTAATTAGATTATCTTTTGACAGATACAAGCCTCAGTTTAAAATACAAAGGTTAGGAAACAATTAAAATGTATTTATCTTCCTTTTGCAAGTTTCAATGAACTTAAGGTCATAGTCATAAACTGAAGGCCTTAAATTTTGATGGATAAGGCAGGTTTAGACTCCATTATCTGCTCTATTTTTAATAAGCGACAACATTCTTTCTTTGCTGTGAACATTTTTTCAGACCACGGCGCATAAGTAAAGTTAAAGGAAATAAAGTGAACTAAACTTTTTATCAGACTCAAATTTTCCATTTATAATAATTTGACCTCAATAAACATGGCAATTCCTCTGATATTTAAGTATCGAGGTGCTTCTAATCATGCAAATTTTTTAGTTATAATGAGAACTTCCCTGAAATATCCCCTTATTGGGGAGGATTCCTAAGAAATTTCCTTAAACATGTAGTAAGGAAACTCAACTTAGGTAAAACAATTTGGTATTTGGTTTCAGGTTTTTTTTTTTTCTTTTTGCGATTTATGTTTAATTATCTTGTAGTTGGTGTGTTTTTCCTTATGAGCTAAAATACCTTGCTTCTTTTTTATATAAAGTAAAGGGATTCCATGTTGCCACAATTGATGTCATCTGTGTTCTACTGCAGAACAGATGAATTACTTGTTAAAGGGATGTAAATGCTACAACCTAGTGTTTTCAGCTAAGGGGCATAGGTGAAAGGTAAATGCCAGTCACAATTCTGTCCAGTGGCTTTGTCTAAAGAATGACAACGAAGAAGCTCTAGAAACAAAATATCTTTTTCATGATCAAATTTTTTCACACTAATAAAGTTTTTTTTTCTTTAAGGAAAATTTTTTGAATAAATCAGCTGATACTCTCATTGAAGGTTTTTATGCTTGGATACATTTTAACATATGATGAGGATTTAGAAAGGGCTTGAGTTGCCATGTGATAATACTGACTTGTACATGAGAGATAAAATGTAGAAAGAACTGGTGTGATTATTTGGGATGATGATAAGTTGCTTTTGTCAACAGTTCCACCGATGATTCCTTTGTTTGGCGTGGAAATCAGGGGCCAGGAAGTATTGGTGATGAACAGGATCTGTCAGATAATGAGAGTCAGCTAAGTGGATCAGCTCTTGTTGATTCATGCTTGTGAGTGGGAGAAACCAAAATTGAGTATATGTTCTCTGTTTATTTGTACTTGTACATGGTTGAATTTGTAATAAAATATTCAGTTTTTTCTTTCTAGCTTTTTACCTAGTGCTACAGAATAGGGTTTAAACCCAAAAGTACCTGTCAATTGTATAGTGTAATTTTGCGAGGAGGATAGTCTTGGAAAGGACTGTAAGGTTTTACAATCTGAACAGAGGTCATCATCTGAGTTGCAACACTGATGTTAAAGTTATCATGTATTCTGGACCTAAATTGAATGTAATGTCATTCATGTAATTTCAATATTGTTTTGGCACTTTTATTAATTGTAAATTATCGTCTATATAATTTTTTTAAAGTGGGTATCCTTTTCTTTTGTTTGAAGAACATTGAAAAGGATCTGCACTGTGATATTTGTGTATTTAAATGAGTGTACCTTTGCTGTCAATAATTTGTACTCCTAAGATCTAAACATTTAATTTTCCACACTATACCTTTCTTATATTCTTAACTTTAAGAATCTGGTGTAAAATCAAATGATATCCCCCAGTTGATATCTTTTATTTGATGGTGCTTTAGTGATATAACTCCAAATTAACTCAATCAAATTGTTAGTGCAGTATAAGATTACAGCAAAGGTGGACATGGAGTGAAACACAACTTGACACATTTAATGTAACATAGCTGCAACCAAATCTCCTGTTTACTTGCTTGAGGTAGACTGACATGCTCTAAAGTAGATTTGTAAACTTGTTAGAGGGTATGCTATATCAATTCTGCCCCTCTGCTAAGGTTCCTTGCCTTTACCATTGTCCTGTGATAATGTCCGCATGGCTTAGTGCCACATATCCACTGTTGTCCTCCTGGGACAACTCTCTTGTTGGAGCTGTGCACTGGATAAGCTCTTTCTTGGCTAGGCTTCACTTTAGCTGTGTTTCTCCAGCATGACTCTATCATATACCTCAATAAGTGCACTACAACAACCATTACATTGTCAACTGCATCTTAGGATTGACTTCTCCTGAGGGAAGTTCTTGTGTTTGTTTTGGGAGAGCTCTGCTTACCTTCCAGTATTTTACCCTCACAGGAATTGCATATGCTGTCTGCATACTCCTCTACCTTATTGTCTTTTTTGTGATCCCTTCCTTCCCCCATCAAATATAATCATTATGGCTGTACACAAATCTGGCAATTGGAGCAGAATTTCCTTCCAAGAAACAGCTCTGATGGAACACATACCAATGAGTAGACAATGCACTGTAATGTTGCAATACTTGCTGAATCAATGGTGATCACTCTTTGGCAAAGGAGTGATATCTGAGAGAACCTCTGTGTGTAACAAATTCATTAATACCACAGGACTCTTCTCAGGTAGTTCAAATGCTGGGGTTTCCCTTTCCTTCATGCATTTCATTTAGCACTCCTTCAATTTCAGGAATTAGAAATCTTTCAGAAATGATTTCAATCCATCGTTTGCATTTTGCACTACCACAACAAGGTTTGCGCAAGGTGTTAGATTATACTCACCTTCAGTGGCATCTTTGTGTAACAGCTTGTAAAGTTCCTTATGAACTTTCTCCCTTAAATTGAAAAGCAACTATCCCTAGGCTAGTAATTTGGCAAAAAGCTGAACATTGAGGTCAACAAGCAACTAAATTTGCTGGTATTTTGCTTTGAACTTATCATGGTTTGCACTGTTCACTGGGTTCTATTGAACCTGGAACTCCAGGACTCTCAGCTTTACAGCCAGTTTTCTGCCAAGGAATCTTCTCCAGTTCTTTGCTTTACAGTTAATTCTGCTAAGATTATCTCTGCTGAAGTAATATTGGCTTCGAATGTCCTGATATTATAAAATGGACTTTCTGCTCCATACAGCTTTTGCTGTTTCTTTTGTCCTTTCTGCAATGCATGGACATTCACAATGGATCCGTAGACAATAACATTTTTCACTGGTATCCCTCCAAGTTTATTTGTGATTTACACTCCTTTCACAAGTACTTTAGAGCCCCAGTTAAATGTCTCCCTTGTCCACATCACCAGAATTTATCCTGCAGCTGGTAAATTACTATCCTTGCTCTGCCTCCCTGGCTTCTGCCAAAACATTGTCCTTATTCTTCCTTGTTGCCTTCCCCCCCTTCACCTTTTGACGGCATGTACCATGTCTATCATCTGTTATTTAGGTTTAATGTGGCTTTTGCAGTACAAATTGTTCCATTGTACTGCACTTGGAATAGGTCACTGTAGATCCCCAGTGACATGTCTGTCTTGTCCATGTCACAAGATTTTGTCACTTGACAAAAGAGGAATTGAAAAAGGTGTCCGATAATGGAGATTTGACAGTTTAGGGGAAGCATCAAATGGGTTGATTTGTTGTTTAATTTGTGGCCATCTTTGTAGTTTTCTTGCCATGAACAATACACATAGAAATAATTTGCGACTAGAGCAGAAGTTATTAGTAGAATATGAACAGTAAGATATTGATAGATTTAACATCAAATTCTCGAAGCTACAATTATACCTAATCTATTGACAATGGAAAGGAGAATTGATATTGAGATCTAGACAGTGAAAGGGATAAATTACTTCCTAACTATATTGTTGACAATATTATTATAAAAAGTGTGTAATTGTTTACAATATCATGTATCTTAATGTAAACTGGAAGTATTTCACTGTCTTTCTTGTTCTAATAGAAGTATTTCACCTTTGAATTTGTGAAACTCCCATGAATGTGACAAATTCGTAAGGTTTAAGTACAATGTGCCTGATAATTCATGTATGAATCCAATACAACAGCTGATACCACAGTGGATAATAAATTATATATTAGTTTTATGTAAATTGAGGGAAAGAAAAACTCATCTCATAATTTCATACAATCCAGTACAAAAACAATAGTTCTAATAATTCTGTATGTAAAGCAAAGATTCTGGCAGGTAAGCTATTGTCATTTAACAAGTTGTTATTATACAGTGTATGTTCATGTAACATAATTGACACAATTCTACAGATACATTTTAAAATGCATTTTACATCTCCCAGTCCTTTGACATTTAATGCATTGAAATGACATTTAAATACAAGGACTACAAAAATATTGTTACATGCTGAGAATTGAAAGGCTGGTTTTTTTCCTTTCCCCGGCTTATTGTTTAAAAGATTAATTTTCATGAAAAAAGTTTGGGTGCAAGGCCAAACTGTGTCTCTGTGAGAGGTATAAGATTTCTCCTTGGGTATAATTCATTAATTATTAAGATATTGATAAGCTAGTAGAAAAAAAACAGTTTGCAGAATGTTTGATCAGTTGCTGAAATCCCTTGTTCTTCAACAAAGTAAAGGTACAAAGCTTTTGATAATATTTAGAGAAACCTCACCCCTATAGTTGTAAGTTGTAACTCAAAGCTGTTCAGAATCAAAACAGTTTTCCTAAACCTTTTTCGTGGTTCATATACTGTTTCCTTGTTGTCCTATGTCTGATTTTTACAATATTATTTATTTTCTTAGCTATCTGTAGAAGTTTTACTGTTTTGTTGAAAGAATATGTCATCTTGTTAAAAGCTCTTGAGTGTTCTCACAAGTATGCTACCATGCTGTATATAGAGTATGTCACACAGTAGTTTTAAGGAACTTTTTTGTAATGCATTGGTACAATTTGATTTTTTTTTATGTGCAAGTTCAATTAGCATCTTTTTGTAAAACTTATCCAAGTAGTTATCTTGTTTAAATATGCAACTAACTGAGAGAATAATTATGATTTAACTACGAAATTTATACTAGTTACCAACCATAGTTTTTTCAGCATTGTTAATGTCTGCAAAGTATTTTATCACCTAAAAATTATCTTAAAATGATACTTTATGTGTAGGAGATTTTTGCAAGGTCTTGTTAGTAATAATTATCTTTGTATTGAACATGTTAATGTGCACATGGATTAATATATTGCCCTGAGCAGTAGCTAGCTAGAACATAAAATTAGTTTGAGTGCAAATTAGGCTGAATTATTTCATTTGGGCTTTCTTTGTTACTGACTAATTGGAACATTGTCTGAAATAAGAACAAAGGGGACTTTGGCTGATCTTTAACAAAGGTTAATCATTAAGAAAAACAGATCAAAGATGTGGTACTGTATGTTAAAAAAAAAAAAAAACCAAAAAAACAAGATCACATGCTCATTGTTTTTTGTATGCATGAAAAATTTTAAATCATCAATTTAAATGTGAAATTGTGCCTTACATTTACCTTATACTTTGCATGCGTTAATAACACATGATATTTATACAGGATCAGATCAGGATGAGGTAAATGACACAAAAAGTATAGAAAACTACAGGACATGTTAATGGGAATGAATTAGCAGAATTAGGATTGTTTTTTTTACCTGTTAAATTCATCAGTGGGAAAATATGAGACCATTTACGATGGCAGTTGTTTCTTTAGCTTGTAACTTTATTCCTTACAGAATATGCAACTATTTTTTAGCATCTTGAGGTGAAATTAAACAAAATCGCAGCAATGTGTCCAAGCTATTTGTAACAAGTGCAGTTAACACACAAGCACCTTGGCCTTTTGATTATTTAAAAGTTAGCTTTCTGTTTTCCATTAGGGTTTTTTTTGTTTTTGATAATTCAAATCCCTGAAAGTTTTGAGCAACCTTATTGTATTTTTCGTTGGGGTTCATGTAGTCACCAGGACTCATTTTTCTTATCTTATACTTTATAGTTGTGTGAGAAAAATTCAGTTCTGTAATAGAGGTCATTTATGACCTGTAAGATGGGCTATGAATTTGCTTACCTGCACAATCCCAGGTTATACAGCCTGAGCTGGAAGTCATCATTAATTTATGAATAAACTTACATTAAGTAGCTGCCATCAATCTTCTCCAAAATATATTCCTTTGTCATGATTTCATTCCTAGTAATTTCCACCAGTACATGGATGTACAGTGTATAGGTCTGAGTGAACACTCTGTTGACACTCTGGTTTTACCTTGAACAAATTATCACCATGTTTTCCAGCAAAAATGCTAATCATTCACATGGCATTGTAAATTTTTTATAATCTTTTTGTTTGGAATTCATGGAAAAAGGGAAAAGTCCATGGTAACTAGTTTTATGTGGCCTAATTGAGGTTTTGTGGTTTATTCAACAAGAGTGCCATGATTAACATCACAGTGAAAAAGAGAGTGTATTTAATTCACAAGATTAATATTTGTAAAAAAAATTTAACACAGAGTTTGAGGGCATTTTGGCTTAGCACATGAATTGAACAGCTTCCAAACTTTCAGTGAAATGTTTATTTTAAATTCATTTGTTTTTTTCCCTCTTAACTTTGTTCTATCCTGTCATGGTTTACCACTACTTTTAACTTTTGTGATGTAAAACAAAGTTTATTCTACAAAAATTGAGATCTGTTAATTTTCAAGTAATGTCAAATGGCATTTGATATTTTAAGGTTTGTAGAATGCCTTATAGAAAGCATATAATGCAATTATAGGCTTTGAACATTTTTTGTTGATGTTTCAGTTTAGTTACATTTCATCAAGGGTGTTAAATAGAATGAAGCATCCCCTATTTTCAAATACGTTTATCAGCTATTATGTTGAATAAAATGTCATGAATCTGTCGTATTTCTGTTTGTTGGAAATTTTGTTTAGTATTATGCTGTAATTGTGTATGAAGTTTAAAAATGTGTTATCTTTTAAAGTATAAAGTACTTTTTTAGATACGTTTAGTTTGATTTGGTTTTTTCTATTTGCAGGAAAGTTCTCCAGGAAAGAGGTCTTTCTGACTCAAGGTGCGACAGTTTGTCTGTGTAATAAAAAAATTTCGATGTACATTTACTGAGTAATATATAGATTTAGCCAAGCCTAAAAGGGGAGCTGGCATTTTATTTTTCCTGCACGTCTTAAGGGCACAACACCTTGCCCTGGCCAGGACTAGAAGCCAGGTTGTCTGACTCGGAGCCCAGTGCACTGACCACTGGACTACTGGAAAAAGCTGTGGCATTGGCATGCCTGTGGTACAGTTAATCATGCACGTTAAAAGTAGCACCTTGTGCAGTCGTATGGTCGTACATACAAATTTTTTCAGCTTCATGGGTTACTACTATTTTGTTTAATTATGGGGCTATGCTCTGCAAGCTCTGCTAGTACTTAAAGGAAACATTAATTTCATAGCCAGGGATTTATTATAGAACATGATTTTAATTGTAAAGCCTTGATAGGGAAGTTGATGGGTGAAAAATTATTGCTGCTAACCAGAAAAGTTAGACAGTGTTATGAACGTTTGTTATGGAGTTGCATGACTTCCATGTGGAAAGTCACATGTATTTGATAGATTTTCCTTTCACATTATTTGTGTCTTTTCCTGCCCTTAATTGTTAATCAGTGAAAAATGTTGAATGTTTGTCTGTAAAGTAGGTATTTTTGTGTTGATGAGAAATTGTGTAATTCACTCTAAAATGAAGTGGTAAAAACCATATGGACTAAATTTGCCATTAGTAAAATGTTTTCATCAAAAGTGAGACCAAACTAAGATATTTAATATGGAACAAGCCTTTGTCTAATTTACTTCCAATGAGTGAAGTCAGTTCACAGTGTTTAATGGAATTCTCCTCAGGTTTCGTAGATTTTCTTCTCAGTGGGTGACAATATTTTGGCAATTTGTTTTTTTGACATTCCAACAAAAGCACAGTATCATTGTCGTAGATGTGAAATATAAGCAAATGAACTGACACTTCTGATTAGTAGTTTGTAAAAAGGTGAACATAATTCTATGTGTTCTTTTACATGCTGCTTACCCCAGCTGATTTTGTAGGATTGCCATCACATAGAAGATCAATAAATGATTTGTAGTATCATGTGGTGTTGTAAACCCTATGCTAATCAGTGACTGGTGTTAGTACAATCAGTTTTAAATAATTAAAATGTAGACCTCTTTTCAATGCTTATTTTGGCACAGGGATGACCAAAACCCTCTCTATGACAAAAGCATGGATCATGGAAACTCTGCCACAGTATCAGGACCACATTCTAATGCTCTCATGAACAAGGACTGGGAAAAAGATCTCATGGAGGCTGGTAATTACTTAATATATTTATAATTTTGCCATTGGAAAAAAATATACCTTAACCCTTAACTCCCATGAGTGATCAAGATAGAATTTCTCCTTACAATATCAAGCAGACAAGTGATGAGAGTAAAGACAAATATCAGTCAGGGGATAATAAGTTGATCCAGTACAAAATTCTCAGAACTAACATTATTAGAATTGTATGACAGGAAGTAAAGAGAATTACTTATGAGTTCTTAGGAGTTGAAGGGTCAAGGGTGTAAATGCATTGTGTGTGATATTTCAGTAACTCCTTATTTCAATCATAAATTTTCATGAGGTCTCATTTATTTTATTAGTTAACAATAAGACAGTGAGCTTGAGATTTCTACTTCATGATAACTGATAAGGGCAAGGTGTAGCTTACTAGATTGCGCCATTTATGATAGAACATGAGCAGATTTCTACTAATTTACAGTATACAAAAACATCAGTGACATCTTTTAAAAGCACTAATATGTCTTCTGCTTTTTCAGACCTTACCCCAGGACAAACAGTGAAAAAGGTTGTCACTAGGACAGAAATGCGGACAGTACGAACACTGGATGGAAAAGTAGTTGAAGATACATATGATCCAGGCAGCACACAAACCACTGTAGAGCGATACACATTTGACAACAGAGCTGTCAATGGAAGCGCGCCTAGAACAATAACAAAACAGTATGTGCCTGGAGATGAGTACCGATCAGGCAGGCGGGGCCCTGGATCTCACTCTTCTGTGGAGGACTATCGGACACCCTATAGTCCAGGAAGCCAGAGTGGCTATGCTTCAGGGGAGGGAAGACGGACGCCTACGCCTAGTAACCCAGGAAGTGTGTCGGATGGTTACCAGACACCAACAGGTAAGAAATTGTAAGACAATTAAGACTCATCTTGATGCAAATGTGTCACATTTAATGTGATTGTCACTTGAAACACACACTAGGTGGTACGTACTGCAGTGTGCTGCAGTGCGAGACAGACAATCACCCGCAAAACCTGACTGCTCAGTTCTTAAGTGAAATGATGTTTCATTAGGGTGCAGTTGTCTGTATAAGTGTTAACAAAACATACTGCACTATTCACCGGGGAGAGATTATCCAGTGGATAGTGTTATCCACTCTTTGATTAACCAAGCCAAGGAGTTTAACAGTTCTTAATAGCTTGTTCCATCTGTTGTGTAATGTAACAGCTGCTTTTTTATGAGGCTGTAATTAGGGGGGACTAAGAGCATTCAGTCATTGCTTTGATTAGAAAATCAGTCAGTTGTTATCTGGGAGGGGGGTAGCCTGGGTGAGGTGTCCCTCTGAGACCAGCTACCAAGCCTACAAAAAATTACTGTTGAGAATTCAAAGTTCCCTTTATCTAACTTTCAAAAAACACTCAATAACCAAACTTATTAAGCCGAACAATAAGATGGCCAACCATATTTAATAGTCAATTGCTTAAGTGCAGTTTGTTCAGCTTGTAAATCATTAATCTTTTTGAACTCCATATTCTCATAGTACATACATGTGCAGTGTTGTCATTGAAACCAGATAGTAGTAAAATCTTGTTTTCCTCAAGGTTCACGAAATTCATCTCAGTCCAGTTCAGTGGGAACTAAAGCTTATGGAATGACAAGTCAATCATTACCTCGCAGCACGTCTTCAACCCCCCGAGGGACTCCATCCTCATCAACAACCATGCCGCGGTCATCAAGTACCTCAGGAAGACAAAGCAGTATGTATATGTAATCACTTTTATTAGTGTATTTAACCCTTTAAACCCTGAGAATGATTAGCATCTAACTTCTCCTTACAGCAATACTGCTGAATAATTCATTAAGATCATGAGAATATGGATTTCCAACATTTGAAGCTTTGATTGTTAAACAAATTCTCCCCGTGAATACCAAAGGAAATTTATAAAGTAGAGTATGGAGAAAGTGGATACTGATGTTTAAGGATTTAACCCTTTACACTCTAACATCAGTATGCATATTCTCCATACTGTTCTTTATACGTTTCCTAAGGTGCTGACAAGGAGAATTTGTTTACCGATCAAAAACTTCTTTGGTTGCTGATAATTTCCTTCATTCTCATGACCTTAATGTGTGATTCAGGGTGATATTTTAGGGAGAAATTAGATGCTAGTCAGGATAAGGGATAAGGGATAAGGTATCTCCCAAGTGTACTGTGTGATTCTACTCTTGAGTTGTTCTATCAAAATGTCTTCTTATTGTTTCCATTTGGAAAAGGAGAATATTGTACAAAGATGGATTTTTATAGATATAATTGAAGTATTTTTAAGGTAATTTTTTCCCGAGAAAGTACATGTATATGTTTTTCAAACTTGCAGAAAATGTTCAGAAGTTAAATTTCAAAATCCATTACTCATAGGCGTACTGATTGTTGACAAGCTCACATAAATGTAGCCCAATGTGGGTCTGAAATAGGCACACAGAAATTTTTCTTTTGTGTGCCAAGATTCAGTTCAACAGCATTATTGAATTCTGTAACGAAATAATTGTGCAGCAGAAATGAACACTATTCCAGACTTTTTTGCTGCTGACAAGATGCTAATATGTTCATAATTCTAAGAGAGCAAAATAATTAATTCATCTTTCACTGTGTCTGTCATGTGTTTCAAAACAACTATCCATTTCTCTCTCCTCAGATAGGGTTTTTAATTAAGTTAAAAGGCAATTGGGAACATTAGCATAAAAACCTAAGGCTTCTTGTAGATAGTGTGTTAGATAAGATGATGAATTAAGTGCCTGAGAGGTTGGATATCATTGACCTCTATTGCCTCTATTGTGTTTTTTTAGAGCAGGTGTGTTTTTTGAATTAAAGGTGTTTATTTTTTGATCTTGTCTGTGGCTTTTTTTGAATAATTGATTGCAGTAGAAATTTATGTTGGAATTTGAATTTAAACTAAGATGGATTTGTGGAATGCCCAGTCTCTCTTTATGAGGTTTTTTCCTTTGATTTCGCCTGATGATAAACCAAAAGGTATTTCTGTATCAATTCTTTTGTTTTTAAAAAAGTGAAGTCAAGACCAATGTGAGTTAGGTTTTTACTCAACAGTGAAAATTGTCACCAATGTGTGACAGTAATTTTGAGCATGCTGATTGATTTGTATCATTGTTTTTTTGTGATGTAGCTTCTCTTTTGAAAAATTCACAATTTTGAGAATGTTTTTCACTCTGTAAAGTACTTTACATTCAGTTATGAACTAGATGTGGTTTTACACTCTCATGTTTGGTTTGGTTTTCTGTTTCAAAGTATACTTTTGTGAAAATTAATTCATGGAATTCACCGCTGTCTTCAAACTTAATTCTGAATTTAATTTTTTTTTCCTTTTATGTATGCGTGATTTTTGTTTTCTCAGCATGCATTTGGAATATTTTAAACTAGCATGAAACAGAATATTTTTTACTATAGGAAGAAACTCGTTTTTTTTTTTGATAGTATTTTATATAGTAACTGCATGAAGTTATTTTTGGCACTATTTAAATTTGATGTGTTTTTTAGTTACAGTATATGCTTGAAAATGTGCCATAAGCGTTAATGGATTTTTTTGCTAATTGGATTATAGGGGTAGGTTAGCAGGTGAAAAATGAAGTTCTTTGTTTAGAGAAATGTGTATTCAAACTTCAGCTATTTATCTTTCTGTTGATGCATACAGGGTTGATGAATTAGAAAGAGTCAATTGTGAAGATTACCATAAAGGATCAGCAAATATTCCAATACACAGTTATTAGGGCTAGTATAAAGTGTTGAGTTCTTGAAGTAGCTAATGGAAATTTGCAAATACATTTTCAAGTTCTGGAAAGAGGATGGAGTCTTAACATGACAGAAGAAATTGAAAAATATAATAATTTTTTTGATTTGATGCTGCAAAGAAGTTCTTAATTGATGGTTGAGGTCTTAATGAGGTAGCTGAATTTACCAACTAACCTTTCTGCATCCAGAAGCGACAGAAGGGCATTTATCTTTTCAGTATCAACGTATCAAGCAGAAAGCTGATGAGAAGAAAGATGAATATCAACCAAAGAGCCCCCTTCAACTTTGAGACAAATTTGTTATTTTTCTTGGGCCATGCCATTTTACCAGTAACTTTGAGTCTAAATCATGGAAAGAAATGATTTGTAAAATATGTTTTATTTTTGCCACAAAAAATGTGTACAGACCTGGGGTCTGCCTGCAGCTATAAAATGAATTTACAGTAAGGCTCATAAAGAATTGCAGCCACTTCCAATTCACTCTCAAGGTAATCAATAAATGTGTATCAATACACATGGAATTACAAACTGGTTTTCAGCCGTCTACGTCTGCTTATAAATCCATATAAGCCATCTTGCTGCCCTTTATTAACTTTTAATTACAAGTTTTATTTAGCCTCTTCTATAGTCACAAACACTCTTTGGCAGAAGTATGTGTAACAGGCTATTGCAACCTCTTGATCACTAACAATTGATGCTTGTTTACTAATTAAAAATTCCTTTGCTTTTTATTAGCCACTTATAACCTTAGTATCAAAGTGGGTGATGTCAAGGGATCAGGGACAGATGGCAATGTTTACATCCAGTTGTTTGGTGAGCGTGGGAATACAGCGAAGATCCAGCTGCGACAGGCAGGAGATACAAGAAACAAGTTTGAGAAAGGAAGGACATACAAGTTTACAGTGGATACTGTTGATATTGGAAAGGTAATGAGTCTCCCATGTTTCCCCAGGGTTTGGGCACTAGAGGTGAGGGTGTGAGATCTTGCCAGATGATTGTGCTAAGGCTGGAAACTTAACTCTAATAGTGTCTCTCTTCACACATTAGTTTAAATGATTAGTGGAAAACTGTCAGGGAAGCCTGATAAAACACTGGGAGGCAACCTCAGCATGACAAAGTAGTCACCAAAAATTTGTTCTAGCCAGCGCAGTGAGCAAAAAAGTTGCTGGTAGGAAAGCTGACACTATGTTTCTGATTAAACTGGCAGGTTGACAGAATTAAGCTAAGCCATGATCACACTGGATATGGGTCAGGATTCTTTGTGGAGGAGGTTGAAGTAGAGGTTCCTGCCCGACAGGATAGAGTGAAGTTTCCTTGTCGCTGCTGGTTGGCTCAGGATGTTGATGATGGGAAAATTGAGAGGGAGATGTTTGCAGTTACTCCTCTGCCTAGTAAGTGAGACAATTGAAACGTTTTCGCCTGACTTTTGTTGGTTTTGCACGGCTCTTATGCAAAAAAATTTCAAGTTTAATGGCATTTTAAGATTTATTTTGTCCCCACATGGGCATTTGTAGTTGTAAGTGTTATTTTTGAGACAGGCAGCTAATCTGACTCATTCTTTTTGACAGAAAAGAATTGCAGGAAGAGGCACAGTGCCCACACTCCCTCCCCCACCCCTCCCTCTACTAAAATGTCTCAACCAAGCTAAAATTCATTGTTTGAAGCTAAAACTACCTTTAGAAATATTAGTTCAGGCCTTTTTTATGGTATATTTATTTCCTTTGTAGACAGTTTTCTTAACCCTTTTACTCCTAAGATCTGATTGTAAATTCTCCTCTCTGGCTGCCACACATTTCCTTGTACATTAGCTATGAGAATTTGGTGTTCCATCAAGACTACAAATTCAACCTGATAAGTGTATGGATGTTGTAGGGAGAAGTTACTTTGTTATCACTTGTGGAAGTTTTTAAGGTTGCCATACATGTATTTCATGATGTTATTCAATGTGTGCTCATATTTTGGGTAACTGAATTTTTTAGACACGTCGTACACAATGTCAGTCAAACTTGGTGACGTTCTTAGCCCTGACACCAACCTTTATGTCCAATTGTTTGGTGAGAAGGGAGAAACAAGCAAGATAATGCTGCGGCCTGTTGGTTCATCGCTCAACAAATTCGAAAAAGGCAGAATGTATAAGTTTACTGTGGAGACCGTAAATATTGGAAAGGTGGGTTGTTTTAGTGACGTGTTGGGAATGTCAGTCATAAAGGCTCGTCTGCCGATTGTGTAAACTGTGTCATTGAATTCAGGGTTCCAGATGAACCTGGAAAAATCCTGGAGAAATTAGGATTTTTCCTCAAGGGCCTTGGGAACGTAAGAAATTATCTCTTCTCGCTATAATCTTCACAAACTGCCAAAATTTCAAAAAATAATTCTCATATTGACATTTATGAAATAACTGCTATACTTCGAGCGCCCTGATTCGTAAAAAAAACCAGGGAGTCTAACCCTTCCACTCCTTAAATTTTATTGTCAATTCTCCCCTCTTGAAGCCACGCATTTTCTTGTAAATGAGTTACGAGAATTTGGTGTTAGATCAGGATAAAAATCTCCACCTGATGAGTTTAAGTGTTCTCATTACATGTTTACTGGAAAATCTATGAACATCATAAGGAGAAAATGCATTGAATCACTTTTGGGAGTTAGATATAATTCTATCATCTTTCAGATCGAGAAGCTGCGTATTGGTCATGACAGCAAAGGAGAAGGGAAGGGTATATTTGTGGAGGAGGTGGAAGTAGCGCCTGCAGAAGCTGACCGGGCCCTCTTCCCTTGTTACTGCTGGCTGTCAGAGGGGAAAGGAGACAGGAATTTAGAAAGAGATATACTTCCGGGTCAGCCCAGACCTCCACGGCCGAGTAAGTTATGCTAAGACAAACATCCTTTTATGAGCAGAGGAGCAATCCTTGAGAGGTTGTCAGCACGATCAGAAGATGTAGTAACTGTTGTTCATGAGGGCAAAATGTGCTCTGATTAAACTCTTGTGAATGGGCATTTCTTGTGGGCAATTTCCATGTCGCAGTTCAAGGGATCGTTTTGCGAACGTTCTGGTAAATCTAGGAGCAGGATGTTATAACATAAAATCCACATCTATTACCCTATTCACATCAGCAAAATACGTTTTGTTAAACTGGTTTCTGCTGAATGAAAATCATAAACAGAGAACTGAAAAACTTAATTTTCCATAGGATTCAAGTACTTGCTAACTTGCATTTTCAATGTGCTACATTTTAAGTCAAAAGATATAAGCCTAAGTTGTTTCTACGTAGAAAAAAAATAAACTGTGTTTGACAAAACAACTTTAATACATGTTTAAGCTTTGGTGTGAATGGGATTTAAGAAATCGAGATGAAGGCCGTAGCTTATGCATCAGTTTACTTAATCTGTGATGATCTTTCTATAGATACGTCGTATCACTTAGCAGTAAAAACAGGGGAGATGGCGATGGCTGGTACGGACGCCAACGTGTATTTCCAACTAATTGGTGATGAAGGGGAAACAGAGAAGATTCAGCTGCGCCAAGGAGGAAAAGCAGAAAAACGATTTGAGAAAGGACGAGTAGACAAGTTCATAGTGGAGACTGTGGATGTGGGAAAGGTGCAGTTCATATTTAGTCCTTCATGCTTTAACTCCTTTAAGCGATCAATAAGTGATTTCTCCTTATAGTCTCAATACACTTTCAAGCAGACAGGTTAGGAGAAGACAGGCAATTTTAAAGCACGGGTTTATTGGTTGATTGAACATCCAATTTCTTTGAATTGGAATAAAAAGAAATGTATACAAGAGTCGAGAATATTGTTAAGATTTTCGGAGTAAAAGGATAAACCTCTTCTCATATTTGTTGGCTTGTTCTGAGAATGTGATGTTCTATCCAAAACATATCCAATCGTGGATGGTTTTTCTTAATTCTCCCCAACGTTGTTTATTTTCCTTGCTGTTTATGCCATTTTAATCTGAAACAAAGGATAATAATTTGAACCGCGGGAAGGCCAATTGAAGAAGATCTTTAAAACAAGCAAAAATCAGCTCATAAACGTCACAGAAGACAGTAGCAAATAGAGACCCCCTTACTTTATGAGGAGCTGAAAGGAAATAGCGCGTCTAGTACTGATGCCTTTCATGTTGTTTGTGTTTATAACAGGTTCAAAAGCTGCGTATAGGACATGACAACAATGGCACTGCTCCTGGCTGGTTTCTGGAAGAGGTTGCCGTGGATGTCCCAGCCCATACTGAGCATTTCATCTTCCCATGTCATCGGTGGCTCGCTAAGAACGAAGATGATGGCAAAATAGAGAGAGATTTAGTTCCAGGTCGTGTAACATTTCTATCGGTCTCAGTTTTGTAGTTGTTTCACCGTAAGTACACGGCGTGCCTCCCTTTTCAGAGTTCACCAGACGCTGGCTTATTTTCTTTGCCGTTTTCTTTGACTCACGCGCGGATTAGCGAGTGAGGGAGTGGTCTTCAACAATAATAACAAAACTACGCTTTACGAAAGGCGTGATTTTATTGCATGGAATTTTTTTTTTTAATTCTAAAATGTAACTCATCAGCCAGCGATCAAAATATTGGGAATATCATGTAAATTTGTCGCCAACCTTTCTTCACGGGCATGCAAGAACCATTAAAATTCCCACCCTTCTTCACATCCAGCAAGTGACTTCATAGCTCAGATGGTTTTCTCGTTCGACCGTTATTTGAAAGACATGGGTTCGAGTTTACTTGTGAGGATCCATGCGTCACGCATGTTAGATTTGACTGACAAACAACACCTTACTTTATTACTTTACTACTTTATATTGCGCAAACGCATCACATATTTAGGTTCCTCACCTAGCATTATATAGGAAGTTTGTCACCATGGACGTAGTTAAACAGCCAAGCCTGCCACGAGTCTCCTATAGCTCAGTGATAAAGCATCCGAAGGATTAATTAGAAGGTCGTAGGTTCGGCCCCTATTGGGGGCACTGGGAATCTTTTTTTCCGATTGCACTTGTGTCATGCACTGAATAACTTAGTCTTATAACGCCTTACTCGACTATAAAGATGACTTCCTCTTGGGTTGCCGAAATGTCAGTCATTACTGACAAGAATATTCCTTCTCAGAACCACCGTCACTCGGCCGATCAGACGTCTTGATCAAATGTTCAATTCTCTTACCTCTGTAGGAGTTTCTATTCCATCTGGCACAGCCTCGCCCAGCAAGACAACCATCACTACAACCATTGAAAGAACCACAACAAGTGAGAATTACAAACTACCTCCCCCTGTGGCCAAGAAACCGCTCATGGACGACCCACGGTACGGTTCACCTACAAAGAAGGTTATCACGGATGAACTCAGATACACTACAGTACCACCCCCACAGAAAACAGTCATGGAGGAGGTGCGTTATTCCACCACCCCTACAAAAAGGACAGTGATCGAAGAGGAGTACAGGTGAGAGAAAGAATCTAGCGTAACCAGCCCATTCTTAATTTTTGGATTCGAAGGTCAGTGCAGTGTTTCACTGAATGTTGGAAGTAAACTGAGATTGCGTTGGGTTTGCTCTATACCTCGCTCAGTGATTGTGCTAGAAATTCTCGCCATCAAATGGCGACTTAATCGTTCGCTTTTGTACGCGCTTGTGTTATTATTCATTCTGGGTAATATTTACCTTGTTTCATTTTGGCCTTTGGTCTGATTTTACCCCTCTGGATAGAAATGCGCCTTAGTTGGTAGAACCAGTGCAAATGCTGTCGAAGGCTTGTCTTTTTCGGGCCTTTTTCCATGTACTGAATTAAAACAGTGTCTACTATGTACTCTTTGTCGCTGATTTTTTTTGTTTGTCATTTTTATTTCAGGTACACTACTCCTAGAAAGGATACGGCCCCTCTACCTCCCCAGAGAAAAATTATCGAAGAAAGAATGGTTACCAGAGAGATGACAACACCGCCCGTGCAAGGAGCCCCACCCACCGGGCCGCGGGAACAAAAACAGCGCATTACACATGAGGAGCTGACTGTAGAAGAGATGCGTAAACAGGGGGGAGCCCCTATGCCTTACTCCGCCCCTCCCCCCATGAATGAATATCGTTACGAGGAAGAAATGTTGCCTCCTCCGGATGAGTATCATTTTGAAGAAAAGAGAACAGAGATGGTGCCTGTCCCACCGGACTCAATGGATAGCAGGAAAAGTGAGTAAATGATAATCAAAACGTGCTGAGTGTGGCTTCTTTGGTTCACGGAGTAGGATTTCCTCTGCCATATGATCTTAAACACGGAGGCGCGCTCCGCCCCTTGGTTTTAGCTTAAATGCAAATTAGGCCGCGGTAATATTACGCGATGGCGTAGCGAATCATTTCGAATTTCAAATTTACCGCCATTAGTGAAGACGGTTTCTATTGGCAAAAGAAGATACAAATCTCAACAAATTCTTCCATTGTGATGGAAAGGAAGAAACTTATGAGAGCTTTTGAGAAATCCGCCTGCTCTTCACTTGCTTAGGATCGGCTGCAGCTCAAGCTGTTTTGGAGTTCTGTATGCCACAACGTTATTGACAAATCATCCAGAGGTACCCGTGGCACCTTTGCTTTTTTAGGGCGCCTTCGTGTTCTAGTGTTGTAAAAAGTGGCGACAGCAGAGAGATAGAGAGCCACAGTTAAGCGAACGGCAAACGACAAGAATTGGATTTTATCCTCTACTTTTCGGCCGTTTGTACAGTAACGTTGCGTTGTTTTGAGTTGAAAACACTTTTTTGGATCTCTTCAGTGGAAAGTAGAAAAATGGGTGAAAGCACAGTTGATCGGTGATTATATTTTAAAGTCTTCAAGTTTTTGAACAATGTGTGTCAACGGACAAAACTTAAGTTTTGGATCTAATTGGTTCTTAGATCGCGCCTTTTTCTCGAATTACAGGCAAACTAAGCCAAGCGCGGGAACACGCACGTGGGCCAGTCATGATAAGTTTAGAGTTTGCGTTTGATTGGCTGAGTAGGGGGCTTGAAGTGTTCGACCGACCACAACGCCCAAAAAGTATTTGCAAGAATTGCGGGTTCTTTCTGACTGAAAAGTACCCAAACCATAAAGTTTTGTTGTGTTTTGTTGCAGTCGTCGCCTACCAGCTTTGTCTTAAAATGGGTGAGGTTCTTGGAGATGGAACAGAAGGAAATGTATTTATCCAACTGTTTGGCGACAAAGGCATGACAGAACAGATACAGCTGCGTCAAGCTGGGAACTCCAAAATAAGCTTTGAGAAGGGAAGAACGTACAAATTCACCGTCGAGACAATCGACATTGGAAAAGTAAGATTTGTTCGGAATGTTTCCTCTTAAATTTTTCCATGACATTCCTCTGTCAGTTGTGTGCAATGTGCTGAATGGCAACACCTATCTGTCTGCTTTTTGTACCTTAGTCCTTCTCCTAGTGTTTTGCACATTGCTGTCACACAGAGTCTCACTCCCAACAGGGGAAGAGAGGGGTCCTTTTAATACAAGAGTCAAGTGGTAGCGGGCATTCATGGCTCTCAGTACTGTCTGCCATACATTTTTTATTGTGTTAGTTCTGAGAGTTAAGTGTTAGGTGTGTCTTTATAATCCCATCTTTGATTTTTTTCTTTATTCTCGTCTCCTGTGTCTTTGTCATTATATTGAAATTGTAAGGAAAAATTACCTCTTATTTCATATTTCCCCCTTCTGCCGCTGGAGAGATTTATTTGCTGTTAATCCTGAGATGAATCTCCTTGGATGCGCTTTGTGAATACCCAACTTGGAAATTCTTTTATCTTGCCGTTATCTTAACGTGCATTCTCTCTCTGTTGTAGATTGAAAAAATCAGCGTGAGCCACGACAGCCAAATGCCCACTGCTGGTTGGTACTTGGAAGAGGTTACAGTTGATGTGCCATCACGTGGGGACCACACCGTGTTCCCTTCGCACTGTTGGTTAGCTCCAAGTCAAGGAGATGGAAAAATTGTCAGAGATTTTGCATCGAGGCCTTGTAAGTATGACTAAATTGATTAAGAAATGTTTTTAACATTTGTCAGCAACATGAGACATGTGTAAAAGCTGAGTCAAAAGTAAGGATTCAGACGTCAGAACTTCGGATTTCGCGGTTTGATTCTTTTCCAACTGAGTGAAAGAGAACTTTCTGGCGAGCTAAACCATCCATTATGTTCCTATATGACAAGCATCTTACGCAATTCTAGGATCAGTTACTTCAAATGCGTCCTATACAGAGATACACTGTATAGTAAGTTAGAGTTAGGAAGATGATAAATTTCAGCTTGTCGGCTAATAAAAACCTTCCTTTCTTCATGACTTAAAAGAAAAAATTGTGATTTTTCTGAACTTCAAGCAGAATGTTTCGGGTCCAAGTCCTGTGCGGTCGTCGTGTTTACGGGCGTGGCATTTTATTCTCTGAGTGTCTACGTCTACCAACGAGTAGCAAAAGAACTTGAACATACGGAATTGTCCAGTCTTTTAGGATTAACAATATTACATTCCGTTGTTCTTTTTGCCACGAAAACGAGATGAACAACGGTCCTGCAAGGCACCACTAGGCGTCTAACGTTATTTTACTTATTTTTATTTCAGGCCTCTACCACTTGGCTATCAAGACTGGCGACGAGAAGAGCGCAGGTACAGATGCGAGTGTCTGGGTACAGGTGTATGGTGATAAAGGAGACACGGGACATGTAGAGCTAAAGAAATCAGGAACGATGGATAACCTGTTTGAACGAGGACAGACTGATTATTTCACTTTGGAAGCTGGTGATGTTGGCAAGGTATATGCTACGAAATAAAAAACATAAAAACATTTTTAAAAAAACCCCGAAAAACAAAAACAGCACTATTTACGTAAACAACATGGTTAGATCGGAAAGTGTTGATTATTTTTCTTTTTTTGAAGCGTTTGAAGGTACCGGTCATTATTTATTGCTCTGTTGGCGACGACTGCTCCTCCTCCGTTCCGTTCCTCATGAAAACCATGTGATCCACCCCAAAATCGTCCGCCCTCCCTCCCCCTCCACCCCCTTTAGGCAATAAATAATGATAGCTCCACTACTCTGCTGGTGTTTTTTACGACTGACTGGAATTAGTAGTGGCAATTTAGCTGTGCTTGAAACAACGGAAAATTGAATATGTAATAGTTATTAGTGTTTGAAGTTTACTTACCAACCGCGAGTACAACTCACTGTTTAGATCGAGAAACTTCGTGTTGGCCATGATGGCCGTGGTCCCTTATCAGACTGGTACGTGGAGGAGGTGATTCTTAACAGTGCTGTCAGGGGGGAGCACTTGATCTTCCCTTGCCATGCCTGGGTGGCTGAGGAGCAGAGCGTGGGATATGCAGACAAAGAGCTTTATCCTAAACAGCCAGGTAAGATGTTGTGTTATCTCGTCAGCCTTCACGTCACGTGGCACGCTTTCCTACCTTGAGAAAACGACGGCTTCAAAGTAGAATATGAGTCGTGTTCATAACGCGGTAATAGAATATGAAAATTGGAACGGGGCTCAGTTCATCAAGTTTTCACGGAGCAGACCAACTAGAGAAAGTCTAGTCCTGCAACTTTTTCCTTAAGAACAGTTTTTAAGAGGTTCTTATTTCTTAAGCTTACAGCGCATAGTTTTTCTGTGACAAGAGCATTTTTGCTGAAAACTTGCTTGTCCGAATGCGGTTTAACGCTAATATCATCATGCGAATTTTATCCATTCTCTTCCACACAGATTTGTCTAAAAATTCACCACATACTTTACTTAACCCTTTAACACCTAAGAGTGTGGAATTTTTAATTGAAGTCTTCACTGGCGTTGCCGTCCTGACTGAGGAAAAAAAAAACTGCAAAGAGCCAATGAGAAACGGAGTGAAAACAAGCAAATTCAAGTTTTGCTTCTGTTTGGTGAAGGAGATGTTGCGTGTTTTTTGGACCAGTCACTGAGATTTGAGAGCGAAAAGCAACGTAATCCTATATTACATTTAACATTTGATTGATCACTGTGTTGATTCCAATTTTCTATTTCATCCGCAGTTTCTGACTACCAAGTGAGAATAAAGACAGGGAATTTGAAGAACGCTGGCACAGACTCAAATATCTACCTGCAGGTGTTTGGTGATAAAGGAGACACCGGGGTCATTGAACTGAAACAAATTTGCGACACTAAAGATAAGTTCCAACGTGGGATGAACACCAAGATCAACTTGCAAACTGTAGACGTGGGCAATGTAAGTTTGAATATGTTTCTTGTGGTGCATCAACTTGCAGTTTCTCGTTGTTTTTGATGGGAAGTCTGCAGGTTTCACAAAGTCGGACACGATTCAGGAATTTATGAAAAATGTGGAAATTACAAAACTTGTCTGCAGCCCCTTCGAAGCTTGAGCCTTTTTTATGCAAAGACGAAAATGATCACGTTGCTAAAGGCAAATATGTACTTCTACAAGTCCTTATTTTCAAATTCTGGCTAATTGTCAATCCTTTCATAGGAAGTATGAATGAAAACATAACTTTGAAGTCAAACGCACCCACTCGTTTTATAGCAGAATCTTCTGTTTGTCTCTGATTGGTTGAGCTGTAGCGATTTTTTTCCAATCAATCACGGTGTATGAGGAATTTAACAATAAAGTCCTAGTTCACTTTCGACACACAATTGAAGGAGGTCCTGGTGAAAAGTTTTCTCATGCCTTTTGCTTCTCGTTCTCTTTCTCATCGTGCAGCTGGAGAAGATCCGGATCGGCCACGATGGGCGCGGTCTGGGCACTGGATGGTATTTGGAGGAAGTGGTGATTATAATTCACGACGAGTGTTGGATCTTTCCTTGCAACCGCTGGCTGGCGGATTATGAAGACGATGGTAAAACCGAGAGGGATCTGTATGCAGGTGAGAGAGAAATGCTGGGCGCGCAAATTGTTCTAGAAAGGGGGAAGACAAGTTTATTAGAACTCTGCAGGCTGAATTTGAATTAGTGGTTTTCTTCTGGACTGCTGCCCTGGTAACTGTGCTAAAAAGCTTAGATATCTTTATTAGAAACCCACGATGCCTTTTTCTCCCACAACAGAGAAGCCGAACCACCCAACAAGATGTGACTAGACTTCATGCACATAAGCACCCAGACTCATAGATGTGTGTGAGAACAACGTTTTCCGCTTTTTTCGTTCCTCGACCAGCGGAAACAACAGTTAAATTTAGATATGATCTGAACTACAACGCTTCCTTGCAAGAACTACTGACCATACTATCAGTTTAATTTTTTTGTGTAGGAGGATCTTAGGGGTCTGTTAGAACGACTTCGGTACATCTTTATCATAAGATTTTGCTATTTCAGCCTCAACAATCAGATTGAAAAAATATTTTCTCTAATAGACAAGGCTGTGTTTTCGTTACGGAGGTGACTTCTCTATGTACAGATTTAACGCAAATGTTTTCCATCATTTTCAGAGAGAAAGACCTATGCACACGAACCTGATCTACAGGATCTGATTGAATACCTACAGACAGATGATGTCACGCTTATCGTGAATGCTGCTAATTATCTGCAGCATCTCTCGTACAGCGATGAACAGGTCAAGATAAAAGTTCGGTAAGCTGGACAAACATTCCCTTTTTTATCTGTTGTATAGGAGAGTGTATACTCAGACTACATTAATGGCAGCTTCCCTCACAAGCGCATGGTCGGCAGAAGTTTTAAGTTTGATGCTTTGTGGAATAAATCTCTCTTGAACAACTTAACGCGCCATGTTTTGTGCGAAAGCGCAAGGTACGGATGTTACAACATGGAATAGCACCTCTAATAATCGTAACCTTTTGTTCAGATTTAAGAGGGTTTTTTGTATGTGCGCAACACCCAACCAGTTGGCTTACACGAATAAATCTCTCTTTCTCTCTCCCTATTTTGTTATTGTTATTTCCTCCTTTCCTTTTTTCTTAGTATGTTTTTATTTTTTTTCCCTCCCTGTCATCTCGTTCTTCGTGAAAATCGATCCAACTTCGCTCTCTCCACACGGCAACATTTGTTGCTGCTCTCAAAAGTGGTTTGCTAAGAAATTACCTTAACTCGAAGTTACTTATTTGGTGTTGTTAGATGTGAAATGGGTTCCTAATTTTTAATTTGAATGAACAGAAACTGTATTATTGTGAACGTTAACTGTTATCTTAACCACAGAGAGCTCGGCGGAATTCCAATATTGGTTCGTTTACTTGATCACGACTCAGACGAGGTGCACCGCTCAGCTGCGGCGTGTTTGAGGAATTTGTCGTACAGCAAGGCGAGGGACGAGAATAAGGTAAACTGTGTTCGAAAAATAATAGCTTTCGTTTGACGCCTCAATATGCTCGGTTTTTTGTCTGCGGACTTCATCTGTACTTGGTAATATCGCTTTGAAGCAGTTAGATTTTTTGTTAATCTAAAACAGTTTCGTTATCGCGGTTCATGACGTTTGCAAACAACTTACTGTCGACAATGTTGACTGCTTTGTATGTTGATCTTTAGTCGTTCTCTCTTACGAAGTTATCAACAGGAAGGTTAAGTTCAGTCTTCTTCTTCTTCTGTTGAATTGAATTCAAGTTTTAGACTTTCATCGTATCAAACGTAAATAGACATCACCTGGGAAATATCACTCGTTTGTTTTCCAGCTTTAACCGGGGCGTGAACAGTCATGTGAGGTGTTCAGTTGCTCATAAGAGAAATTATTTTTTGCATTGTTATACAAGTGGTGTATCTATAAATAATTGTCCCAGGATTGGGGGGAAGGGGGGCAGGTTACCCACAGAAAAATGGCTGAGAGGATCCCCCTCGGGTAAGGATTTTGGCATTGACGCACTGCCTCGGAGTCGGGAATGTTACTTTGTCGGCATCATGGAAGATCGCGTGAAACAGCATCTTTGGTCACCAAGGATGGCATTTTGACACATAATGGATACTCAAGGGTGGAATAATTGACTTTTGGACACCTGAAAATGTTAAATTAATCTTGGGATTGCCCCTTCCCCGTTCCCCAAATCCTAGGGCTAACCATTGATGGGTGCATTAGGATTCGTTTCCGAGATATGAATATCAACTCGCTTTTCTTCTCAAACAGTTGGCAATTGCCGAATGTTATGGCATTGAGGCTTTGATACGTCTGTTGAAAAGAACAAGAAGAGACGAGGTAAGGAAAAGAGAAATAAACGAAATCTAAAGTACAGTTATGACGAGGTGGCCTGGTGTTGAGCGCGCTTTACTCCGAGATCGAGAAGCTTGGGTCCCAGTCCAGGCCAGACCAGGTCATTGTTCTGAGTTCATGGGCAAGACAATTTACTCGCTCAAGAGTGTAAATGGTTAGGAAAAGGGTGCAGTTGGCAAATCTGCAACACACTTACATCCTCTCCGAGTTGAGTATCTATAGTCCTGCAGGGCCGCGTTTCTCAAAGCACGACAACAGTTTTTGATTAGTTTTGTAGCATTGCAGACAGTTTTATTGCTTATATTCAGTTTTCCTTCAGTTCCGTCTCATGATAAGGTAAAACCCCTCAAAACGTAAGCCCTGATTTACGCTTTATTTTAAGAGAGATCAAGGTGAAGTTTGATGAAACTTTTAATCCTGTATTATCTTACGACCAGTCGCTTTATTGAACTGAGGGTTTGGTAATTCTCGGTAGTAAAAGGGCCACTTGGTTTGTGAGGTTTAATCTGAAATTGCAATAGTTAACTGCGTAGACTGTAATTTCATTTTTAGCGTCGTATCTGTCAGCTATACATATGAAATATTTTGGGTGATGCAGCTCGATCGCGTCTTTTCTATCAGTTTCTGGCAGCAGTGATATATTCAGTCAAATAAACTAATGGTTTTTCATGTCGCTTCCTTTTTTTTCGTCCCCAGGTTAAGGAAGTAGTTTTGGGTGTTTTGTGGAATCTGTCGTCCTGCGAGGTGAGAACTTTTACCTTTTTCTTGAATATAGTCTGTTATTGAGAAGGTTAAGCTTGCTTAAGACTTGACCCTGAATGCCAGAGTGTCTGAAATTTTCAACTCTACTTTTAAAAACGGTTTAAATCTGGAATTGCGTTAGTTTGTTCACAAGGATAACGCGACTTGTTTCTGTTTGCATTCGCAAAGTCGAGTCGTGTTCTAAGAACATGAAAATGCTCTGAACGCCGAAAACAGAGTGGACGGCTTGATGAGATAATGGTGAGAGATGGAAATGAAGATTCCAATCTCGCTGTTGAAAATATTTATTTTAAAACTCAAAGACTATAAAATTAAATCAAATTGATCAAACCGTTTGTCTTCCACCGCTCTTCCGCTGTACAGTTGTTCGTTACAGAATTTCCCTTATTTTTAGTAGCGGAGCACGCAGAGCGTAGCCCCATAATTATACAAAATAGTAGTAACCCATCAAGCTGAAAAAATTTGGATGTACGACCGTACGACCGTACGACCGTACAAGGTACTACTTTTAACATGCGTGGTCAACTGTACCGCGGGCACGCCAACGCCACGGCTTTGTCCAGTAGTCCAGTGGTCAGAGCATTGGGCTCCGAGTCGGACGACCCGGGTTCTAGTCCTGGCCGGGGCAAGGCGTTGTGCCCTTGAGACGTGCGGGGAAAAAAAAAATGCGAGCTCCGCTTTTAGGCTTGGCTAAATCTATATATTATTTAGTTTCTGTAGCTTCTTCACTTATTTAATAATGAATTAAGTTGAACCCAGGCAGTTGATTGAACCGCTTCTGCTAACTGCGGGTCAATTTATTCATAAATTTTGTCATGAAATGAGTAAAGTGTGAAAATAACTGAATCTGTTCACAATTTTATTGTTTCTTTATTCCTGACAGGATCTGAAACTTAAAATCTTAGAAATCTGTCTCATTGTCATGGTAACCATCATTATCATCCCCTACTCTGGCTGGAGCAGAGCTGCCGCCAACAATTCGATGCCACTTCCGTCCATAAAATGGTCCACAGTGTTCCGTAACGCCAGCGGTGTGCTGAGGAACGTGTCTTCGGCTGGACCTGAGGCGCGGCGCGTGATGAGGGACTGTGATGGACTCGTGGATTCCTTTGTCTGGATCATCAGGGCACCACTTGGCAAAAATGATATTGATAATAAGGTAAGGTAACGATCAATATCCACTTTCTCTATACCGGCTTGGTGCGTTACCTTCACGATTTCTTATGAGAGAACGAGAAATCGTCAGCTACCGTTTTTATACGATTTAGCGCATTGGGTGCGTCATAAATTTTTGGGCCTTGAGATTGGGCGTTCATTCGAAGCGGCTGCCTATTCGAGGCTAAACGCTTATTTAATATTCACCATTTTTAGCGAGTAATAACTCTTTTTTGCCACAGAACGATAAATAATAACAAAACGTAAAGATGTACCATAGACAGTGAATGTAGATATTATAAGACAGTAAGAAAGTAACAATCAATACTCCTCTTGTACACTTCGGTTTTTTTTTCTTTTTTTCGTGGGGTGGTGGGTTTTAACGTTTCCTAACTAGAAGGTGGGCTCTTAATCGAATTAATATGGTACTGAGAATAGGTTGTGTCTGTTTTCGCACCGAGACGTAGCCTCGTTTTCGAGCGTGTCAGTATAACTTGTGTAATTTTTGTCTAACAGTCTGTTGAAAATTCCGTCTGTATTCTGCGCAACTTGTCCTACCGACTGGAAAATGAGGTGGACAGAGAAAGATACAAGGACGCCCCAATACCCATCCAACCTGGCAAGGAATCAGGCAAACATGACCCGGGTTGTATGGCGGGATGCGGGACGGGATCAAAGAAGAAAAAGAAAGGAGCGCTCAAAGAACCTGAAGAGCCACAGATAAGGAGAGATCCCGTGGAGGGTGTGGAGTTACTATGGCAACCAGAAATAGTCAAGTCGTACCTGTTAATTATGGCGGAGGCGGCCAATCCTGAGACACTAGAAGCGTCTGCTGGAGCTATTCACAATCTTACAGCATGTGGCTGGAGGGTATGTCTTGCAAGTGTAAATGTAGTGATAAGTTAAGGGTGAAGATGCGGTGGAATCACCGTGTTGTGTGTGCTTGGCTAAAACACTCTCCTTCCACTTTAAACGGTGGGCCACTCACTTATATTTAATGCGCCGTAATTTGATTGGGATATCCTGGTGCGAGCTTTGGCATAATCATCGTTTGTACTCATGGGCAAGACACCATTTTACCCTCACTCTGCATCTTTCCAGTCAGGATTATAAATGAGTGCCAGGGAAAGCTTTTGAATCCTAAGTGGTCACCAGTGATGAACAATCGTCCCATCAAGAGGGTTGCGGTAATAATCCAAATCTCTCTATGCGACGGAAACTAAGAGAAGCTCCGGGGAACGAGAAACAGACTTTCCATCGTTACCTTTTACCCTTTTACACCATAACAGTAGTATGCATATTCTCCATACTGTTCTTTATACATTTCCTTATGTGCTGGTAAGGAGAATGTGTTTAATAATCAAGAGCTTCTTTAGTTGGTGATAATTTCCGCTATTCTCATGACCTAAATGTGAAATTCAGGATTGATGTTATGTGGTGAAATCAGATGTTAGTCGCTCTTAGAGGTCGAAGAGATAAAAGTGGTTTTCTTCATCTGCTAAATAAAGGGTGACTTAGAATTTCTTTTGGGATTTTTTGCGAACGAAGAGAAAGGGAGATTTGTAGTTTAATGTAGTTTTTTGTTTCCTACAAATTGATTTTTCAGTGGGCTATGATTGTCCGCTCAGCAGTACGGAAGGAGAAGGGTCTTCCCATTTTAGTTGAACTCCTACGAATAAATCATGACCCTGTGGTGAGAGCTGTTTCAACAGCGATGAGAAATCTAGCAATCGACCCGAGGAACAAGGATGTTTTAGGTGTGTATTTTGACCTTTTCTCATTTTTTGTCGTGTAGAGTTTAGCGCCGTTTTATTAGAGAAAGCACTAATTGCAAGTGATCACCGAGGTTAACAAGGACAGGGGGACATATTCGGAAGTAACCGTTTGGGAAACCTCTGTCAATTAATGCCAGACGCAGCGAAGTATTTTCGATTTTGCAGTTGGGATTGTATTTGTTCATGCTTTTATTTCTCTTCTCGTTCACAGCTAAATACGGAATTAAAGATCTGGTTCATCGCCTTCCTGATCATCGCACCTCTTTAAATGTCAAAGCTGAAGAGAATACAATTGGTGCTATACTGTGCGCGATTCATCAATTCGTGAATAAGAGTCTAGTAAATGGAAGGTAATGCTATTAATACTAGGTTTATCCACGATACAATGCACTTCCATACTGTTCTTGGCATTAACTAGATATTCAGTCTAGAAAGCTTCTAAGTAAGCCAGTAAAAATCACTGTATTCATTCAGATAAGTGTAAAGGTCATTGGTTCTACTGTTCTCCAAGTATGACCAGCTTCATCTTTGACCGATAATCCTCGTCTTTCTCTTTTTTCTAATTGTCTCTTTGTTTTCTTTTCCCTTTATCTTAGACATGTTCATAAAGTTGGAGGGTTTCAGAAGATTATTGCGATCGCCAAGTCGCGAGATCATTACTCTCCGAGGATTGTAAAAACAGCAAATCAGGTACGACAGAACATGCAATTAACTCTTCAACTCTCAAGATTTGACCCTAGTTCTCCCAACAGCTTACAGATATTTCTTTGAAGTTGATGTAGAAAAAATGATCCTCTTACCGGCTGAGCTGGCGGAAGAGGCCAGGGAGGAGGTTCTCACACATTGATTGGGGGGCTGGGTAACAGCCAAGTCTCTATAATGATTTGGTTGTAAAATTACGACAACTTTGTCTAGTCTCATTGCCTGTTTGGTACGTGATGCATTAATACTGTAAAAAGAAGGTACATGCCAACCACTACACCCCTCTCCACCGAAGACTGAAAATGGGTTCTAAAGAATTGACAGGGATAGATGACAAAATACTTAGGGGGGTGGGGAAATAGCCTTTGATGAACTGACATCCCAGTTTTCGAGATCTTAAAACCGTCGACTTTGAAATGAAGTTCAGTGAAAAACGTTTTGTGTGAAAATGAACGATAATTGCATGCGAAAAAGCAAGGTTTGGACTCGTGCACGTTTTAAAGCAGGCGTCGTCTGATTTTTAAATCGCTTATTAGTTCTACGTAACTTACACGTTTCATTTTGCGTCTGTGTCATGTGTTGAAATGCCGTTTTCATTGTTGCACCACAGGTATTAATAACTCTTTGGAACTTACCAGCTCTTCGAAGCTCTCTCAAAAAAGAAGGCTGGGAATTTACTAAAGAAATTGGAGATGAATACGGTCATGTTCCAACTACCCCGCGGCCTTACGACGAGGTAACAATGCCACGGGGACCGCAGAGAGGAGCGCCGTCTGCTGTCGGAAGGAACGAACCACGGCCAATACGATCCGACGAAACGTCGATCCCCGAACCTCAATATGACCCTGAACAAAGAAGTGCACCCCCAAGATTTTCCGAAGATGGTTACGAAGCCGATGACGATGCTCGGCGGCGAAGAGAACCGAACAACACACGAAACGAGTTGGAGATGGAAGACATGGGTGGCTATAGGGAAATTGATCATCGGTCGGGTGTCGAGAGAGGCGGGGGTGTTCAAGTTTTACCTCCGGTTGAGCCGCCGGCTTACCCTGACGGGGGTGGACAGCCTCAAGAAGAACCGGCATACGCTCGTGTAGATAAGAGTAAAAAGAAAACGTATAAATTACAAGGAGGGGAAGGTGCAACCTCTGACTCGTGGGTGTGAAAATAATTTCATGAACGTTCCTCTGAACACTTTTTCGCATGAAGCTTGGAGATCGCTCACACACAAAAAGAACTCTCAGGAACGTGTGACATCTTCGTGTACAACAGTGGTGTTTTTGTAAACGTCGCTAAGTGGATCGAAATCGCTAGAAGGACGCAAATTCAAATTTTAATGATTGAAAAGCGTTTCTTCTCGGCAGACATTTAGGATTTATAGTGTTTTAAAGTTAATTGCGTTCACTGATTGAACGAACGCCACGTTGAATGCTGATTTATGGCAATTCTAGGGAAAACTGATTTTAATAATAGTTTGGCCACAGTGTAAATGTTTCATTTGTGCAACACATTCATACAATGTGAAAATTAACTGTTAGATGCTAGAAACTGGTTAATCACCTTGTTGAAAGAGGGCTTAGACGGCCTAGTAACATTTTTTAGTTGTTTTTGTATGGAAATAGTAAAAATAATTCGACCTAATCCGTTATCGTCTATTATACTACTTTATTGACACGGTAAATCTTCCTACATAAGATGCTCCAGCTTCTAACTTCTTGCAAGCTAAGTCGAAACGTTCCAAGTTCGTTATCCGCATATTTGACGAAGCAAAGAAATGAATTCACCATTCCATGATATCGGCCCTGTTTCTTGGATTGATCACAAGCAGCGATCAAATTATAGGTTGGTAGTATGCATACAGCATAGACTATGATTGACAATGACTGTTCACCAATAAACCATCAGAGAGGGCAAAAAATTGTTTCGTTAATCGAGAAACAGTTAAACATTTCTACTACATCACTTTATTCGGTTTGAATAAAAACAGGTAATTTAGTGTTAACAACTGAGTTGAAAACGAAACTTGGCCACCGTAAAGAGTAAAAAAGCTGACGTTTCGAGCGTTAGCCCTTCGTCAGAGCGATTGGAGGAATTGTGGGTTTTAATGCAGCAAGTGGAGCTACGCTATTGGTGAGAGTATGTTGACGAGAAAACAAGAATAAATCAGTTGAATGAAAAGCGCTCGTTGATACCGTGCGAATTAAGAGTGTCGATTTGGAAGATAAATTTCTGTTCTAGTGTTTTGCGACTTTCCGAACTGCCTAGGTATAAGGAAAGGCCGCAAACTGCCATATGTTGTTTAGAATGATTAGGGAGATTAAAGTGTCTAGCGACTGGTTTGGATACGTTCTTGTCATTTCTTTCCACGTCGCGAAGGTGTTCTCGGAATTGGTCACCTAGTCGTCTACCTGTTTCACCAATGTATAACTTATTGCAATAAGTGCAAGTTATGCAGTAAATGACGTTGGCGGAGGTACACGTAAAGTGTAAAGTGATCACTGAGTGATCTTAATGGATCTCTTGGGTTCCGATATTTTCTCTACGTTATGAATGAAAGGACAAGTTTTGCATCGTGAGCGAGCATATTTGAAAGATTGGTAATTGGTTTGAAATGAACTTCTGACCAAAAAGTTGCCTATGTTTTTGTCACATTTGAATGAAATAAGTGGGAGTTGCGAAAAGACTGGTACTATCTTTTCGCAATCGCTCTTTTCCAATCGCTCTGACGAAGGGCTAACGCTCGAAACGTCAGCTTTTTTATTCTTTACGGTGGCCAATTTACGTCTTCAACTCAGTGGTTAACACTAAATTACCTGCTATACTCTCCCACCGATGCAGCACCACAGTTTCTTTAGAAATCTACCCCCTTATACATTTGAATAAAAACACCCCACATCCTCTCTTCTTTTCTTGTATAGGACTAACTTGAACTAACTCTAACACCGTAAGCGCTTGCAAATGGTCTCTTGAACACTGTTGATGGGAAGGGGATACTTTAAGATCGAAAAGTGGAGACCGGCAATGATACTGATATAATTGTCTATGCTATGTTATTCTTCCTTGTGTGATATTTTCTTCGTCCGCGTTTTTTATTTCGTCGTTCGACTTCAGTTTTCCTATTCCAAATTTGGATTAGGAAACATCCCCTCCTACTTAGAGGTTTTCAAGGACGCATCTTTGTGATAGAAATTCCAACACAAGGACGAGCATTTTCGTGCAGGATGTGTCTCTAATTTTCAAAAAATCGTTGCGCTCGACGAAGGGCTACGTACAGAACGCATACTAATCGTGTCGTTTTTACGGAATTCACTCTCGAGGGTTTTATGGACCAACCCAAGGGGATCGATCGTGATGCCATGCGATTTCAGGTTTTGGGCACCATTTTGGACTGGCTAAGTGGCACAAATAGCCTCGATCTCGTGTGCAAATGTTTTCTTGGCCGCCTTGAACTGAAAACAACGATTTTTTTCCCGCACAATCAGTACAATAAAAAAAAAACTTTTACTAGAGATCGAACGCACTTTACTGATCTTTGATTATTACTAGTTTAATACCATTTAGCACACACCAGAGAAGAGGCAAGGTCCGGGGTAAGATTTTTTAGATGTGAGTGTTGTAGTGCACTTGCGCGATTTATGTAGTCCATAGTCATATAATGAAAAGTAAAGCATAAGTTAAAAATCCATTCAAAATCATTATACTTTATTTATCGGGAGAGATTTTTTACAGTGATTGTGCCTATTTCCTATCGATTTATTGCTTGCTTTTAATTTTAAGGTAAATGAAAAAAGGGGTTAAGTTTCTTAAGTACAGTGGCCCGCAACTGTCACGGCAAAAGAAACAAAGTAACGGCCTCTCGGCAAAAGAAAAAGAGATTCACGGCAAAAGGAAGAACCTCACAGCAAAAAGAAAGAGACTCGCGGCAAAAGAAAAAACCTCACGGCAATAAGAAAAAGACTCAGGGCAAAAGAAAAAACCTCACAGCAAAAAGAATACCCTCACGGGAAAAGTGAAAGACTCACGGCTAAAGAAATAACCTTACGGCAAACGAAAAAACCTCACGGCAAAAAGAATACCCTCACGGGAAAAGTGAAAGACTCACGGCTAAAGAAATAACCTTACGGCAAACGAAAAAACCTCACGGCAAAAGAAAACCTCACGGCAAAAGTAAAAGACTCGCGGCAAAAGAAAAAGACTCACTGCATAAAAGAATAACCTCACGGCAAAAGAAATAACAATGTCCTCACAGCACAAAAGAATAACCTCACTGCAAAAGTAAAAGACTCGCGGAAAAAGAAAAAGACTCACTGCATAAAAGAATAACCTCACGGCAAAAGAAATAACAATGTCCTCACAGCACAAAAGAATAACCTCACTGCAAAAGTATAAGACTCACGGCTAAAGAAATAACCTCACGGCAAAGGAAATAACAATGTCCTCACGGCATAAAAGAGAGCGTGGGGGCTGAGAGGTTTTTTCTTTGGCCGTGAGTTTTCTTCTTTTTGCCGCGAGGTTATTTATTTTGCCGCGAGGTCATTTCTTTTTTCTTGACTATTGTGGGCCAGCTGCGTCGGTGGGAGAGTATAACAGGGTAATTTAAGTATTATTAACTGATTGGCCACCGTAAAGATTTAAAAGCTGACGTTTCGAGCGTTAGCCCTTCGCCATTCTCTGACGAAGGGCTAACGCTCGAAACGTCAGCTTTTTAACTCTTTACGGTGGCCAATTTACCATATCAACTCAAAAGTACTATCAACTGAAATTAGATTAAAAAATTTATTAAATTAAAATTATCCTATAATTTTAAGGGACTGGGATCGAGTTCGTGATGTCAGTTGGTCAACATGGCGATGATCTGATTTAGCGAGCGGAGGACACATAAACTTTCTCGTCGAAGGCGTGAAAAATGCCCGAAAATTCATCTTCTTGGGTGTTAGTATTATAGAAGGATGTCCTGATCTGTTTCTTTGACCAGGATGGAGACAAGGTCGGTGAGGATATACTCAAATTAGACACGATTTTCTTCAATATTTATGGTTTTTGATCGCGAAAAAATTGTTTTACGAATGGTGAAGTTGTCATGACGTTTGATTTCTTTGCCATTTTAGCCCAGAAAATGATGTAAAAATGGAAGAAGCACCCTCAGATAAAGGTGATTTAACAATATATTTTTTTGTGGTTTTATATAATTTCATATTGCTCATTTTGTGCCACTGATTAGTACTTTAGTCTATCATGGAGAGATTAACGTAGTACGCAGAAAGGGTGTTATTTTTAGTGACATAGATTTGTTTCTTTAGAATCAATAAAGAAATACGAAAGATTTCGAAATATATCGCTGCATTTAGCAAGCTATTGGGTCTCTTGAGTGATATGTGCTTCCAAGTGTAACTCGAGAATCGTCATGTAACGATGCCATTATACACGTAATAAATCAATTTTATATGGGAAAGCGATCCACTGTTAGACTTAGGTAAGGATACTCTCTAGAGTGTTCATATTTTTACTGTCATCATCTCTGTCATCAAGGATATGATGAATTAATATGACAACAAATATTGAAGTTTGAAATGGATTTCAGGCTTCCAGTCTTCCAGGCTTCCAGACTTATGTCAAGTTCGAATTTTATACTCTTTAACTGAGAATCATGGTAAATTGCCCTAGTTCGATAAAAGAAAAGAAATTAATTAAAACTCAGTTGAAACAATTTCTACTTAAAAAAACTAAAATTTGTTTCGGTGTTAGACATTAAAGCAATTACAGGCTTTGTGTTGTGCAGTTTACATCAAAGAATTTAGGTTTTCTTCATTTGTTGGACAGAGGTGACTTTTGCACTTTGTTTATGTGGCAAATCTTAGCAATTTTATGTTTACACAATAAAATTTTAAATTGAGCAAAGTGTAAACCTAGTAACTGGGAATTGCAGTGTACTTAGGGAGAAATACATGTACCTCCCACAAAGGTGGGGATGGATGGAGTGCAATTGCCATTATTGTGACCTTTTTTTCAAATACAGAAAGATGTTACTCATTTTGTCATTAACGTTGGACCAAGAAAGAAAAACCTCCTTGATTAATCTATTTACTCAGTCAACCCTTTCAACATTGTTCAGAGATCCTAGAAGTGTGCAGAATATTTGTAATCTGTGGAGCTTTCAAGCGCAGTTTCAATTTCTCATGGAAGACTCTGGTTTCTCTTTGTCCCACTATGAGACAAAATAAACAACAATTTTTTTTTGAAAAAGTCATGATCTTAATACATAGCCATGACCTTTGTCTGATGAAAAGACATAGAAGCTGTTAATAAATAAAACTTATTGTTAGTAGTAAGATTGTCAAAATGGAATCAGACCAGGTTAATTCTAAAGAAAACCAAAGAATTCTGCATACATAGAAGTGAGAGAATTCCCTAGTCCTTGATGACTGATTACAACCCCTGTAGAAGTGCTTGTTGTTTGTCACTATTAGCTGTTAGACTTTAAATAATTCTTCTGTATTTAATTATAATGCTGATTTAGGGATATGTTATGGTATATTTTTTACAGAATCTGGGACAGGACTTCAGGGATTTGAGGACAAGGAAAAATCTGAACAACATCACCACCATGATGACAAGCAGTGAGTTCTGTTCTAATTATGGCTATCAACTTAACAGATAAAAAGAAAATGAAATTTGATTCTCTTTACCATCAAGGGCAGAGTTGCAAGTATTGCTATGGTGTGTCATTGTTTTGTATATTCAAACCACATTTTGATGTCATCTGTGATCTTTTACTAAACAGACCTATGGCAAAATGGAATCTACTTGTTAACCCTTTAACTCCCAAGATCTCACTAGTGATTCTCCTTACTATCTCCCATACAGTTCTTGTGATGTTAGGTTGGAGGATTTAGAATTGGATCATCTTATAATCCCCAAACTGATATTTTTCTTTATTCTCATAACTTGTCTGCTTGATATTGTTTTGATATTGTAAGGAGAAATTCTGTCTTGGTCACTTATGGGAGTTAAAGGGTTAATCCTTTAACTCCTAAGATCTGATTGTTACTTCTCTCCTCTTGCTGCCATATGATTCCTTGTAAATTAGTTATAAGAATTTGGTATAAGATCAAGATAAAAACTTTTACCTGATAAGTTTGAGTATTCTCATTAACTGAATGCTAGAAATCATATGAATATCATAGGGAGAAGTTACATGTTAGTCACTTCTGGGAGTTAAAGGGTGAATTAGAATTTAGTGTTTGTTATTAATTGGTATTTGGAATTTGCCATTTTGTTTTTTAGAATTTGGTGTGTGGGACTGGGTGTTAGTTTGATTTGGTGGATCCCATTGATGTCTGTTCCTTCAGTGAATTTCAAAATGACTAGGACTTGTATAAAAAAATCCTTTGTGCTCCTTTGGTCACTTCAGTTTTTAATGGATCAATTGCTTTTATTCAGATTGGATGCATCCCACCAAATTCCTGCACTCTCAAAGTCGAGGGTGTTCCTTTTGAACATCTCTTGGTTTGGCATGAACGTTATGTATCTTATTCTGTCAGTTGAGGGTAAGTACTTGATTCAACCAGCTAGTTGTAAGGGTGGTATTATGTGAGAAAGAACACAGGTTCAACAAAATTTCTGTACAAATTTCTTTTGGTTACTAATGGTTGGTTACAACATAGAGATAATCTTTTAGATGACTGCTGCTTGTACTCGTTTGGCCTGAATGGATTCCCTGTTTCACTGAGTGTAATTAAACTTTTTCCCTTGCATAGAGGTGGCACACCTTGTGCCAAAACCTCAGTTCTTAGTATTTTTTTAGTTTGCAAAGTTGTTTTCCTCAAGAGATTTCTTTAAAATAAATATCAGTGTGCTTTTTTTTTGGAATTTTTAAAATATCTGTGGTATTTGTTATTTGCAACAGAATGTTGTTGATCGCAAGTTATAGTTACAGGCTCAGCTTTACAATTTAAGTGTATGTGAGATTGGTTCCTGAAAGAAAGGTTCATATATGCTATATATAATCCTAGGTCTTTTATTATCATATATTTTAAAATTACTTTTAAACTGCTTGGCTCAGATTATGTAATGTTCAAAGTTTTTAAAGAAGGCTTCATTGTTAGTTTGCTTTTTTCCAAATAATAGTTATTGCATTAATATTGCTTTTATCAGTCAGAGACACACTGCACTCCGTGTCCAGAGGTCCTGGTTTGAGACCTGGCCAGGTCAATGTGTTCTGTTCTTGGACAAAACACTTCAGTCTTGTAATGTCTCACTCCACTCCATTCCATAAGTCACTTCATGTTAAAGGGAAACTAGGATAAGCTCTGGCTTGGTAGGCCAATAGGCTTGAGTACAGACTTAACCTTTTTGTTGTTTTTATCCAGTTGTGCCGTCTCAAGTTTATGCACTAGTTGGCTCTGGGCAGAAGGGTCAAGTGCTTGGAGGCATGGTTGCTGCTGGAGCAGGTGAGTTCATCAGTTTCAATTGTCAGTAAAGTAATAATAAGTTTTCTTGTTAATCCCACATTGTAGTCTATTTTCCACAGGAATTGTAATTTTTTGATGAATTCATTTTTCTGCAGTGGTTACATTTTTCTTGAGCCCTCTGGTTGGAATGAAAAGGTAAGAGTAACACTTAAGAGCCATCCAGGATGTGTCCTGTTATTCTTTTATAATAAATCAAATTTATATATTTTTGTTTTGTACCATATTTATAGATTCTTGTCTGACCTGTTTCAATGTGGTCAGCATTTGACAGTGGAAATTTATCTTTATTTCATCACCTTGGTCTGATACTGTATCTGTATGTAAGGAAAATCAACTTGAAATCAGCTTTCCATACATTTCATTTTATTGTTCTCTAGTGATCGTCTTGTGTCACAGTATGGAAAACGACGCCCTCTGATGCTTGGTGGAACTGTGTTACTTTGGTATGATAGTTATTTGGCACCTTCATTTGGTCTTAAATTTTTATTCTCATCAGCTTGGTTGTCATTACTGGTATACAAACTTGCTTGAAAGTTTTTTTCCTTTCTTTTGCAGTATATCACTTTTTGGAATGGCATTTAGTGCTCCTGATATTGAAAGGTGAGACAAAAATTTTCCATGCATTGTTCATGGGTAATTGCTCTTCTCTAAAATGACCTTTCATTTGGTGAGTGTCTTTGTGGGGTTAGTGAGTTAGTCTGTGATCACTATAGCCTCCTTCTTTGCAACAGCTTGTATTTTTGATAAACTGTCCATAATTATGCTTGTCTGTCTGCCTGCTTGTGAGCATCTGCCTGTCACCGGTCTGTGTGACAATCAGTCAGTCATGTAGTCAGTGAGTAGGTTGGGGGTCAGTCTCTATCAGTTGTTCATTCAGTCAACAGACTGTCAGTCTGTCTACCTGTCAGACAATCAGTTAGGCAGGTAGTCAGGCAGTCTGTCTGTCTGTCTGTTAGTCATTCAATCATCTTTTTTGTCTGTCTTGGGCCAGAATTTTAATTCCTTAAGTCTGATTGGCTCATTAAGTGTCAAAACTAGTCCAGCTTTTTATAATACAGACAACAGTACAGAATTTTTTCCATTCTATTTGCATCAAAGTGGCAAGAAGCAAACCAGCTGGTAAAAAATTAACAAGTTTTTTGCTGGCCTAGGTCGTCCTTATTGGAAAAAAGTGCCCTTAGTCATGGCCAAAGACTTCAGGTTCTGTTTTTTCTCATTAAGACTCAATTTCTGAGAAATAACACATGTCACCAGCATGTCCTTAAGTTTTAGTTAAAGTTGGTTTTCAACAATCCTATTAACAGTGTTCTCTTTTCATTTTATTTGCAGTGACATTTCAAATGTTACGGTAAGTGAGAGTATCCTTTGTGATGTAAATGTTTCGTGTCTTTCTACATGCAATTTTGTGGTAGATCTTGCATCCATGGAGTAAGTTAGTTAACAGAACAGTGTAAATCTTCTTTCTGTTTAGTGCTCTATGGATTTAAAGCTGCGGCGATGTCTGCCGTACTATAACCTGACCATCTTAGAGCAGTCAGAGGACAATTCTACTGCTAATTCGGACACAAGCTTCTTGCTGAGTATGCTAATGCAGAAAGAAGACTCGAGAGGAAATATAGGTTTGTTTATAAAATTAACCCTTTAACTCCCAAGATCGGATAGTTAATTCTCCCCCTCTATCTGCATCACATTTCCTTGCAAATCAGTTAACCCTTTCACTCCCAAGATCTAATAAGTAGTTCCCCTTACTGCCTGTCTTACAGTTCCAATGATTAAGTTTGGAGAATTTGGTACTGGATCAACTAATAATCCCCTAAGTTATATTTCTCTTTATTCTCATTACTTGTCTGCTTGAAGTTATATTGAAAATGTAAGGAGAAATTCTGTCTTGGTCTTTCATGGGAGCTAAAGGGATAAGAGAATTCGGTGTCAGATCAATATAACAACCTCTACCCAACAATGTTGAGTTTTTTGTTGAAAAATGTATGGATATTGTAGGCAGAAGTTATATGACATTCTATTGTGGGAGTGAAAGGATTAACACTCTTTTCTATAGTTGACACTTGTACTTAATTTAGAAATTATGTAAAAAATGTTTAAAACTGAAATGAAACTGTGAGGCACAGCTGACTAACATCCTTATAACTCCTTATAAACATCTACCAAGGTGTATTAAACCAATCTTCCAATTGATTGGCCCTACAGGTCTTTACATTGCATTCTATCTGTGTGTAATGGCATGCTATTCCATAATGAGTGTACCATATAATGGACTGATTGCTGATTTGACCCCACCATTCCAAAGAGGTAAGACACTGGAAATTAATAGCACCTTAAGCTGAAAGGAATAATTGAATGTGTGAACTGACCATGAAAATCCTGGACTTTGTAATGTGCAGATTTTTGCCTAAATTACATTGTGTAGCCCCCGAAAATAGTTACATGCTTTCATTTTATATCCTCCCCCTTTCCCCCTGAAAAATTCCTTTTTAATTTCCTTCTCAGAAGGCTTTGCTTGGTGAAAGGTTTCTTGTCAGTTGGGAATTTGTCTCATCTGACAGGGTGATTTTGTCTGTATTTATAAACTTTCTGTCCCCTTTGAACATCCAAGGTTACCCTCTTGGGGTGTTAGTGGAGATTTTCTTTAACTACACACTATTTAAATTTTGCTTTCTCAACAAACTGAAGTATACTTCAAAGAAAATAGGAAAATATTTAAAAAGTAAAAATTGATTTTCTTTAAATAAAAGTAACAATGAGTCACATTCATTTGGAAATTAAACATAATGTATACAGCTAGATGATAATGACTACTAAATATCTATTTAAAGTGTTTGGATACCTTTGGCAAAATTTCTTGTGTTGGAGTGTTAAATAAGAGCATTGACAGAAGTGGTTTAAATTATCAATGAACCTTTATACCAATTTTTTTTTGTTTTGAAATTTTAGTAAAATGAGGTGGATTTGCAATAAAACCAGTTTGACCAGTTTAAATTTGTTGAGTTTAAATCTAAGAAACTATTGGTAAATCTTTATAACCCTTTACACCCTAATATCAGTATGCATATTCTCCATACTGTGTTCTCAATAAATTTCCCAAAGTGAGATTGTTTCACAAACAAGAGCTTCTTCAGCTGGTGATCATTTCCTTTATTCTTGTTACCTGAATGTTTGATTCAGAGGTGATGCTGTCGAAAGAAATAAGACGATTATCACTTTTAGGATGTAAAGGGTTAAAGTTTGATCAAAGTTTTTCATTAACATGACATCATAATTTTTTTACCATATGTGTATTTTTCAATAACAATGAATATAATTGTAATATTTTTGAACTATTTTAAAACGTGCGATTTAACTTTGAAAACTGTTAACCTCACTAATAACAGGCTTCAGTTCTGGTGTTATGGGAGCCATGACACTAGTTGGAAATGTAACAGGAGCTCTCATAGGCTTTTTCTTTCCGGTGAGTATTTAACTGTACTGTCTGTGATATTCAATGAAACTGAATAATTTTTTTAAACAAACCAAGAAATTGTTATTAATCATTGATTCAGCCTTGTAGCTCTAAAGATCTGATTGGTAATTCTCTCCTCATGCTGATACGCACTTCCTTGTAAATTAGTTACAGTACCTAGAATTTGGTGGTAGACCAAGATAAAAACCTCTACCTGTTAAAATTGAGCATTCTCATTACCTGTTTTCTGGATAATGTAAATACAAAATAAAATTTGACTATTTTTTCAATAACTGTCTATAACATTTGGAAGAAAACTAAACTCAGTGCAACCTTCTGTTGGCTGGGAAGTTGAATAACACTGAACAATGCTCTTCCTTGGAAATTATGTTCATTGATTGCTACTAAGGATATCTATGAAATGAAAAGGGACAGGAAGAAAAGAATATTTAAATTCTTTGTTAATTGTGTGGAGTTTGGGACACCCAAATAGTTCTTAGAACTAATCAAGTGGGTCCCAAAGCAAATAATTCTAACAAAAGGAATACAGTGTTAATAACACGTTAAATAAAAAGTATTACTTTTCATACTAACTACTAAGAATTAAAATATATTTACACAAACTATTTAAGAGTTAATAGTGCTATTATAATCCTCAATCGTAGAATTATTTATATTTTGATGAAATTTAAAAAAGGGAGTGATTTGTTTAACATTAATTGGTAATGAATTCCAGAGTGTGGTATCAGTTTAACAAAGAGAACGAATACCACATTGAGTTGTTTGAATAGGGTTTACACACAGATTCTCATTCAGTGATTGACGTGCATATAAATATGAATGAACAGAAGAGAAGCATATGCTTTTTGATGATAATGGTTGTTTTGATTAAAACTTTTCAGTTGGTAATTATATTATTATTAGCTTTTTCCATTGGCTGTATTAGTATAATTATGTATCGTTGTCTTGTTTTAGAAAATTGGAGTGGTTGTAATTATATTATTATTAGCTTTTTCCATTGGCTGTATTAGTATAATTATGTATCGTTGTCTTGTTTTAGAAAATTGGAGTGGTTGGCACGTATTCCTTGGTGTCCATCCTGTACTTTTTGTGTGTAGTGCTCACTGTGTTCTCCTGTCCAGAGCCCCCTAATAAAGTGACCCACAAGCCCATAGGTGAGTTGTGACCCCTGTGATTCACATTGTTTACATTTGACAATTTTTCATGTGAATCGACCAGTTGCATTGTGTTAAGGATAGATTGTTATCGTATAAGCTGTGCCCTGCATGATTTCTTTTGAAAAACATAATCAATAATAGAAAAATCCTGTTATGAGGGTCGTGCATAATGGGTTAAGGAGGGGTACAGCCCAGCATAGAGCCCTGTGACATGCCAAATGCAAGGTTAAAGGCAGAAAGAGAATGTAAAGTAGTGGTCACCTGAGAAAATTGTTATTAACTAAGGTAGGCTGGGTGGAACAATGAAATACTTGACACAGTCATGAATCAAATGCTCATATCTCTTACCAGGTCTGAAGGCTGTATTTCATGCCTACTGGGAACCATTAAAAGGTGAGTTCCAAACATGAACCTCTCCCTTTTCCTTGGAACTTACTAATGGGCTGAGTTCATTTTATTGTCATTCCTCTGCCTGATGATTAGTTTATGTTTTATGCTCAGTAACATCTTGAGCTCCAAGCACAATTTCATCAGACTGGGTTTGTTAATCTTTTACACCCTAACATTAGTATGTACATTCTTCATACTATTCTCTTTGCATTTCCTAATGTAGAGACAAGGAGAACTTATTAACCCCTTCACTCCTACAAGTGACCAAGACAGAATTTCTCCTTACACTATCAATACAATATCAAGCAGGCAGGTGATGAGAATGGATAAGAATATCAATCATGGGATCATTAGTTGATCCAATACCAAATTCTCTGAACTAACATCATAAGAATTGTATTGCAGATAGTAAGGAGAATTACTAATTAGATCTTGGGAGTGAAAGGGTTAACAATCAAGAGCTTCTTTAGTTGGTGATTTGTGACCATAATTTGTGATCCAGGGATGATATTGTATGGAGAAGTTTGATGCTAGACACTCCTAAGGGTCAAAGTGTTAAGTTAACATCTGCGATTTATGAGGAGATAGTTTTCCTCTGAGCTGAGTAACTGTGTGTTGAAGCTCTGTTCTTATTTAGAAGATTTTAATAGAGACTATCTCTTGAAATAGGTAGTAGGGGCTAACTAACATGGAGGCAAAAGGATAATTGTATTTTATGCCATTTTGGGAAAGAGGCATCTGGGGAGATGATACTTGATTCACCATTGCGGTGACTTGTCTTTTGGGCTTTAACACCTCCACTCCTAGAGGGAAGGAAGAAGTCATTTCAGCTTTACAGCTTCAATACATTATAAAGTTCTTTTCCGAGAATTTATGGAGCTATATGTTTTTATTGTATTGTCCTGTAGAGCGAGATTTCAGATGGGTTTTCCTCACCAGATTCCTTATGCAGCAAGGTGTTGCCACAGTCACTGGGTAAGGCCTGGTTGCACCTTTATGAAACAATATTCATCATCTTGATGAGAAGCTAGTTAATTATGTTAAACTTATGATACAACAGAACTCTTATTATGTCCCCGCATGGAGAGGCAGGGTTACGTGTAAAGTGTGTTTCCTAAAAAAGCAATGTAGTGACCCCAGAACTTTGGTGGGGAATCTCCTATACAACAGTGTTCCACTGCATCGCTCAAAATCCTTCAGATATTACAGTGGAAGGGACTCACTTGTAACTTCACCTTTCAATGTCAATATGTAAAAGTGCAAACAATTAAACTACAAGAATAGACCTACATATTAGGTGGAGGGTGTTATGTGGATTTAACACCCAGTTCCTTCAACTTATCAACAACTATATGTAAAACAAATCGGATTTTGGTCAGTTGAAATGTTAGATGGCATGCATGATTTTCTTAGATTTTTTCATCAAATTGGTTAGTTATGAACCATATGCATGTTGGTGAATTGTTTTTGTCATTTTTTTTGATGGATAGTTTTCTTGAGTTTTGGCTGGGAGACATGGTGACTTTACCAAACTGCTGGTCTCCTGAGAGGAGTGTAGCAATGCTGCTTCTTCCAATGCTGTTTTCTGCTGCACTGTTGTAAGTAGAATTTTATGTGATCAGTTTGTGTGAGGCCATTTTATTTCCTCTGTATTTAAAAGGGAGTGTGTCAGAGCAGTGCATGTGATTTGGAAAATGTTGAGGACCTGGTAGTTAGGCTGATGGCTAAGGTTAAAAAGAGGAGTGACATGACCTGCTGTTTATGAATGATCGATGTTGCTTTTGATAGGGTTACTTATATGTAATGCATGAAAACTCTGACACCCTTGCAAAAATAAAAAAAAATTCTAACCACAAATTATTTGTTAGTTCTGTTATAGGAGGTTTCCTATCAGACAGGCTTGGTAGAAGAAAACCTCTTGTTATTGGATCAGGTATATACTAGTTATTCCAGAACATTAAGTAAGCTATGCCACACCATCTTGAGGTCATCTTGTTTACATCATTCATATCTAGTGTTGCCTGCGATAGAGGAGAACCTTGAAATAATAATTTGTCATTATCAACAAGCACCATATGGGAATAGAACAAGGCTGGCAAGGGATGGAAGAGATTGACATTGACTGTCAATGACTATACAAGCTTGAAAAACACACTATTAGGCTTATAAGTGTTAAGATACACTTACAATAGATATAATTGTATCCCAGTCTTCCAAACTGAAATTAAAATTGCTAGTTGCCATAACAAGTGTACCCTTTCTGTTGCAGCAATATTAATGAGTGTGTGTGCTGTGATACTGGCTGGATTGCAGGGGAAATATGCTTTTTACGCTTCAATGCCAGTAGCGTTAACATTTGGTAAGTTCAACATTTAGGTGTACTCAAAGTTTCAATGGGTGAGGGGGTAGCTCAGTGTTTAGAGCACTCATGAGCCTGATAAAATTCAAGTGGGAAGGGGGGGGGGGTAGGGTAGGTGGGGGTAGCCTGTGATGGATTAGTTTCTCATCTAGGTAGAGGAGTAACACTCCTGAGGCCAGTTTCTCAAAGTTCCTGGTAATTTAAGGGGGCGGTAAGACTGTTCTGTTTTCATTCAAGATGGAAATTTCAGATTGAAAGTTATGAGAACTACACAATAAAATTAACACCTAAAAAAGCAAAATAGATTGGTTAGGGTGCCACAACCTGCTTCTCTAGTCTTCATTGTTTGATTGTGAAATATGGTTTCAGGCCTGTTAAGTCCTAGTAACTCAATAATCCTGAAACTATATTTTAAAATCAAAATCTAAACAATTCAACACCAGTTCATTTAATTTGTTTCTTTAGCTGCTTGTTTTGTGTGTTGTTTTCATAACCTTTGAAATGCCCATCAGGAATGAAGATTAGGAATAGTTACGGGTCTGTTAAGTTGCTGGGACTTTTGAGAAAGGGGCCCTTGGTCATTGTATTGCAGCGAAATGAGTCACTTGATTTAAATGAAGACATTTTACTCATTATTCTCCAAAATCCTCATTTTCGCAAAGGTCATGTAAACTTGATGCAATCTGAATGTCAACTTAATTGTTGAGTTCCTGAACTTTTGAGCAGTTGATCAGATATCATGCCATATCTAAGTGTTCTTTTGGTATGGCACTACAGTTCAGCACAGCCAAGACATTTTTATTTGTTCAAACACATTAACAATAACAGTATAATTTAACATCCCTTTGTTGTTTTCCCTCAGGGGTTGGCTTTGGAGCTTATTGTGCAGTGGATTTTGCACTTGTGATGGATGTTCTTCCTAATGACAGAGAAAAAGCCAAGGATCTGGCTGTTTGGCATCAGGTAGAGTGCTATAAAGCTAAACTAAACAAGTTGGGCTCACTTAAGTTTTTGAATTAAAAGCATGTTTTTACTAACGTAGCCTCTCACTTATAAGTCACAAGTGCTGAGTGAAAATCCATTCAGACTGGAGAGGAACAGTCCCTGTGTTTCATCTGCAATAAGATGTACTCAACATGAGTTGATTTGACATCTGGGGTTTCTTTGGTAACATATGAACAGGGGTCATTAACACAACTGAATGACCAGAGATTCAAGGGAATATACTGAGGTGAAGCATTCATCTCCTCTTTGCAGTTTGCCTTGGTTTAACCCTATACACCCTAACATCAGTATGCATATTCTCCATACTGTTCTCCATATGTTTCATAAGGTACTGACAGGGAGAATGTGTTTAAAAATCAAGAGATTCCTAAGTTGGTGATCATTCCCTTTATTCTTGTGACCCTAATGTGGGATTCAGGGGTGATATTGTGAGGAGAAAGTAGATGTTGGTCACTCTTAGGGGTCAAAGGGTTAATACTCTGACCAAACATCATTTTGAGTGGCAATTGTTGGTTGTCAATGTTATCCTTACTGCCTTTGCTCTGGTTTCTCTAGTCTCACTTCTCATAATAAACAGCAGTATTGCAAATTTCTCTACCTTTTTGGAAAGGATGTGAATGTGCCACAAATGTGGATGTGATTAGACATTCAGTTTCAAAATTTAAATATATGTTGGTGTAGTTTGTGTGGATCTTGAGATGTGAAGATTAAGAAAAACAATTTTAGAGGATGATTCAGATGTCATTGTTGTTAATGAATGATATGAAACGGTGTTCGATTTTTTAACACTTTTCGTGTTACCTTTGTGAGCATTAACATGCATTTTTTCTCCCAGGCCCTTGTCCTGCCGCAAGCCATTGCCACACCCACAGGTGGTATCATTTTGGACATGTTTGAGAAGCTGAGATGTGATATAGGACTTGGTTACATTATCCTCTTCCTTGTAACATCTGTGTACTTTGTTCTTAGTGGCATTTTTGTTTATAACATCAAGAAAGCAAAATAGATTAAAACCTCTTCTTGTGAAGCATCATTTATACTTTTCTTATGAGATGCCTGAGGGGTTTCTTTTTTGGCTACATTCTTTATTTCACCTTTCAGTTACTTGTAAATTGCATATTCTAAGATAGCATGACGTTAAGGTTGCATGATGTGTTGCTTTCATTGTTGCCAAGGCACAGTGTCTTTGGAGGAATCCTGTAGGTCAAGATCCCAACTTGTGCTTGGTGGTTTTAATCTATGCTGTTCACATGTAGGTGTCTGTTAGTATAACAATCCACTGTTGCTTGTAAAAATTAAATCTAATTTTCACTGCATGTTGTTGAAAGGAATAACATTAATCCAAAGGGATTGAGATGAAGTATTATTTCAAGTATGATGTACTTGTCTTCCTTTTGTACATGTATCTCTGATGAAAAGGAAACATCATTTATTTCTAAAGAGATTAACAATCAGGGTCACAGTCAGAGGTGTCAAAGTTCAAATTCAGAATATTTTTATGGGAATTAAAATTATATAGATCTTAACAATTTTGATGTCAGTCTTTTACACAAGGGGTTTGCCAAAATTGGAGAATGGATATTTTTACAGGCTGTATTTTGACATGCAAATTGATGATATGTAAATGTATAACAGGAAATGTGTTTTTGGTGAAAATTTAAAGGAGCATTAGAAATAACATGCTTGTGACTAAAACAGGAGATCTTTTATCAGTGTTTACTAGAATTGAAAACAAAGAAAGTCTGGTATTATGGAAAACATTTTAACCATTACCAAATTATTAAAATTCTTAATGAAGGTGAACAACTTGTACATATTTTCTAATTTTAGTATCTCAGTAACTGGCCACCTACCCTTCCCCTAGCCCAAAAACAGTCAACTGATAACAAGTTAAGGTAAATGTTGGGTTAGGGGAGGGGTAGGTGTACAGTTAGTCAGACACTGACATTGATTCTAGTTTTAGCAAGGAATTGTAAGTTTAGTTTTCAGTGAAAGAAAGGGAACTTTTTAGCACAACAACAGTGATAAGAATACAGTGTACTCTAGAATTTGCTATTTTACTAATACAAAGAAGTCAAAAAGCTCTTGCAACAAATACTTGCATGACATGTACAGTAGCTATTTTTTACTGGTATTTAATGTACTGAATTTCACTACTGAACAAAATGGCAAAAACAACTATTGCCAACTGGGCCATAAATATAAAAACGTTAAATAAGATAAGCATTGATAAAAATGTAGTTTCCCTACCGCCTACCACATTCTCTCATTCTGGATGTCAAATTACATTGTCACATATTAAAAATTTGTCTTAAGGTGATTCCTCAGATGAAAAAGCTATAGAATATTTTTTAAAACTTTCTTAAATGTTCCCTACCGATATCTTTTTACCCCATTTATACCTGTACTGGCATTAATTGTGTGCCTCCTTGCATTGGCTCACAATACTTTTTGAAGCTAGAAGCAAGGTATTTGAAAATAACACTTGGAAAAAACTTGATAGGTAGAAAGTTTTGAGGGTATGGAACAATTTGATATATAATTTGTGAAACAATGACACAATTTTAAATGAGATAGACCCAAAACAATCCTCAAGTCATTGCTTTCAAGGTTATAATTTGCATCGTTGAGTAACAGGCCTTGAGAAAGCCTTTACCTATCTCTTTTTTTCCCTTTGATTCATTTTTTATTTAATTTCTCCAAGTTAAAGTATATAATTTGTACTCCAAAATTATGCAATAAAAAGTATAGGTCTCCTTGCTTGTTCAAGGGCTAATTAGACCACTCTACATGTACCTCTTTACCTGGTCCACTGATTGAAAAACGATGCTATTTCCTTGGAATGAAGTGCACTTATTGGCCTGATTTCATGATTTTTATGTGCAGTACAGAATGCTCTATGTAATACTGAGGAATCACCTTAATGACTAACTGCTGAATCAACTAGTTCCAGCAAGCAATATGTCATCCTGTATGGCAGATTTGTTATCAAGCATGTTATCATATTCTGCAAAAGCCTACTATCATTAAACTTTCATACATAGCTTTTAATAGTCACATGACTGGTTTCACTGACAACCATCAAGGTACAGTTGAATGCATACCAATGGTTGTGAAATAAATGGCATGTACATAGTGGAAGATATTTCAAGAAGTGTGATGATTGAAAATAAAAGAAAAATAGTTACAACAGAGTTTGTTCTGGTGCATTTAAGTGTTCAGTTGGCACAAAGTCCTTTTGACATGGTAACACAAAAAAAAACACTATAATCTCAATCAAAACCATAGACATAGCCATAAAATGAGTTAAAAAAACACTTTTATATCCTCCAACTCAATGAGCTTTCAAAACCAAATCTCTATTCTACACAACTTGTTCATTATGATTTTAGAATGGGGAAACACTTCCTTCTACATGCAATTTAAAAAAACACAGGAGCATAGTTTTTGTTATGATGTTTGATAACAGGTTACACACTGAGGTAATCTAAATTTAACAAAAAAGCATGCAGAATAACCTTTTGAAGAGAGGTCTTGCCTAAAGAGCTTTTCTGGGGTACAATTTATTTCGCTATATCAACAGTTTACTTGTTCTAAAGTTTTTTCTTACAAAAATACAAATTTTGCTGATAGGTAACTACTTAATTTGGTCTTATGTACTGAGTTGATAAATGATACATGTAAATTAGCCTCTGTGGAGAGTCTCTTAAGCTGACATTTTAAGATGTCAGTGGCCAATTTACATTGCCAAATCAGTTGATAAAACAAAATTCTTTGTTATATCCCCCACCAACCCAGCACAACAGTTCCTTTCGAAACTAACCCCCTGCATCTATTTTAATTATTAGCTAAAATAATTTAGGTTTCAGCATTCTGCCCTGCCCTAACCCTTTAACTCCCAGATCAAATTTGTAATTCTCCTAAATGTCAACCATACAATTCTTATAAAGTTGGTTCAGAGAATTTAGTATTGGATCAGCTTGTTATCCCCAAATTGATATTTTTCTTTACTCTCATCACCTATCTGGTTGATATTGTATTGATATTGTAAGGAGAAATTCTGTCTTGGTCACTCATGGAAGTTAAAGAGTTAACTTTTAGTGATAACATAACAGCAAGCAGACTAGAGTGGGACTAACTGCAGTTAACTACAACTCGCTCTTTGCAGCCAATTTGTCCATCAATGTGGAGTGCATTTTCTTTACCTGTGGAAGTCACAATAACACATGAGGAAACTGTACTTTAAGAGCTGTATCATTTGAGGTTTTGTGGTTTTTTTACAGTTATCTCTTTCCAGGGTGATTAGTCACAACACAGAAAAAATTTCATGAAGAGCTCCAAGCTGCAACCGTTTTGGTCACCATGGCAGCTGGGAAAAACTTTTGTCCACTACATCTGCAGCAAAAGCCACCATTTGGTGACCTGTGTGCAGGTCAAGAAGCAAGTTACATGGTTTTTATAATTTAAATTTTATGATCTGTGGTTGAAAGTGAGATAATATCATTTAAATACTAAAAGTATCACTCACGCTGTTTTCTTCTAAAAAACTTTACCTCTTGTGCCTTTGTTGCCTGAGCATGAAGCCTTGAGATAACACACATATCTCCAAAAATGAATGTTGGCTATAATGCTTAAGTACACAAAATTTTTTCCCCTGGCAATCATGTTTGATTTTGATGTATGCATGTATTGCATGCATTTACAATATTTAAATTCAGCTTGAGGCTGAGGGACCTGTATAAACAATAACAAGGCCAGACTGCGACACAGGGAGATAACCTGGCTTACCAAATGGCAACTTTAGTTAAAAGACGTTTTAATAGGACCACTGTAATGGTTTTTCTGAATGATTGTTAAATGAAAGGTAATGCATAAATTTATATTTCAACTGTTAAGATCAAAACTCTTACCCATTTTCCATGTTCTTCTGCCTTCTTTGCCAGTTTTTCGTGCTTCTCTTTAAAATGGTGCTGACCATCATCAACAAGACGACGAGACTCATCAGCTTCTTTTCTGAAATGTTTGTGTTTCATTATCTTGTGATCAAAATGGTACAACTCTTGCTGCAATAAATGAAAACAACATTTTTCAGCCCTTAATTTTATTGTTTGAAATCCATCTCTCAGATAATTTTTCTGTTGACTAAAAATGCAATTTATGCAACCACAGGTTCAATGATGCTGGTTACCAGTCCACTGCCAATTAAAGTCCTACAAAGCTTCTCACCTGCCTCAGTGTCTCACTTAACCCTTTACAGCCAAACATCAGTGTACATTAATTCTCTCTATAATGTTCTCAATACATTTCATATGGTACTGACAAAGAGAATTTGTTTAACAGTCAAGAGTGTCTTTAGTTGGTGATCATTTCCTTTATTCTCATGACCTCAGTGTTTGTTTTAGGGGTGATACTGATAAGAGAAAATTGCTCTAACTTAGGGTTTAAAGGGTTAAAGACAACTTTTATCAAATTTGATTTTCCCTTTAATGCTCACAGCCAACTAGTCTCCCCTATCAGCAGCCACTTGTGAAAAAAGTAACTAAGACCCCTGTTCTTACTTAACTTTCTTCCAGAATAGAACTACCGACACACACATTAACTCATAATGCTCATCACAATGCATATTCTCCATACTGTTCTCTATACATTTCCTGAGGTGTTGAACAAGGAACACTGTTTAACAATCAAGAACTTCTTTAGTTGGTGATCACTTTGTTTATTCTCATCACCTTAATGTGTCATTCAGCAGTGACATTGTAAGGAGAAATTAGAAGCTAGTCACTCTTATAGGTCAAAGGATTAAACTAAGCACAAGCTTTGGAACCTTTCAAAGACATTGCCAGGTCATTGCATTACGGTATGTTCCTAGGCAAGACATTTTAATTTTCCAACAGTGCTTCTCTTCAGGTTGTTTAAATGGGTACCAGCAAACTTAAAGAGGGAAAACCTGCCATAGTCTATGGCACTCCAGGGGCATAGCAATACCCCTAATGACTTCATGGCATGGAAACTAAGACAAGCTCCACTGCTTCATGGGCCACTTGGCCTTTACCCTAACTCAACAACTTACCTTAATGGAATCCAGTTCCTCTTCGGTAAATTTTGCTTTCTGTGCTCTCTCCCACAACTCACTCACACGAGGGTCATGGAATTCTCCTCGCACATTCTCTCCTGTTGCCTTCTCCTTCAGTTTTGCAAAGCTATCGCTCAGGGAGGCATGGGTATCTTGAAGTTTATCTCGTAATTTCTTAAGTTCTTCTTCCTTGAAATTTGCTTTTGAGAAAACTGAATTTTCTGAGATTTCATCCTGGTCTACCAAGATTTTGAGAAGGCGGTTGTATTCTTTCAGCTTGTCTCTGTGATGGTTAAATTCAGTTTGAAGATCACCAAGTTCCTCAGAGTTAAATTTGCCTAAAGTGATAAATGTAAAAATAACATTAATAAAAAAACACCTTGGGAGAAAGAATTTAATAACACACTGGATTCAATGACTATAAGAGCTTGTAAGGCTAGAAACCAAGCTGCACAGAGATGTAGTGTATTTTCCTTGAAGAGCACTTCCAGGAGTGGGTGAATCAATGACCTGTGTAATCCCATCTATAACTGTACATTCAACTAACTATCTCTTTTCTGATTGGCCAAAGCATATGGTGAATTTTTAAAATCATATGCCTGGGATATAATCTAGCCACAGATTATACAGTAATCATGTCAAGGTCACTCAAGGTCATGGGTAATCACACCATTTAAGACTGTGGTGAGTGATTTTTAAGGGTAATCATGTCAAGTTCAGGCAAAAGACCAAGGATTTACTTTAAAAGGGCAAGACACCTTCCCTTATGATGGGACTCTGACACCATGCTACTGTCAATATTCACAATTTTAAATGTCTTTTATAACTCTCTCAAACCAGGTAAACTGACTACTAAAGATGCTTATGGCAAGATTTCACACATTGTCATACTTCATCATGCATTAACTTCTAAGATAATGGAAAACAACAGCAAAAACCATAGATTGCCTTTAGAACCACTGCTTTGTTATAGAATAGTATGGGGTTAAATGCATATCTTGCCTGCTAAAAACTAAAACAAATTCTCAAATGTGAGTGGCTATCACTAGACTGATTTGAGAAAATTTTTTTTGAAGCACTTGGGAAGTTTGGAGAGCACGAAAGATGCATAAGAGTTGCTTTGCTGATGTCATGTGCTTCATATCTTGATGAACAGACAGCTGATGTATGAATCAATTGTTTTATAACATTTTCAACCCAATAGAAAATTTTTTTTTGTGAGGGATTTGTTTGCTGACGTCATGAACGTGCACAATAGGAATATGAAGCACACTCACGCGATTAGACAAATTTACTAGCTATGTTATAATGTTAGTTTAGGCTTGTAATTTGGACAGTGTATGCAATTTTTTTCATCTCTCAAATAATTACAGACCAAACTTGACTCCACTCAGTCTTATTATTGATGTGTATTCGTAAATATGCATGCCCCAGATGTCCACAGGTATGGATGTGCATTTGTATATAATTATATTGATACTATTTTTCTGGGCTAACAACATTAGTATGTGTTATTATATTGCCGACAGTGCCTGTAGGCAATATGAAGTGCATCCTGTGTTCTAGTTGGCTACCCGAGCAGGCAAGATGGGCCCATCTTGTCAGATTAGGACTGCCTGCTTTGATCCTGCACAAGAAGAAAACTGCCTGGAGCAGACTTAATATAATGTCTATAATTTTTTGATGTTGTTGGCAATGGAGAATCAAAAAGCTGCAGAAGATAGTCATAATAGAGAAAACATAAACAGCAGACTTAATATAATGTCTATAATTTTTTGATGTTGTTGGCAATGGATGGCTGGATGACTGGATGAGATGCCTTGTTCTTTTTTTTTCTTCGGGTTTTTATGGACTGCAACTTTGTCATGGTCCATAAAAAAAACACAAAAAAACTTGATCAATATCCAGCCATCTTGACCCCAGTTGGTCAATAATGCATATACTTCAGTTATACAAATGCTGCAATGGAATAACATCCCAGTCCAGAGGAAGGATATTTTACAATTATGTCTTCTGTGCCCGCCAGGACTCCTTCTATTCCATTTTACACCCACTTTTAATTGGCTGCACCTCGTGATTCGAAGTCCCTTCATAACAAGTTATTTTTGTAGTCAACAAAAGAAATTGAATGTAAAATTAAAGTTAATTTGAAACCGCAACTCCTGCCGATGTTTCAACATAAATGCTTGTGTCTCATTTTATAGATAAACAAGCAAAAAACTTCGCCATTACCCAGCCGTCTTGTTAACCTAGCATTAAAAAGCGCATTTTAATTAACTTTGAATATTTTTAAAAACATCATCTTAGAGATTAATTAGTTTTTGATTAGCAAACACACTTCTGCTCACTCTACGGTCTCAATGTACCACAACTGTGTTGCATTAGAAGTGTGAATAATGCAGTGTTTAACATGACTGAAAGTTCCTTTATGTGATTTTTTGCTCTCGAAATAAACGATATCATTACCCACCGTGTTTCTTGGCAGATTCCCAAAGTTCACTCAACCGTTTATCACCGAAAACGCCACGGCTGGCTTTGTTGTCACGAATTTCGTTTCCCTCATCCACCCCATCAAAATGTTTCTCCAAGCCAAACTGCTCCAGTATTCGGTAAAACTTTCTTCTCAACGTGGCCTCCATTTCCCCGTCTTCGTCTCCTCCGTAGGCTTTTACATCCTTCCATTTTATTTCAGCCCTGTCTTGTAGCTCTAGTAAACGGCGTAAGTCAGCCAACTTTTGTACGGACATCTTCTTTTGAGCTTTCTGCCAAACAATATTGAGCTTGTTCATTCGAAATGGGCTGTCTTTATCTCTTCCTCTACCAGTAAGAGCATTATTCTGAGCGATCAGGAGAAAGGAGACAAGAAACACTGGAAATATCATTGTGAATATTTTTGATCTGCACAAACCCAACTCTTGCGGAGCTCAGCAAGGAGAGCCAGGCTCCTCAGCTTTGTTCCACGCGTGACCATCACGTTTCTTGTGTCACACGCGTGACAATCACGTTTTTCGTGTTTCATAATTTATCTTGGAAGAGTCACTTTTAAGATTATCATTTTTATTACACCCATTTTGAAATCACTGACGTAATCGCTCTAATTGGTGCGACCATCACCGCTTTAAATCGCATCTTTTCCCCAGCCAATGTAAAAACAAAACAACCATCAGACTTCAAGGCTTGTTTAAAGTAACAATGAAAGACATGGATTTTTCTTTTGTTTCCAAAACTCTTATTTTTTTCCTCCCAAAAAATGGATGAATTTAATTTAAAACTGGCTCAGTATTGTAGTAACAAAATATTTGAAGTCCTGTATTTGGGCGATTTCAAAATGGATGTAATAAAGAGGTAATTGGACCTCGTGTCATGCAATTTTGATCTGAAATCACGCCTTTGATTTCAGCCCAAATTGCACTCCACTCAGTTCAATTACCATTATTAATTAAAAGAAGAGATGTAAAATATAGTGAATAAACCACAAATAAATGACTAAATGGGCATCTTTGCGATGCCATACGTGACAGTAAAATCAATTTTATGTATTAGCTGGCGGGTTTTTTAATCATTCGAAGCTCTTTGATAGTTGAAGAAATTGGTAGGTAGTTATAAATAGTCCTCGTTTATATTATTCTGTACCTGTTTAATTTTGAGATAGCAAATGATACACGTCAGTGACCGCACAAGATTGATTGCGGTCATAAATAGTCTACTCGTAAAAAGTGAACACACCGTGTTGCTCTGGGTTCATTAATCACCTCTGAGCGACGGATGCCGGAAGTGTTGATTTAAAACTCCTTATTGCGATGCGCATGATTTTGTTTTCAATCGATCTCTAGTTTCCAATTTTTCTCTCAGCTTTTTCATAACCATTAAAACTAGGTACGTGACACGAGTGATCGTTGCATGCCTCATTTATTCTGTCAGGTTAGTTCTGTTTCGACGAACACAGATACCTAGTTCCTTGATTGAAGATACGTTTTTTTAGGTCAAATGAAATCATTTCCCATCACATCTTCACCTGCGTTGAATCTACTAGCGGAAACCCTTCGATAAGTAAACTTTCAATTTTACAAAAATTAATTTCAACGCTAAAAAAATCGAACTTCCTCTGTAACCCACGCTGGTTAGTACGAGAGGCCGACTCTATTACTTTTATTATGTCTACAGACATTATTAGAGAAATGTCTGTCTTGACTATTCTTTCAATCATCAAAGTATTATGCAAATAGCTTTGAAGTATTCATCTCACGATCAATTTTGCTTACTTTTTAGTCACGCGCAAACTGTGCTCTCAACGCTGCGGGAGCCTTGGTTGTAATGTCTTTATCTACTTTCTCAACGCAGTGAAAAACCATTTATACTCAAAACTAAACAAGGTAATCAACCACAAGTCCCGTGCTTCAAAAAGAAGTCTTCCCTCGTTACTGGATTGGGTAAACAGGCACATTCCAGCGTGCCCGAGGAATACGCTTCGCTGCGCTAGGCACGCGTTCGAAATTCGTCCGTTGCGAAGAGAAAGAGATCCATCTTGCCGTTTTGTATCTGTATCCCCGCACGGCTGGCAGATATGAATTGTAGAATCTTGATGACCACGGTTGTATTTCTTCTTCTCACGGTAAGTTTCTTCCCCGTGTTGTAGAATGCAAACAGTTTTTGAAGTGATTACGAAGCATTTTTGCGAATGCCCGCGCGACTGCGGATTTGACTTTCTTGACTGCTGAAATCGTGTTAGAAAAAACCTTAACTCTATGGAATCAGTTTTACATTTGCTTTCGGTTGCATCGTTTTATTCTGTGTCTAGATATTTTAGTAACAGCTGAAAACGAAGTTAATTGCAAACTTCTTAACAAGCCTTCGTTTTGTTTCCAAAAAAATCAGCCAGTCACAGTTCGGCACTGTAATTAGTCTTGCATCAGGCCAGCGAGAATTTTATTGAAATACGCCTCTAACCTGCATATAGCTTTTCTTTCCGAAAGAGCTTCTGGTGACAAAGCAAAATCAACTTATAGGTTGTATTAACTCTTTCAAGAAAACTGTCCAATCGAATATTTATGTTTTTTTTCCGGTAAATTATTTGAAGGAACAACAGTCAGGTATGGAAGCACCCTTAAGGTGAATAAGTCTGTTGCAAAGTTGATGCGTTAGGAACCTAAAAGAGAACTAGAATTTCCACAGTTGTCTCTTAAAGGAAATATTATAGTTCATCCTCTTTCGTAATTAAATAAGTCTTTCAAAAAGCCTTGACTTTTAATCGAAATTTTGTTTGAATTTGCATAGAAGTGATTTACCCTTCGGGATGTCATAAATTATGCATCATTGGCCAAATGAAAGGGAATAAAAGCCCTGATTGCGTCTGTTTTCCTTTCTTCTTCTATTGAAGATTTCTTTCCCTTCAAAAAATATAGAATGTTTCTCATCTCTGACTGATGGATGAATATATATTTGAAAGAGAAAGTAAATGACTTTTACAACTTGTCTATCAAACAATTAAGTCCTTCGCTCAGGTGCATGCATAATTAAATAGCATCCAAGGTATTCATTTATTAAAAACGATACCAGTTGAGGTTGGAATCTTCTGGTGAAGTTATCTGACCAGAATTGGTTTTAAGTAAATTGAAAATTTCCTCAAAACACAGCCATCACAGCTAAAATTTGCTAAAAAAAACACAGCTAAATTTGCCCTCTAACTTGTTTGAGTTTATTAAAATGATGCCTTTTTTTAAAAAGCTTTCTCTCCTTTTGTGATGTCTTAATCATTTGGTTGCTTTTATTTTTGTTTTATCGAAAAATTGAAAGCCGATAGAAAACCTTTTTATGTTCTTTGATTGACAGCTGTCTGTTTGATCAGCCAACATACAGCTAATCGTCTCGATCACGAGCGCAATTGTCCAGCTACACGGGCGCGGAAATCGTTGTCTCTGAAAGCTTGGACCTGACTCTCAATCAATGAAAACAAGTAAAAAGGCTTTCAGATGAAAAATGGCGGCAGTGCCGGAAGTAAATGTTGTGTAGTGGAAGCTGTGGGCTCTGAGATATTTTCAAGGGTTGGTTTTCATGTTAAATGTAACTAACCATCAATGAAATGTTAGCAAAATGACCATGCTCACTGTCTCTGTCACAAAAATGAAAATCACATTTTTTGTCAAACAGGTCCATGGAGATGCCAAAAAAAAGAAAGCAAATCTGACTAAGACTCAAAGTAAGTTATTGTTACCTTTATTTACTAAATGCATCTTTGAAGCAAGAATATCCCTTGATACTGTGCCATGAAAATCACTCTCTGTCTTTTCGGTTCCCGAGTAATTCTCTTTGGCTTTCTAAAAGTGAACAGTCTCCTGTAGCTCATAAAATGCTTTTAGATAGCGCAAAACTAAGGATTATTGTATGGAGTGGCACAGTTTAATGATGGTACAGAAAGAAAATTGATGGACGTTTGTTTAAAAACTTTTCCCGAGGAAATGTTAAAGAGAAATGAAGGTTTGTGAGATATATTGCGCAAAATCACTAAGTTAAATTTGAAAAAGACTGGTTTTCCTGGTGCAGATTTTATTTTGATCTTTCTTTAAACCTGAAAATATTCAGTCGCAGCTTTACGCAGCTTTATTCTAATTTTACAGGTTGTCGACGGAATTGTCCTTCGGGTCAAGAATGTCTTGTCCAATCAGACAATACTGAACGGTGTGTTTGTGCGTCACGATGCAAAAAAAGGCACAAACCTGTGTGTGGAAAGGATGGAATCCTGTATGTGAATCATTGTGAACTGCACAGATCCGCTTGTTTGACTGGCAAGAAGATAGGCATCGACTGGGAGAAGGCTTGCTTGAAGAAAAAGGCTAAAACGAAGGGTGGGCTTGTATTTTTCAATATGATTTTATATTAGCCAAGACAAAAAGTTAATGCTGTTTAATTGCCTGTGACAGCCGGAAACTCTGATTAAGCCCGGTGATCACACATGCGCCTCATTATTTTTCTATCCTAGATTGCCCCGAGGAGAAATTATCCGAAATGAAACGACTCATACTGGAAACCTTTGAAAGAGAGATACACAGGAAGGTGACGATAAACATCCTGATTGACGAGTTGTTCTTCCGGTACGATAAAGACAACGATCACAGCATCAGTGGTTATGAGTTAAAAAGTTTGGTCACCGACTACATTATGTACAATAACATCAAGGAACTCTTACAAATTTGCCATTCGACACAATGGTTAAACACTGCGGATAAAGATGTGGATGGATTTCTCTCTAAATATGAATTTTCATGGAGTTTCGGTATGGTAGGCCTTTGTTTGTTTGTTTTTTTTTTCAGCAAAAATCTGTAGGATTTTTTTTAAAATAATGGTACTGAAAGAGTTCGAAATTATGGATTAACCGGCCTCGGCAACTTAAAAAGACGCTTGAAGAAGTGTGGCGCGGCCAACCCACTCGTCGAAGGAACCATAATATATGATTTGTGATGGAGTCTTACATTATTCTTGCAGGAAGCACTCCAAAGGTTTTTATGGTAAAAAATGACGAGAAACCGATGTCGGGTTCAAATCTTACTCTCCGATGCCAAGTGCACGGTTATCCAGTTCCTGCGATCACGTGGCGAAAAGACGATGTAAAGTTGAACTCCAACAATCGTGTTTTGACCAAAAAAGATGGGGAGCTTTTTATAAAGGGGCTCACACAAAGTGATAATGGTTTATATTCATGCGAGGCCTCCAATGACTTTGGAATGGACCGTAAGCAGGTTGAGATCAGTGTCCAGGAGCCAATTAAAGTAGCCCCGGGTAAGTTTTGCAAGTAGCGTGAAAGTACTTCCATTTTCATTTATCATTAAAACTCTATCGCGCTGGAATCCAGTCGAAAAGGACCTGCTTCAAGCCCTAATTGTCGTCTATGCGCTTGATTCATAGCTTACTCTCTCAGTGCCTACTACTGCTGAAGGGTATCCTAATGGTATGCAGTCCTTCGCTTACTTGTATTTTGTCTCCAAAATAAAACCTATCGCTTGAACAGATTTTTGATTGGTCGGGAACGTAACATGAACCAGCAACTTCTATGGCAGTTTTGCATCATCTGGTACATTTCGTCTTGGCGTCTTTTTCCATCGCTTCACATTGTTGCTCATTGTATGCACTTTGTATGCTACTAATAGACTTCGAAGATTAGTAAGGAGACAGAGCGTCAGGCAGACAGACAGAGAGTCCGGCAGGCAGACAGGGAGTCCGGCAGGCAGACAGGGAGTCCGGCAGACAGACAGACAGAGAGTCACACAGACAGACAGAGAGTCAGATAAATAGACAGTTAGACAGAAAGATATCATGCCTAAAATACAAGATATAGAGACCTTAGCGATTAACCCTCGGCTAAAACATCGAAATATCGACGTTCCTTTCGCTACAAAGGTGCCAAGGCGTGGAATACTCTAACTAGTAAACTGCGAAACATAACTTCACTGCTTAACTTTAAGAAACTTCTCAAACCTCATCTATGTAATTGATATAATACTCTATATTGTAATGTAACGTATATTGTATATCTTATGTGTGACTTGTAATTTGTGTTGTGGGCTCCTTTTGTATTCTGTATTTCTAAATACATTTTGTTTTACTAAATATATCATAAACAGGCCCCCAGTCAAACCTGCTTGAAGCTGAACTGGGCCAGCTTGCATAAATATCGCTAATGAATAAATAAGTAAATAAATAAGCAAGAAAGAAGTCTGGAAGTCACTCGGACTTGAAGACGAGCTGATCGCCACACAGGGATTTAAAGCAAAACCAGGAGCCCATAAGGAACGGCCTCCTGGCAAAACAAAATATTTTCTTCTTTTTACTCACATAGAAAACTTAGCGGAAAGAGAATGCATTTCTTGTCCAACTGATGAGTTCTTACGAATCACTTTTTTCTTAGCTATTCCTGGGAGTCACATGTTTTACGTCTTCGCAAACGATGGTGTTCACGTCATCGATCCCAAGACAGCATCCACTGTCACTCACATTAGCGCTGATCACGCCATAAATGGCACATCATCGTCCATTTGTACCGGGACCCGAGAGAGACCCTGTAACTGGGGTGGAGCAGTGAGTGTAAATTCGCAATACATCTACGCAGCGGATTTCCTGGGGCGTAGAATCCTTGTGCTGGATATTGCCGCTCAAAAATTCGTCCAAGAAGTACCCACCGAGGACTTTCCTTATAAATTGAAGTACTTCAGGTAAAGAAATGTTGTGATTTTTATAAGCGTCACTAACAAGAGTGACAGCGATGTCACTTCCAGTGTATGCGAACTCAAACGTACCTCTAAACGAAAACGAAATATGCCGCTCAGATACTTATACAACAAAAGAAAAGCTAGAAGGAAATCAATGAAAAGAAACCTCTCATTGTTTTCGCGCCGTACTTTGTTGTTATTTCCTCTCCTTTCTAAACGTTTTCTACGTTTTTTAAATGATGAGACTCACTTTGCCAAACAAATAGACGGCGAAAAAGCTCTGTCTCTCTTTTGTGGCTTTAAAGGAAATGAAACAAACTAGTAAACTGACAGGAAAACAAATTGTTTAACCGGGATAAATCTCCCTAAGAACGTGCTATATCGAGCGAGCGTCATGACACCAAAACCAAAGTTATCATAACAGCTAATCAAAAGAGAGAAAATATCACAAGTAGTGATGAAAAATTATAACAAGCAAACGCGTCTGAAGCGCGGGAAAATGCGAGCTGGCAAGTCGAAATTGGAGCTAGTCTGTTGAATCTGATTGGTTGAGAAAGTGGCGCGACTTTTTCACGACCAATCACACAGCAAGGGAAAGCCAAACCAAAACCATCCGAATTGAAAATTCCTCTTATTGTGGAAACGTTTTTTTCCTTTCCCATTTTTAAGATCTCTGGACACTGTATGGATCCTAAGCTGGGGAAACAGTTCCCTTGATGTGCTCACTGAAGACGAAGACGACATCGGAACACTTTCTGTGATAAACGAAGCTGGTAAAGTGACTGTTCACTCATCAATCAAGGCGCAAATGATTGATGGCATTCCCAGGCCAGCGCATGACTTCTTTGAAGCAGGGAACTGCGAGTTGACAAACGAGGAAAGCAAGTATGCTTACGTCACTCACATAATGGAACCAGGCATTCATGAAGTGGACCTGGTTACCAAGCAGTATTCCAAGTTTTACAATCTTAGTGATTACCAGTGCTACGGAACAATCGGTTTAGTTTTATCACAACCTTTCAAATACGCTTTCGTCCAGTGTTACACAAACGAGGAACGTGACTCTAAGGCGCAAATGGTAATGGATCTAAGAGAAACACAAATCAAGGCGATAAACTCATTTAACTTTGGGACACCATTCGTGTCTCCAGATGGAAGTTTTGTCATAACATTGAATTTTTACGCGATTTTAACGCAGTACATCGATCCAGCGGGGCAGATTTACTTATTTAATGATATAGAATCCGACATCCTGCTAAGTCACCTCGCCTTCAGGCCACGAGACGCTGGCTATGACGTGTATGTGACGTCAAAAGATCAACCGACGATAATTGTGCTGCATGTAGATCCCAGAGGCATAAAAATAATTAAGTTCATTTCGACAGTAGGCAAACCGTCGGGAACGAGGGACTGGATCCACACCGAGCGTCCAATCGTAATTGGCTGCGAGTCTGACGCCCGTTACCTAGCAACACCCGCCACGGGCGAGGACGCAGTGGTGATTTTAGACGCTGAAAAGCGGGAGATGCAAGGAAGAGTGGAAGAGATTAAAGAGGCTCGTACCATCGTATGGGTCGGCCGTGAACGGAGATAAAACGACAAAGAACCTCGTTTTCCTGTTGGCAATTGACCAAAATTGTAAAACTGTGAAATGTTTATAAGTTTTTAGATTTTGATTAGAAAAAGAAAGTTTCAATCCAAGGTCCATCATGTTGAAAATGACGATGTGTGAAAGGTATATCATTGGGGATCATTGACCAAAAACTAATTTCTAGATGGTCTCAATGAGGTTCATCGTGAGCCCTAAAATGACCGAGAGATTTAGCCGTTAGGCGTAAAAACTATCAAAAATTAGCCGTCGGTCGTAGAAAAAAATTAACCGTAAATAGTTTTTCTGGTGACCACAATGGAAAGATAGTAACCGTTAGCCGTAACTTGGACAAAATTTTAACCGTTAGCCGTAAAAGTCATCACCTCATTGAGACCCTGTTTCGAGTTATGGTTTTAAGCAGGAAAGTGATTGGTTGAAAGGAAAGGAAAGGAAACATCAATCAGGAAAGAGTTTCTGATTCAACACCAAAATTTCGGGGCTCTAATTGCAAGAAATGACTGGCAGGCAGATGAGTAAATCTTTTGGAAAGGTTAATCAACCAGCTTCGCTCAATCTTGCCTATTTACAATGCAGATATTTTTTTTAAATAAATGTTAAGACTGATCATGATATCGATAGTAGCGTGGAGATTTCTGTAAGATTTCATCCTCTTAGTTTCACGACAATTCTTTATTTTTCTGATAACTTACAATATTCTTATCTGTAACGTTTTACCATTAAGTTCAACCTACTCTCATTTTTTATTCAGTGTTACCGTGACTAATAAATGTAATTTGTATGACGCCGTCATGTGTTTTATGCCCTCACCCCGTCTGCTCCAAGTACGTATGTTACAGTCCTGGAGGGAAAAAAGGGGAAGACAGAGTTAACCTTGAGGGGTGGTGGTAGTCTGAGACAGGGAGGGTAAGGTATGAGGGAGGGGAGATTGAATAGAACTGGTGCAAAGGATTTGCATAATAGGAAGAGGCACCTGAGCCTATCATGGGTTTAGCATGAAGTTCATAGTCACATCAAACGGGAAAAGGGTGATTTCGAACTGAATAGAACAATCGACCAAATGTCAATAATGAATAGTAAATGCAACTATTTTTGTTGGTCAGGATCAGGTAGCTGGTGAGAGATGCTTTGGAGGTCCAAGTGAGAGCTTAGACCGGGTCGTGTTTTGCTCTGAGCTGGGCTGGCCAAGCTGTTTCTGTGAGAGAGATTCTCTCAGTCACCTTGGACTATAAATGGGTATTGAAAACAGTCAGGACTTATGGACAAGCGTACCATCCACTCTAAATGACTCGATGAGACAGAAACAAGTCATAAACAATGGTAGTTATGCACGTGTTGGCCTCTAAAGTTTAAACTCCTAGGGTTTGGGTTAGGGTTATCATGACTGGCTTTGAAAACAAATTGGTTTTGTAAATTACGTTTCCTTATTGGCTCACCTTTTGAATTTTTTTTTCTTATTTTCCGTGGCGATTCATGCGTAGCTTTCTTTGAGGACCTAATCAGGATAAAGGTGATGATGGAAAAGAGAAGTTGAAGGTTGGCACCAAAAAGAGAGAAGAAAAACTGGTCCCTCTCCTACGGCCAGACTCTTTGCCTCTGGTTCGGGGGTGGGGAGGGGGGCTGGTGACAAGTTAGCCAAGTGTTAGGGTCTTTGAGGCATAAGGGGCATTAGGATCAGCACCGTGGAAAAGGGTGAACACTGGAGTTAAAATAAAAATGGGACCCTTATTTTTTCCATTTGATCCAAAAAGACAACTGAGTCATTACAGGAAGCCTAGATTTAAGCAAGTATGTTGTCGGTTGTGATATCTTGGTTGTTGTTGCTTCCTTTCAAAATTAGTAACCCGTGGGCTTAGCACGTTTTCTTCCAAAAATAATCTCCCATTACATTTTTATCAATCAAATCATTCTCGGTTTTTCTTTCTTTTTTTTTTCTTTTTTCCTCTTTTTTTCGAACACAACGTCACGGTTTTTGTACAAATCGCAAGACTCAAGGACTCGAAAATCACTGAGTGCAATACAAAATAGTCGAATTCTGGTATCTTGAAAGTTTGTTTACTTACTGTCAGCTAAATAGAAGTCGTTTGTGACGGACGTGGAGTATTCTCGCTTGCCGTGCCTGTTCATTCTTAGTTTAGGTGGACCTGCACAGTAGAGAATTAATTTCATACGTGAGTGATACCTAAATGGACAGAATTTTAAACAAAATTAACAAGAAGAAATATTTGGTAACCTATTTCATTCAGCGCACACAGATTAAGAAATTTTTTGTCTTTGGACGAATAAAGAAATTAATTGGACTTACTATCGCTTAATATGGCGTCATCTGTGTAATAAGCGATATCCTCTGAAACAAAAATAAATCATTATTTGATTGTTAGTAAGAGAAGAAAATTTTGTTAATAGTCATAGTTTTTAATACTACTCTGTTCCAGCGTTGGCAGCGTAGTCGAGGGATCCTGAGCTCTTCAATCGGTTACGCATTGAATCGGCTTAAGGTTGTTCCTCTTCCCACCCCCCCCCCTCCCGCCCTTACTGCAAGATAGCCGTCATTACGATGGATAGCATTTAAGGCGCGTTCTGATTGGCTACTCAAACTCCGAATATCCCTTGCTATTCACCTCCAAGCAACTCTAAGGGGTTTTCTCTCGAAATTATTGTAATAATAAGGAATAAATGAGTTAAAATCCTCTTTTTGGGCTGTTATCTCACTGTTTTGGTATCAACATAAATCACTATTCACCTGAGTGTCAGTGGCTAGCAGTGGATATTTACTTCATCGCTTTAGGGCTTGGTAAATATGGTTCATTAAGTCAGGGATTTTTGTTCGCATGCAATTGGTCTAAACGCATCACGTGACAGAATATACCCCAAGATAAACCCGGGGGTTGTCCGAGGATATCACCCAAATGATATTCCCCAATTTCAAACCTTACGTTCACTGTGATAAGTCTTCGTATGAATTTAATTTAAGAGGGGAGAGCGTTTTGCTGTTGTTACAGAAAAAGGAAAATATTTATTTGTTCATAAAGTCGTAGCAGAGAACACTCAAAAAAAAAATATTAGCAAGTAAGCTTTTCGTAAACTTGCGCAAAAACATGCCCTTATGCTCCTTGGACATTATCTGTTCCTCGAAGCACACAGTTTTCCTCGAGCTTCACTCTTGGAACAGATAATGTCCACGGACAAATATCCGTGCTTATTTTTGCGCCAATTAGAGGCTATTGATTATCTAGCCACCTCTATTTCAGTGAATAGTTGTTAATGATTCTAATTATAATTGCCAGTTTGGACAATAAAAGTCCCTGGTAGTTCCAATGCTGCAACGTGCTCTCCCCGATAATAATAATAATAATAATAATAATATCTTTCCTATGGTCCTGTTATTTGTAACACCTTCCCAGTGGTTACAATTTATTTTTATTGTTATCTTGATTGCATGTAACGAGCTGATTTTAACAGATTAATTGCGATTAAAGGAACGCCGAAAAACCTCTCGAAAAAAATTAGGTTTCGAAGGAACTGAAATTCTGAGCATCATGTTAGGAGCAAATTAGATTGCATTTGGCCACCCCTTTTTACATCAACTATTCGAAATAAGATTTATTGCAAATTCACTATTTGTGACAAGATTTCTTCTAAAGGAACAAAGAAACCACTGAAATGTGTCTAACTTGCGGTTTTTTCTTGTAACTGAAATCCTTGAAAAAGGATTTCAGTTACAGATAACCAGTGACAATCAATTCTACATTTTTGAATTGCATCTACGGCTCAAGTTATTCTTCTTGTCAGATTCTGTCATCAGCAGATCACCTTAGTGACATTAGAGCCCTACAAAGCGTCAGAACTACCTTAACTAATCACAATGCAAAGAGCCTTACTGCTCCTTAGGAGTATATTCAGTACCTGTGTCTTCGTCGCTGAATGGTTTCGCAGAGGCATGCGCACTGATGAGAATTACAGTAGCTACAAAGAACAACGAGTAACACACCACCTTGGTAACCATTGTTTCAAATTTAGGATATCGTGAACCCTACAAAAGAAATAAGAAAAATGAATACATTTTTAAAAAATTGATGCATGTTTATGGGTCTCTTTATTTCTAATTGTCAAGATAACATGAAAAAAAAGTTATAGCATAAGAAGGAGGTCGATCTAATTGTAAGAAAAAGTAGAAAAAGATTCCGAAAAACAATTGCTTTTAGACTCTAAGTGTTAAATTCGTCAACTTTCGTTTCATTAACTTTAAGTCTCAAATTATCTTCTTGAGGAAACTGTGAAACCCTTAACCAAATAACAAAAACGTTATTTTACCACAAAAACTTTGTTCTCATACAATGTTTTTCCTGTTTGAGCCAGTAATGCAAGAGACTGAAGGAAAGTGTTTTCCGTATCTAATGCCGCACTATTTTGACTCGTCTTGGATTTACATTGATATCCGAATTGGAATTCCCGATCATCGTCACCTAAGTTGGGGTTAAGAATTTGAAACTGAATAACTCTAAATGATAGTGCATTGTTTTGAATTTGAAAAAGTGGAATTAATATCCGGTTCGACTGGTAAAACAGACTTTGAATACACAGAGCGACTGGAAGCAGAGAAAAGAGAATTTGCAATTGTCCGACAACATTTATCCATAGGGAGCCGAAATAAAACTTTCAAAACACCAATTCGAATAAGTAAGAGTTCCTACATAAAACTTATAGGCTGTGAATTTTTCTTGTAAATCTAAAATTTTAATGTGTGAAAGATTAGAAATTGTCCGTATTATTATTGTGTTTTTAGACGATAAAATTTATTCCTTTTAAACTATTATGTCGGTGATTGTTCGCAAGCCAATTTCAAAATAGCAAAATCAGGAATGATTTCATTTCTGGGACTCAACTTTGTTTTATACTCGCGACCTGTTATTATCCGAAAGGAAATGCAAAATTCTTTAGCTCTCTAGCTGAGAAATATTGAGGTTTTTTAGTCTAGAAAAATTACGGCTTTTAATATTAGCTAAACAACCTTCTTAAGCGTTAAGGAAGTAAACTAGGTTTTTCTCTCTTCTTGCTTCTAAAGGAAAAAGTATATTTATTTACAACAACAATAACTTGAATCTCCAAAGTTCTTACCTTTCAGTAATGTATCCTTAATTCCTGACTGAATCAGTGAAGTGAAATCAGCACTCTTTCCCGCGCTTTTATGCGTAGAGACGCGAACGGCTCAGTGATCACGTGGTTTGGGTTGTAATTTGTCGGCGGCGTTTCGGCAGCTTGTTTTGCTTCATGCCTTTTCGACAATATCCGTTTTCACTTGAGAATAGAAAAGGTGGCGATAGCTAAACAGATGTTAATGATAAGTACTTCCTATTAGCGCACACGATCACCTATCATCTGTGTAGTCACCGCTCAACGTCTCGTAATTAACCGTATCTAACACGCAAAAGTCTATTGAACCCAAAACACAAATTTTGTTTCTGTCGCGCAATCATTGTTGCAATATACTGCATTAGTTAAGGTTTTATTCATACTGATATTAATAAAATAAAGAAAACAACTTTGTGGCTACAAATTTTTTTCACCATATTTAGAAATGACGCCGATTTTCATCCACTCTTAATTCATTGAATAGTTAAGAAAATTTCCAATAAAGCATATCTATATCACGTTTTCCTTATTCTTGACACTGCTTAAATATATTGTTAAGAAATGTCTAGTATGACTATTCGTAAATTGCATCTTTTTGTATGATTTCCTAGGAGGAACGAATACACATATTCAAGGCAATATACACATTTTAACAACAACTGGGGGAGTAATGTTAAGACCATAGAAACGGAAAAGGTCTTATAAGTTACAATTATCAAAGCTTAACACACAGCAAAGGAGGTACAAATAATGATTAAACCCATTTGTCTTAGTGTTTATCACACACGTATAAGCGTTTTTTTCCTGGATTGGCTCGTTTCAAGGAAATGGGCCTTACTGGAGATAAGATTATACGTTAGAGCGGGCCAACATTCGGAATTATCTACCGGATAATAAGAAGATAAAGTGGAACAATAACTCTCTCTGCCAAACGAACCCAGGTAAAGAGACATAGTTTTAAGTCTTGTCGCGAGAGTGCCAATCGAACCCACAGAGACTCTACGGTGAGCTGAGGCCTTTACAAGGTTCGTATGTGACATGCGTCTCGCATGCTGTAAAAATCAGAAAGCCTATTTTAGAAAATAATGAGAAAGATTGTAAATTTTAAGCTTGGTAATGAAAGAAAGGAATTTTTTTTGTCTTGTTACGAGCGAGGAACATTGAAAACTCAAGACATTTCTTGAAGGCAAAAGACTCATTTCCGACTGTCAAATAATATAGCATTCGTTTAGTTAATAACGAAAATTCCATGTAATGATCAAAACTTCTGATACCTGATTACGACAAACTAAAGAAAACAGAAAGAAAATAAAAAAGCGAGCATGCTTGAAATAAAAATGTAAAAATTATTTTGCTGTGAGAATTTCATTGCAAAGGTTTAAGTTACTTTTTTAAGTTCTTTTTTAAATATATCGATCGTTACAAGTTGTATTTCAAAAGCATAAGTAGAACGAACTTTTTAAGCAAAAGGTCTCTATTTAATAACTTAAAGGGTTCTTCTATAAAAATAAGTTGACGAAAAATTATGAATTTTGATAATTATGCCCACGATAAAGATTTATTTAACATTAAACAGAAGAATAATTTTGATGGAAAGTAACCTCTTTTGTGTTCAAATTGACCTTGAAAAAAAGGGAAATTTCGTTGGGTTAGAAGAAGATTGTACTTAGTGTCACTCAATAATTCGCTATAACGTTTTGTGTTGGTTAATTCGCTCAAAATTTCATAATTATCATGAAATGTTTTTAGACGTAAGAACTACATGTAACCAGCAAGCAATGAGGTAATAAAGGGGAGAGTTTCTAAGGAAACTGTGCAGTGCTGCGTCGGTGGGAGTCATAGATGATAAATTGGTTTTATCAACTTAGTTGATAATGAAAATTGTGTTTCAAAAGCTTACCACGCGATGGAGGAGACAAGTTGCTTTTGACATTTTAAAATACTGGCAATTATCACGTTAAAAATGCTTTTTTGCTCCAGTTCTCTTTTTTAACTTCTCTTTGGGATAATTAACATTTCGTTATCTAATGGGGCCGATTTCTATAAATGATCTGTTACTGCTCGCACCCCGGAATCTCTCCGCCACAGCAGTTTGAATTGAGATGTACTTAGTCGTGAATTTATGAAGATATTTGACATTTGAGAATTATAGGTGCTGTGTGCGCATACATTCTACCTTAACGAGAAAGTGCGGTTTGTTTTACGACTCTCTGAAGACATTTTTTTAAAATTTATGAATGCTGTTTACAGATTTCAGGTTATTTTGACCCCACGGAGAGGCAGAGAACCTTTCGGAAACACTTTTGTGGCCTTGTTGTTCGCAAACAAAATTACTTGAGCCAGTTGCTTCAGACGAAGGGCCAGTTGCTTAAGCAAAGTTGAGGCGTCGTCAGACAAAATCGCCCTCTCGGTAATTTCCAACGTTTTAAATAAACGTTGATATTTTAAAAACTGTGTAGAGCATTGTGACTATAGTTACCCCTGGGAAAAAGTTTGCCTCCTACATCTCAAATCTTGAGGTCCACCAACTGCTTGAAACCGAGGCTTAGGTGAAATTTCATTAAAATTAATCGTGACGAAATGTGTGCTTTATGCAGAGTTAATTGGACAAATGCTGTAATTGATGTGTTTATCGATCAATTCGGGTTTAAATGTCAATAATTTGCGTTTACGTCATGAGTGGGCTATGTTTTCTCGGGAGGTTTCGAGTTTAACGCAGGAGTCAGGAAGGAAAATATTGTGCTTCCAGCTCATTACACGAATTAGCGTTGCCCCTATTTTTAGGGATGTTTTTCCCCTTATAATCCACGAAGTAAATAACCGCCTCTTCTCCTTGCAAGATCAATACATTAGCCAGCCAAATTAAAAACCAAACTAGCGAGTATTAACATGATATAACAACGAATTTTCAGCCTTACTCATTTGCAAAGAAATACTGCCGGAGCGTTTAGAAGATGTATGTTAAACGTTAGGAAGATCATTCTTGCGAGATGTACATGGGAGCACTTTTTCATTTAATTGTTTTGAAATTTCAAGCTGCAAAAGGCATATTTCCGTGACGCAAACAAGAGTTTAAACCCATGAGTCAAATATGGCAAGAATACGCTTGAAATTTAGCTTTATTTACACACTTTTTAACTCATTCACATTCGCCGGGCTTTTCAAGCGGCGCTGAATCAATAAGGGTGTTATCGTGTTTCAAAGATCTTCATGAAACTTGCATTCCTCGTCACTTTCGGTCTTCGTTTGTGTGGTATTTATCATTAACTATGTTTTTGCAAGCTTTTTCATGTCCGTAGTTTAGCCTGAGAGAGAAGGAGAGACAAAATTACGAGAGAAAGGTTATTTTGTGGATCAGAATTATTGCAAATAATTTTGACTTAATAAAAACATATATGTTTGTTCCTTCAAAGGTTAATGAGGTGTACAGTTTTGTTTCTCAAATAAATATTTATAGCAATACTCGGCAGGTGTTGCAGCTAAAAATAGTTAAACGACGTCTTCATGATGTAAATATTGAAACGAATCTATTTAGAATCTTCAAAACTCGGCCGTGGAACTTGATATCACAAAGAAACGTTATCGTTTCAAGAAACAAAAATATCAGAAAAAATATACCAAAATGAAAATTTTAACTTACCAAGAAATTTGGACATCTCTCAACCTTAGGCAGCCATTGATCTCCTGGGAGCCAAGAAAACGTTGTAAAATTAGTTTCATACAATACAGTACTGTCACTACAAATTAATTGAAGGTCGTGAAGTAGAAAAGTTTAAAGAACAATCTAAATCTAGTTTACGAAAGTATGGCTTGTTTAGAACACAATTGAAACACCGAATATAGCTTCTGAGCACAGCAATAGCTTTTCCACGAGTACTCGCGGTCGCCCATCATGTCTGGGTCAAAAACGCGGCAGCTAAGTGGGCGATCTTTTAGAGTTGTGAGTTTTGTCAAAGTTTTGTTCGTGGGGAACTTCTTAACGCTTTACATTATTTAAAACTCAAGTTACATGATTACTCGGATGGATTAATTTTCATCCTTGGAAGAAGAATCGCGCGTAAATTAGTAACTAATTAGTAATTAGTAACTTTTGACCTCTCCTCCCGAAAATTCCACGATCCGCCACGGAATCATTACCTTTTTCTTCCTGGTCTTGGGAAAGGTATATTGGCTACTGGCGGGCTGACTCCTCCCAAACCTGCACAGAGAAAGAAGAAATCAAATAAAGTAAGATGATTGAAACCATAACGCCTGTTGATATTGTGAAGGTAAAGGTAAAAACGTAAGGGATCTTTAAGCCTACATCTACACGTCTCTCTTTCTTTAAAAGATCGTCTGTAGATCGTAGACACACCTTCTGCAATTTTAGGAGATCGTTCGAGATTGTTGACGGGTGGGTCTAATTATTGTCAAAAGAGCGAGCGCCTTCTTTAAGAAATCTAGTTGTGATGTTTTGAACTTACTGGTAATTGGTCACCAAATTTATTTTTACAAGATTCTCATATTGTGATAGTTAGTAAAGAAGACGAATTTTGTTTCCTATGTGTTTTTAAGAACAGAACTCCGCTCAAATTTGAAAAAGTTGATTTTCAAATTCACATGCCGTCGTTTGAATAAAAAGGAATGGGTTTAACACTTCCACTATATCCACGGCAATTTCACTTACCTGTCATTTGAGTTTCCAGATCGTTTTGTTTCCTGGGAAACAAATAAAAAATTTCATGTCAAATTCAGGGAGGGATGGGGTAGGGTGCTTATCAAAGCCTCATAAGGCAGCTCGCAACATTTCATTTGACTGTTACCCAGCTTGAATAAATACCTTTTAGTGAGCATTAATCTTACTGAAAGGCCTTCAATATTCAAAACAAAGACTTTTAGAGGCCTTCAAATACCCATATATTTTACAATGAAACGCTACTTGGCCCAAGGAAATGTAAATACCAGCAGTTTCGTTTATAATATGGTTGGGGGGGGTGGGGAGAGGGTGCCTATTAGAAACTTCATTCTTGACAAGGGAGTCACTCTTTAGAAAATGGCGGTTTGGAGCGCTTTTTAGTATTAATTAGGCAAACTTACTGGTCATTTAGAGTTGGTATGGATCCTGAAGAGGCTGAATCATGCAAAAAAGACAGAAAAAAAATACTAACGAATTAACAATCGGTGAAACTAGACATAATAATTGTTTTGCTTACCTGGAGGAAGGGATTTGAATGGAAAGCAGAATATATTAATATAACAATGTTTCTAGTTCAGTTATTTCTGAAGTCGTTTCTTTTAAGAAGTCAGTTAAAAATATGTCCACTCTTGCTGGTGAAAATCATACTTCGCTCCCGGAATCCTCATGACCGCAATTGAAGCGAGAAAAGAGTGGCTATGACGACAAGAAGGCATTTGATCGGGTGCACCCTTAGGCATGCGCAGAGAGAAGACACATACACAAGAAAAATGAAAGCATTAGCGTGAGTATTCTCGAAAAGCTTTTTTTCTTTTCAGTCGGAGTTTTATATGAACGGTTGACCCCAAATAAAGTTTCACTCTGAAGAAAGTTTTCGAAATGCACCTTTTCAGTTTTGATGGAGAATCTATTCACATTACTCTCAGCGGTAGTCCCAACTGAGGAAAGGCAGTTGCGTTGTAAAGATTTTTCGACATAATGTGGTTGGGACTTAGGAAAGTGTTGATAGCAAAGAAGATCAATAAAAATTGTTCACACTCTTGTACACTTAACCGGCGTAAAATCATGTGGGACATCTGAATCACCTTGGGCATTGTGATATCCTAACGTTTGTATCTTATCTGCAAAATATAATGGAAATGTAATGTTTGTTTTAAAAGAACACGTCATGAATCAATGCACGTTAAGCGAAGGCGGCCAGATGACCGCTGAGTTCAGAGGACCAGAGACTGCCCTTGGTTAAAAACTATAGTTATTATCAATGATCAATTGTTATTTTTTTTTACCAATAGTTTACACCGTAAGCTAATAGCGGAGCTCGCAGAGCGTAGCCCCATAAAAAAGTTATACAAAATAGTAGTAACCCATCAAGCCGAAAAAATTTGGATGTACGACCGTACGACCGTACGGCCGTACAACCGACCGTACAAGGTGCTACTTTTAGCATGCACGGCCAACTGTACCACGGGCACTATCTTATAGTCAGTCCTCTACACGGATACGGAGAAGTTGCGAATGAAAATCCATTAATATTACCACGCACTTTATCCATAGTAGGGGCTTTAGTTTTGTTGAAGAGACGTGCGGGAAAAAAAAATGCGAGCTCCGCTTTTAGGCTTGCCTAAATCTATATATTAGGTGGTATAGTTGCTTCCTTGGACATCAATATACATCCCATAGCCCGTGGTATCTAGGTACCCAGAGGTAGGATTTTTGGTTAGAAATTATTGTTTTTGTGGTATACCAGTAATCTTGGGAAATTCTGCCCAGCAAACCCATGATTTGAATTGCTTTCTTTGTCACTTTTGCTATTATTTTTTATAAGTATTGTCATTATTATTTTAACCAAGAAACAACAAGACCAAAACACCGAAACCAACAACAGTAAGATGCAAGATAAAAATAACACTAGCGATAACAGTATCAATTACATTTTACACTAAAAAAGTCATCTCACCTTTCTTTCCAGGCCGCCATAATTTTTTATTTTGACGTTTTACGGTCTCAGGAGCTGCAAAACACGTATAAAGGAAAAAAAACCTTTTCAATTAGCAACAAAGTCACAGTCTGTATCGTGTGTTTCGTTACATCCAATAGTTTATTTTATATAATTCCTTACCTTTTTAAACAATACTCTTTTCGAGGAAGGACTCAAGTGAAAACCATCGTAATTGGTGTCCAACCTCCCATCCCCCTCCCACACCCCACAAAACACGTTGAACGGAGACCTCACGTCTCTTGGACATTTTATTTCCATTTCGTCAGCGCTCTATCTTTTTTTATTCTCCATCCCAGTCCACCTTATTTACGTTCGCCTTTTTCAATCCTCCTGCACCTCTTCTAATAGACAAACTTAGTGTGATAACGATAAGGATAAGCCAATTTGTGCATTCACGACGCCTCAAAATTCCAATAAAAAAAAAATAAATCTATCTGCAGACTAAGGCGGGATAGACAGACAAGTTATAAACATGGGTGTGAAAGGTAAGACCCAAATAAAGCAAGAGAACTCCATTGTTAAGATTCTCCGGCGCTCTATATGTGGTTGAAGCTAAGGAAAGTGTTGAAAAAAAAATTAAATGACTAAAATTGTTCATACACTTGTACACTAAACCGACGTAAACGCGTGCGAGACATCTGACTTACCTTGGAAATTATGATATCCTAAAAATTGTATCTCATCTGAAAAATGTAATGGAAATATAATGTTTGTTTTGAAGGAACACGTTATAAATGTTTGTTCTGTTATTCACATTGCGCTTCACGCTAAGTGAAGGCGGCCCGATGACCGCCAGGTGTTCAAAGGAGCAGAGGCTGCCCTTGGTTAAAATTATTGTTGTCATCATTACTAATATTATTGTTATTATTTCTTTTTGTTTGACCAGTGGTTTGCACCGTAAGTTTATAGATGATATAGTTACTTCCTTGGACATCAAGCTTTATCCCATAGTCCGGGGTATCTAGGTATCTAGAGGCAGGCTTTTTGGATAAAAATGATTGGTTTTTTAGTGTACTAGTAATCTTGGAAAATTTTTCCAACCAACCCACGGTTTGAATTGCTTTCTTACTTATTATTCACTTTGTTAATGCTGCTATAATTATTTTATAGTTATTGTTATTATTATTATTATTATTATTATTATTATTATTATCATCATCAAGAAACAAACCACCCAAAATACTAAAACCAATAACAGTAAGATACAGGATAAAAACAGCGTCGATGACGACAGTATTAATTACATTTAAGATAAAAAAAGGCATCTCACCTCTCTTTCCAGGTCGCCACATATTTTTACGTTGTACGTTCTCACGAGCTGCAAAAACAAAAAGGAGGAAAATAAAACGTTGAAAATTAGCGACAAAACTTTGCATCGTGTGTTTCCTATCATTTATTAGTTCTTTCCACAAATCGCTGCCTTTTGAAACGATTTCCTTTTCGATGAAGGACTCAAGTGAAAGTCATTGTAACTGGTGCGCCGATTCCCCCCCCCCCTCCCCAAGAATCGTTAAAACGGAGAGTTCACGTTCCTAACACATTCTCTTTTAGACAACTGTCTCTCTTTCCTTATTCTCCATCCCAGCTCTCTTACTTAACGTTCGCCTTTTTCAAATCTCCCACGGTTCTTCACAAAAACAATTTTTGTAAGATAGCGATTCTGAAGCCATTCTGAGTGTGGGCTTAGGTAAGTGTAGATAACAAAAAAAATAACTAAAATTTTTTCATATATTTGTGCACTTAACCAACGTGAAAGCATGCAAGACATCTGAATTACCTTGAAGATCGTGAAGTTGATTCCCTAGCAAATGTGTCTCATCTGCAAAAATTAATGTTCGTTTTCAAGGAACACGTTATATATCATAGTTATGCTATTTACATTGCAATGCACGCTAAGTAAAGGTGGTCCGATGATCGCTAGGTGCTCAGAGGACCAGAGACTGCCCTTGGTTAAAAATTATTGTTGTCGTCATCATTTTTATTCTTATCATAAGCATTAGTTAAATTTTTTCTTAGCAGTAGCTTTCATTATAAGCTGATGGGTGGTATGGTAACTCTCTTGGACATCAAGCTTTATTATATACTAAATGGCGTTTAAGGCGCGCTCTGATTGGCTACTCAAACTCCCAATAACCTTTGCTAGTCACCTCCGAGCAACTTGCTTAGGATTTGTGCTCGAAAATATTGTATTAGTAGCGGGAGTTAGAATTGTATTTCTGTGTTATATTGTTGACAGCTTTATTATTAACAACAATTTTGCAGCTCGGTAAATATCTACCTTTAACCACCTCCACTTTGGTATATAGTTGTTGTCAAATATTCCTTGGGTATTTAGGTGTCGAAAGGCAACCTTTTTGTATTGTACCAGTGATCTTTGGAACTTCTTCCTAACCAACCTTTCGGTTTGAATTCGTTTTCTCACCTTTTTAAAGTTAGAATTACTTTTTTGATTTTGATTATGGTTGTTGTTTTTATCATCATCATCGTCATCATTGTTATTATTATTATTATTACAAGAAAAAAATAGCATCAGCAACAACACATTAAGGACTACTTAAATAAAATTATTCATCTTACCTTTCTTTCCAGGTCGCCATTGATTATATTGACGTTTCTCGTTCTCAAGAGCTGCAAGGTAATAAAATAAAGTTAATAAAAACCTTTCCAGTCGGTTCCTTCCATTAAAGTTAGAGCTACTTCTGAGTTTTTGTTTGGTTATGGTTGTTATTTTTATCATCCTCATCATCATCATCATCATTATTATTATTATCATTAAGAGACAAAACAAAACACTGACACCAACGAAAATGAGGATAAAAGAAAAAAAAACCATATCAGTAACAACATAATAAGTAATAACCTTTTTTCCCAGGTCGCCATTGAGAATATTGACGTTTCTCGTTCTCAAGAGCTACAAAGTAATAAAAAGTTAATAAAAACGCCGCCAGTTGGTTCTTTCCATCAGTCCCTTCTTATTGAATGATGTCCTTTTCGAGGAAAGATTCTAGTAAACACATATGCTTCCGCCCTCCACACCTCTCCAGAATCGTTCGAACGGAGAATTTACGTCCTTCGCGTTGTCTTTGTCAAATCTTCAGCGGTTCTTCTCAGAGAAAAGACCTTTTACTCTGCGAACGCTGACATATTTCTGGTTAACGCTTCTTTCCAAATATACCTCTATGTTCATAAGAATGTTCCTTTACTATGAAAAGATATATGACCAAATTAAACGATGAAACTCACGCTGATATCGAGAAATAGCGAGAGCGAAATAGATATTACGTTCGATCCAGCAGCATCAGACATAGAGGATTTCGTTATCAATAAAAATTAGCGAGAACGCTTTTTATTGTGAACAGTCGAGGAGGAATCATCAAATTGGATTCATTCTGAATCGAGAAAAAGTTTGACAAAGTTAAGATGTAAACTAGAGGCATATTAGAGCTTAAACTTACCACCGGTAGTAAACGTTGCTAACACAGCAATGATAACGATCAACAACAAGCCACGCATGATGGAAGATTTCCTGAGAAGGAATAGAAAAAAAAAACAGAAAAAGACAAATCAGCCAAAGGATGTTAGTAACATCTAGTTCGGGAAACGGAAAACGGTAAAAGAAAAATTGAGAACGAGGAAAGGGAATATAAAACGAGGAGCAAGAAATGAAGAACGGGTAACGGTAAAAGGGGAAACAGGAATCTGGGAGCGAAAGCACAGCGCCCTTCGAACTCAGTCGATAGAGCAAACAGCAAGGACGATGGATAAAATTTTCATTGAGGGTTATAAATCACACAAAAAGCGAGTTTAAAGTACTCTTTGGTGTGTGTTTAGTTACGAACAACTTCCAAATAATATAAATGAACAGGCTGATTAATTAGCATTTGTTGAGCAGAATTTTTGTTCGTGACACACTTTTTGAGATCAGTAAAATAGAAGTAGGGACAACAGAAAATAGTTTTTTTCCTTCTTGCAAGAAACGAAGAATCATTCCCCAAGAAACTAAATTAACAAAAAATTTGCAAAAAATGAGGAAAATATATCCGGCGATCGTGTTTTGAAAACAGGATTTGGCACACAATGTTGCTGGCCCTAAACACTTAAATCTTACGAGCTGATTGACGTGTTTTGAAAATAGACGAAATATAAGCCAAAGAGAGGTAATTGTCACGTCGAAAGCCCTCATTAATTTATTAACAAATGCACAGCATAGCAGCTGGAGGGGAAAGGTTATTATCGGTTCAAGGGTAATTGTGGAGGGCGGAAATCATTTGTACATCTTGCACGAGAAATAATTCACTTTTCACAACAAAGATTAATTACAATTTCGTTTACGCAAAAGACATGTTTTTCGTAGCTGTATTTTGTTGCACGCAATTATTGATGATCGTTCCTAATGGAAAAATGACGATGTAGTGAGACAATTGAAAGTTTTGGCATACGAATGAAAATAATGGTCTTACTTTTGTCGATGAAAAGGAAAAATTATATTAGAAAAAGGTACAAATTTAAAGAAAACTTAAAAAAAAAACCCAAAAAACAAAAACACTTCGTAAGGAAGTAGAAACAAAGAGTCCTTGTCATATCATGTGATGATATTTTAAACTGCATGTTTTGGAATTATACGCCATAAATAGCAAATGTTTGTAGAACCCTTTTTATAGACTCCAAGAAAAGCGGAAACTTGTCAAAACATTTCATCTCTAATGACATACAGCGTTGATTTATTTATTATTGTGTTGAAAAGGCATTTGCAAAAAGCAAAAACTAAGGTTCAGTTTAAGTTTTAAAAGATGTAAGAACTATAAAGGTGTTTTATCATTAACACAGTATGTTTACAAGAAAAGAAAATTGTGGTTATTACTTAATTCCTACCAAATTTATATTTGTTCCAACATCTCTACCAATAGTAATATTCTTGTGCCCAGTTTCAATTTTGCCACCAACATTAAACTGCCTATGCCAAGTTCCAGTTTTTTTCCAGCATTAAACTGCTTCTGGCCAGTTCCAATATTTTTTCCATTTAACTGCTTATGGCCAGTTCCAATATTTTTTCCAGCATTAAACTAATTATGCCCAGCCCAGTATAATTCATGATTTCGTTAAAGAAAATTAAAAATTACGAATATAACTCCTCCTTTCTGATCATTTTAGGAACTAAACATTACTCGCTATTTTCTTTCCATCAAGGAATGTTTGTGTCAAATACGTCGAAAATTCTCGTTAAATAATACAGTCACTTCTTTAGCAGTAGCTTTGATAGAGACTACTTTTGTAAGGATTAAATGGTACAATCTAATGGGGGTGAAAAAATGAACGCTCTTTAATTTTTAGACCGATGTTAAGCTACTTTGTTTTGCTAAACTAAATGAGTCTGCATTTGCGAATTCAATTTTTTTAAACAATTGTCTCTTACTAAAAGTCTTGACATCCAACCTCGGCCGTATTCAGATGAACTTTAGTAACTTTTGAAACTCACACAAGTCCAACAATTTACCGACGAAAAAAAGAGCGCGGTTTGGAACCCTAGCCTTTTGATACGCTAAAAAGGTTTTCATTCCTCTATAATATAGAAAATGTTTTTAACTTGAGAACTGCAAACCACCATTTGAAATTGATTAGGGCATAAGCAACTCACGCAAATGAACTTTGGAAAAATTGTCGAATTCTAGAGTTTATCATAAATTATTTATTTCCCTTTAGTGGCATTAGAATGCAAACAGTTGTACTTTTGGATTTTAGAAGTATTGTTTTATTGGGTTTTTTTGCAAAATAATGTGACAAACACTAAAAGGGTGACATCAATTATGGAGTGGCTTTTTAAAGTGAAAGCAGTGAGAACTTGTCGGACTTGGGTGAGAAAATTCTGTTGTTCTTATTGCAAATACAATAGCGCATTAAATTCACAATAACTGTTTTGTCATGACATTGAAAAAACACAAAAATAAAATAGAAATAAGAATTTAACCTTGGCTTCTGGTTTCGTTTAGTCAAAGAACGGTGTTTTGAATTTTTTTTCTGTAAAAAAATAGCCGGTAATGTAGGCAGTAAATCTTACCTTTTTGTGAGAGACAGCTAATGTTACCTCCTTCACCCTTCTCCCTCTTTGCAGAATAACCTTCCCTTTCGCTTGGAAGCTCCTTAAGTAGCCCTACAAATGGAAAATATGATAATTATAGCCATCCAGTGGTGTATCAATAGACGCTGTTGGATGAATATTTCTTGGCGTATCTCGACTATTCGCTTATCATGCAAATGAAAAGGGGGCGGGCCGTGAAATCGACAACGGAAGGCGCGCCGCAAATGCGAACGACGCCCCTGGTTTCCGTTTCATGACATTGATGGCATTATTTTCCACTCGTAGGAAGCAAAAGTATAAATGACAAAAGCAATAAATTACAATTAGAACCTGTGACAATCAAATTTCACTCAGAAGCGATAACCGTTATGATTGTGGCTCCGGTAATTAGATGAACTGCCTGCAAGGCAGAATTGAGCCGGAACTTTGGCGGTGATTTTATATTAAAAAAGTGTTAGTGACAATTTTAGGACTTCACTCAGTAAAATGCAATTTGCGGGAAAGTTTGCGACTATTTAATAATACTTAAAATCTATGGGGTGTCTACCTTCAGAACTTGAAAAAAGAAAAATCAGAGTCGGTAAATTGATGAGAGTTTTTTAGTATGCGAAGATAATTCTATGGAGACTTAAAAGACTTAACTAAATCGAGTTTCCTTTCATCCGACGGTGGTTATGTACTAAATCTGGATCACAGTCGTACTTGAATGCGAGAGGTACTTCAGTCATATCTTTGAAGGACTCGTTAATTTAAAATGGAAGTAGAATTCCAGCATGTCGAAAAATAAGTTTCTCATATGTCAAATAATTACAGTTTAATTCAATTTTGGCTACAATTTCCTCAAAACACGTACGTTATGTAACGAGAATTGTTTATTTTCCAATTCACTTTAATTTCGCAGCGTGTCATATTTCTTTTCATCTTGAAGCTAATTGGGGCGAAGAATCACGACATTGCGAACCTTTCTCCCGAGGTAGCAGCTCACTCGACCTTACTTTTAGCCACCGTTTAAGCAAAACGCAATTTTCTTTAAAATTTTTTTTTTCTAAAAGCGTCTTGTAGAAGTTTTTAATGCTGAGTTACCTTTGTAGACCAAGAATATGAACAAACGCTCCCCTTTCCATCTTGCGCGTTCTCGACGCTTTGAACGCGTGTCCTTGGCGTTCAATTTGAACATTTAAAAATATATGACAATGCCGTGATTACGTCGATAGCAGTTTGAGATAATGAGGTATTTGCTTTTCTTGGTCTCTCTTTATGGGAGCACAGCGGGAAGTTTCAAGCAGGCAGGACAAATTGACGTCAAAGTTATTTTCTTGAAATTCGCGTGATTTTTTTTAAAGTTTGCTTTCTTTGGCTCAAGTGATAAAGAGCGATTTGTCATCGTCATCATGCCTAGGTTGCATTCTTTGAAAAATTAACGCATGTAGGTTGCATTTAGCCGTATCTATCATGTCAACTTACCCCGCTTTTTTAATAATTAATCATCATGTTTGGAGGTCAGTATTTGCCATGTGGAGTGTTTTAGTTCATTAGAAGGATCAATCAGTGCTTTCCTTCTTAACGCTGTATTTTTAACGGAAAGCTTTATTTAGAAGACGAGGAAATAGAACTGGCCACTTTGCTTTCCACTTCTGGTTTCCTATTTTGGTTCGAGTTTATCTCTTTTTTTTTTTTTTTTTTTTGAGGAAAAAAAAACAGTATTTGCCATGTAGAGAGTTCAAGTTCATTAGAAGGATAACTTAAAGCTTTCCTTCTAAATGCTGTGTCTTTAACGAAGAACTTTATTTTGAAGACGAGGAATTAGAATTGGCCACTTTGGTTTCCACATCTGGTTTTCTGCTGTGGTTAGAGTTTGTCTTTTTTTTTTTTTTAAAGGAAAAAAAAAATTAAATGACTTCTATTGATTGATTCATTGTGGTAAGAAGAGGGTTAACTGAAATGATAAGCGATCGTAGCTTACCAATCTTCTTTTCAGTCATGGCCGACTATCCGTTGATACCAATTTTTCCGGGTTTTTTTTTTGCGTGAACAAGGCAAAACCGAGTGATGAATGCGTTGTTGTTGATCTTTTCGATTATTCCTGTCAAAAGTAGCTTCACAGTGCAATGATAAGACCAAACATTGATCACACGTTTCAGCTTGGAAGAGCAGAAATCAAAAGAGAGTATTCGCAGATTAGTAGATTAAATGCGTTTTCTAACTTGAGATAATTGATGAATAAATTTCCATGGAAAATCATTTTGAATAAAACCACAGGTGCTCACTCCATATGTGATTAAAAATTGGGCGAAAATGAAACGCTTTCTCGTGGAGAAAGCGAGAAATCTTAGGAGAAGGGTATTCAGAACTGAGAAGGCCGCTGTAAGCCAGTAAGCCTTACTTCTTTAAAACGTCTGCCAGTTTAAGCGGTTCACATTTAGCTAGCACTAATTAAGAATGAAAACATCATCTGATAATTTCATAGAATCCGTGTTATTTCAAAACATCCAGAGGTATAAAGGGGAAAAACGCGATAAAAGAAAAAGCAAGAAGTAAGATGTTCTTACGTATTTGGTCTCGTTTTGGTGGTCCTTGTTAGGTGAGATGTTAAACCAATTTTTTTTAAAATGTTAGTGATATCTTCAGTGAGAACGAAAACACAGTGAACTATATCTCATCGTCATTTTCTGTCCTCAAGCTTTGAAAAACGTGGCAAACGGATGGTAGAATTGACAATCAGCCGGTTGGGTGCATATGACATTAGATGACGCCTTCATTTCCTGTTTAAACGATAAAGCAAACACAGTCAAGTTTTGTCCAGAGCCGGATTTAAGGAAGCCACGGTCAGCTGTTTACAGTGGACTTTAGTGTAAGGAAGTTAAATGCAAAACAATGATTTCTCGGTGATGATAAAACATGGGCTATTTAAGTGGCATATTGGCGGGCTTAAATAAGAATGATCGTTTCACTTTGGGTACTCAAAAATACTATGAAATTGTAAAAGAATCAGATCAGTGTGAATAGCAGGGTACGGCAGTGGATTTGATTTAATTTTTTTGATTTGTGCTCGAAGGAATTACCAAAAGGTAGGTATTGCCTATCTTTCGACAATGCGCAAATTAGGTGATAGGTTTTGAAGGAATTTCTTTGAATATCCTCTTAATTTTTTTTGCGTGCGCGGAAGCGTACCGAAACGACCGAGGTCAAAAATTGAATCAAATTTCGTTTTGATTAGTTTATAGTTTGAATTTATTATGAATACAATGTTCCTTTGATGTATGAGTTCAATAACGGGGCATCAATAGTCTCCACTCGCCAGAAATTATCATCTCAGGCATGGAGTACCAATTTCAAGCTGCGTTCAGTTTGCCTGATTTTAAAGAAATGGGTAAAATAATTCAACATTTGCTTAAAATATGAAGTAGTTTTTTCAAGTATGCCTCAACAATAAAACTTATAGTTATCGCAATGCAGTGACGAAGCTTGCTTATTTTTATAACAATCATTGCAGACGGAATAAACTTTCAGAAACGATTGATAAAATCAGGTATATGTAATCAGCTGTAGTCAAACTTGATTGAAGTAAACCCGTTATTGAAGGTAAAAAACATTATATACTCTAACTTGCTTTTCATCAAAAAGCAAAAAATTTTTTGAATTTTCAAGAGAAACAAATGTTTCTACGTTTATTTCCGTACGTTAGTTTGGGTCTCTGTTACTCGTTTAATGTGCTCAAAAATCGATAACACAAATTTTCGCCTGTATTAAACCGATAGCTATATTTGGGAAAATCAAGATTATCTCTTCATATTCCCGCCCCAAATTATTGTTACAAGAAGATGTCCGCGTTCATGTTCATGCAACGTACTGATTTCATTGTTTTGATAAGAACTAAGCTGACAAAGGTATCTTAAAACATCATGTATACCAAAACTGAACAGAACCAAATGTCATTGAGTGTTAAGATCAATCGAAGGCTTAAACATCACACGAAATAATAGTTGTTACAGCTTTCTCAAGGAGGAAATATTTCAATTTTACAAAGCCATCGGTTACGGTTATTCTTCTGAAAAAGATGTACTGTCCTGAATTTGTTTTTTAACTTGGCAAATTGACAAAAATGCACATGATCCTGGTGAAGTGGATGAAAACAGGAGTTTCCTTGTCGTCAGCTTGCATGACCGTTTTTCCGGGTGATCTTTTCTGGGTTCCATGAGGACTGTTTCAGAAACTGCGCATACAAAAAAAAATTTAAGCCTAATTGTTTGTTTGAGCTTGAAATGATCTGTAAAGTGATTTCGAATTGCTGATTTTACAACTATCGTGAGGAAATTAGACCGTTTTATAAATCATACTCTTTTCGGTTGCGATATACGAGGTTTGATTCAGGTCATTAACAATTATGACACAACTCCTACTATCCGGGTTTTTCCTCTTCACTGATATATTTCTGTCGCATCACCATGAGTGACATGGTGGGAGGTGGAGATGGTGGTCGAGAGGTGAGTGGAGGGGGGAGAGCAGGGAAAGTACTGAGCACTTTTGTAAGATTAAATGACGCCGATTTACTTCGACGATGAGCTCCTGCCAGATTACAAGGCACGATTTTGAAAAAGCGCCTGCTTTGTTTGGATCCAGCGGAAAAGATGATTATGTGCAGAAAGGGTACGCATTGCTACGTATTTCTATGGAATTACCATGATACAAAGACACTCCAGGCAGGTGCTTCGCAGAAGTTTGAATTCAGAACTTTTATATAATAGATTGAATGCAGTTATGTAACATCAATGTCCTTACCTCTTCCTTGCGCGAAGACGATCAACTATTTTGTACTTGTGACTTAGAAGGTTTTTGTGTTTCCCTTTCAGAAACAAAAGGTTTAACTAAAGCAGTCTGAGAGATTTTAACATTTTCAAGAGTGTCTCAGAAACAAAAGGTTTAACTAAAGCAGTCTGAGAGATTTTAACATTTTCAAGAGTGTCTCATTGACGAAAATTCCTTAATTTGAGGGCGGACCCCTCCCATTAAACAATTTATCCGCTTCAATTTATTTTACTGGCCGGATTAAATTTAAAGGATTAGCCGGAAAAACAGCATGTATCTCCTTTGTAACTGCCAAAATCGAAAGAAAACTCAACAAATGAACTTTATGTAAAGGGATTTGTAAAGTACATGACGAAATTCTGGGCAAACTTTGTTTTGTATGAGTAATCACATGATTCCGGGTGCAATTTAGAATAAATAAGCACGAGTAAATTTTTTCAGAGACTGACAAAAATTTGTGGTCTTTGAAAAATTAACAAGTGCTTATTTATTCCAAACCGCATGAGAAAAATCATGTGATTACGTATTAATAAAATACATGGAAAAATACGGGATAGCTTATCATAATTGTGCAGAAGCAAAGCGCACGCATTAAGTGCAAAAATAATTTATTGAAACCTGTACATTTGGTCAAAACAACCGCGTACGATCAAAACAGTAATATACAATGATATTTTCACATATATAACGCGCAAAAAAGTTCAAGTCCGGCTAAACAGTTCAAAGAATTGTTCAGTCTGTGTCCGAATCACTTTCGGTGAAATGAAATCGTCGTTTGCGAGGTTTAACCATGTTTGTTTTTAATTTCGGCGTGCAATCACTCGAAGTGTTAAGCTGGATCGGCTCGTAATTTTGATTTCCTTGGCAATTCCCTTCTCTAAACACCACTTTTTCCAAACCGACAACCAAACAGCAGTGCTTTTTACAGTGTTTCGTTATCAGAGCTGTTTTCAGCTGCTGTATTGTTCTTGCGGTAGCGAAAGAAAACCTTAGTACTTAAAACGCCGGCCATTGTTCTCTCGCAAATTTTCATCGTAGCCAAATGTCGCGACATCCAAGGCTCGCATTTGATAAGCTATGAGTGAGTTTCTTTGATTATTGTCTATTCAGAATGTCTGGTTAGTTACTTTCTTTGCACTGAATTAACCCTCAAGCGTTGAATTACCTGAAAACTGCATTTATCTTAACCAATCAGATCTGAGTAATTTTTTCATGTATATTATTAGAGTTTGAACTGAAGATACAGAACTATAGCACTACAAGCTTCACTGTTGTCGCTGTAACAGTGTTCATTGGAAAAATTCTCCGACCGAACCAATATTTCATATTTCATCGAAAATTTCCATATAGATTGGAACCCATACTGACACTTGTGTCTACTGAGACAGGTGAAAGCGTTCAACAGTTTACAACCGTTACATGCGCAGCAGGTCAAAGATTGCCAATCAAAGGGGAAAGCTGTAATTACTTTAGCCAGAGAAACTGGCATCGGTTCCTGCTACGTAGTGAAAGGCAATTAAGATATCTTGCTAAGTAATGTTACTGTAAAACATGGCTGGTGCGCTCCTCGGCAGGTTTCTGCTTTTGACACAGTTATGCACTTATGCAAGAGCGACAAAATTTTGCCGCGAATCCCATGGGATGACGCATAACAACGAAGTTTTAATCGGGCATTCTTACAAATCGCTACTAACACGGGGGATTTTTGGTTGTGGGCATGAGTGCTTGGCCAGTCTAAAGTGTACATCCTATAACTATCAAACATCAGCGGTTGGACGAGGCATCTGCGAGCTTAATGACGGTGAATTTAGTGGCAAAAGACATTTGGTAAAGAAACAAGGCTTTGTTTTCGTTCAAGTGAAATGGAAACAGGTGAGTTATCTTAGGAAGGTTTTCTGAGTGATTTTAGCGTACGTTTGCTAAAAATTCCATATTCAGACCCCCAAAAGATATCAGAAATTACTCAACCATAAGGTAGTTTTGTACTGAAGCGATAACATCGAGTTCAGTTTAATAATAAGTAAATGACAAAAATGATAATAATCCAGTAGATCGTCAATAATTTTAAAGGATGAAGAAAAAACTGAGATTGTACAAAATTCTGATCAGGTTGATGTAATATTCATATCAAAGTAGGGCCAGCACTAATGAATTCACAGCACGTTTCCAACGTCAGCTAAACGTCAGCCAGTCTAGAAAACCTTTCATTTCTGTTCTCAATTTCCTTTCTAAACGCACTCTTGGCCATTAACAATAATTTTCCTCATTAAATTGAGGAAGATTGACAGTTTGCTAGATCATAACAACACACGCTTTTGGCAAAATAAAGATTTTCTTCAGTTAGAATAAAAGTCACGTAAAAATATTTAGCCTTTTCATGCGTATCAGATGAAACCTGAAGTCATTTTCAAGGATGACTGATAGGAGAGATCGCGGGCACAGGTTACATTTTCCTACCTAAAAACAAGAGGTTATAATATCTTAATGTATATGCATAGGATAGCCCTGAAATCCCTTATGCAAGAACTGTAGTGAAGAATTAATGTTATTGTCTGACCTACAAGATGAGAACTCAATTGGAGGAGATTGAAACAATTACCTTATCCCCCCATAATGCTCTCTAACTGATGACCCTTCCTCCCCCCCCCTCCCACTCTTTGGCTGTTAATTGGTATTCACATTTCTTCAGTCCATCTTGTATACTCTGGTGGTGACGACTGCTCCACCTCCGTTCCCCTTGAAAATACGCCTACTCTCCATTCTCGCCCCGCCGGCGATTAGTATAGACTAGTGCCTTACATTTTACTCTTGACGACTTCTCCAGAGACCCAAAAGTTGCTGGGAGGCCTGGAAACAAGGGGCAAGAACATCGGGATACTACTTCATTCAGGGGAGGACGGAGTGTCTCTTTTACGAAATGTACTGCGACTTCAGTTCAGAACCCGGTTGGGCCTGGACTCTGGTCATGTCACAGAGCTTGAGCAGTAGGAGCAAAGCTTTTGCGAAGGATTCATTCTTACGAGGACCTTTTGAAAACCAGCAGTATCCAAACTGGGAAAACTACAGAATTGGCAACAGTCGAATGAATATTGTGCGAGCGCAGTCCAGCCACTGGCGAGTCACATGTGATTTCCCATCTTATGGTGTCGATTACAGAGATTACGTCAGGGTCGCTTTTGAAAAAATAAATCCGATGAAATACGAGGTCAGTGGGGGATGCCGAGAAGTGGAATACATCAACATCCGAGGGCATAACTGTACAAAATGCAAAGCTGGCTGGTGGCAAACAGACACTCAATTTCTGACGCACTTTAGTGATAAGGATATTTGCCAGTTCGGCAAGACACTGGGTTTCCTTGACAACGAGGCCAACTTTGGCGGCTATTGGAAGAACAATGTTAGCTCTGAGTTTCGGTGTTCATCAGTGAACACGTCCACCACCAATCATTGGTTCGGAGGTAAAGTATAGGCGATGACAAGAACATTAAAAATCGCCAAAGACAACTTCAAAAACAACGACAGCGACACCTTTAAACACAAACAACGCTTAGTAGCGATAAAGAAAATGTAGCAATTTTTATGCGTCCAGATCCCTCGTGATTTTATTAATAACGACCACAACGATTTTCAGGTAATTTAGTGTTAACAACTGGGTTGAAAACGTAAATTAGCCACCGTAAAGGGTAAAAAAAGCTGACGTTTCGAGCGTTAGCCCTTCGTCAGAGCGATTGAGCAATCTGCTATACCTGCTATACTCTCCCACCGACGCAGCACCACAGTTTCTTTAGAAACTTACCCCTTTACAACGATTTTCATACGATGATTTATCCGGTAATTGAAGTTGTTGTTTCTTACAAGATAGCCTTAGATTCTTTCGCCAAAATAAAACTCGGCAAATGTGAAAAAACGCACATGGCGCGGGACACTGCGTCCTTGTCATTTTGTCAGTGGTATTATAACCTATATGTAAATGTAAAGAATTATACATACTGCTAGCCTAAGCAATCCAAGTTATTGTAAATACATGCATAAATAACGTTTCTGAGTTATCTTGGAAAACTTGCTCATCTAAGGAAGGAAACAGTCGTGGAAGTTATCATGAGCGTGTGCTGTAAGCTACACGACGCTTTTCATTTGTGTTGTTAAGTGAAACGCATTATTTTGTTGATTCATGCGTTTTCCATTGGTTTTCATTCATTGCTATGTTTCGTTTAATATGTATTTAATATGTCTTTAGTGCAGCGTACCGTGGGCATACGGCTAGGCATTACACGAGGGCTTCACGTGAGCTAGTAGATGTGAAGCCGCGTAAGCAAATAACTTGCAACACGCGTTTTGTGCGGGAAATCAAACTGGTGAGGTAGTAGTCGAACATTAATTTTCAGTATTTTGCGGTTTTTAATCAACTCGCAAAGCAACAATACCAACAGAGCTAAAGCTTTGTCAACCGGAGGAAATTGTTATAATTTAAGTCTGTGAAGAAAGGGTTTTGGGTAAAGTAGGCCGGAAAGAAAGAAAAGGAGCGACCAAAGAAAGCAAGGAGTAAAAGGCGTAAAGCGAGTCGAGAAAAACGCGGATGAAAGTTAGAAAGGACGCTAAAATAGGCAGAATATGGCGAGAGGAAAGCGAAAGAGAACAAGAAAAGGCAATAGTAAAAAGGCGAATATCTAGCGAAGAGCAACAAAAAACGGAAATACAAAGAGCTCCAGAAAACAGACTGAAAAGGAGGGGGGCATTGGGGCTTATTAGAAACCGCAAAACCGTAGAAAAAAAATCATCAAGAACCGAAAAAAAATTCGATCAAAACCGAAAACCGCATGAAAACTTTCAAAACCGATACATTTTCACATCCCAGTTATTAAAAACCTGATCAATCCGATACAGTGGTGACAAGCGGCGCATACAGAGTAAACTACACCAATTTCTTTAGAGTATTTGTGAATACCATGGACTTGGCATTCGTATCTTCTAGTACCTGCTAAACTACAAGCTTTATTTCATGTAATAGTGTAGTTTGATCGTCCGTGTGAGTGTAGTCCTGAGAAGGACTGTTGTCGGTAGTGGTGACAGACTCCCCTCAACAGGTGTCAACCACTACTGGCACCATACAAACGACTCATCTACGACATTAACATTACAAACGAACCGAACAGAACGACCTAACTTCACTAACGGATCCAAACCGACCAATCACGACTGACCTACGCCACTTGAGTCTTACAGCCAATAACATCACGGCAAAACTGACCAATCAGTGTACACAAATTGGACTAAGTACATTCGACTGACAACAACCTTTCACTTGACTCTGATGATGACTTCCGCTCAGGTTGTCGAAACGTCAGTCACCACTACCAACAACAGTCCATCTCAGGACTACACTCACCCAGACGATCAAACTACACTATTACATGTTACCCCCGGGTTCAAACCATTTACTGTAAGCTTTATTTCAGCTTCTTTCTCGAGGACCTTGAGCGTGGTGTCTGCGGACTCAGCAGTTAGTAATGGAGCCCAGTTAAATTAAGGAGATTCGCACAAAGTCCTCTAGAGTCCTCTATAGGATTCCAATTTTTGCTTTGCATCTAAACTTGTTTTTCTCTCTGAAATTCTCGCCGCCTTTCCCCTCTTCGTAAAAAAAAGGAAAAACTGATCGAACTTGAACTAAGTGTTCCACGTTGCAAGGTCAAAGTCTTGGGCGTTATTCAAGACGCGTGAACCCCTACGGATGGTCAAAGTCTTGGGCGTCATTCAAGACGCGTGAACCCCATAAAGATCCCTGTGATATTTCAATTGGTTTGTAACGCATTCCTCTCAATAACATTTGCGTTTAGCGAGATCAGTGGAGGCGCATAATTGCCGCTTAGATCGAAGAGAAACCGAAACCCAAATAGGTTAAATAGGAAAAACCGAAAACCGCGTCGGATATCAAATCCGAAAACCCGTTAGTATTTTTCCTGAAAACCGAAAACCAAATGCTAAAAAACGGAAAATCCGTAACTGCAATGAACACCAAAACCGAAAAACCGAAAAACCGATCGAAAAAATAGCCAAAACCGCAAAACCTAAAATCCCAATGCCCCCCTCGAAAGGGGTTCATCAACAAAGAGAAGCGAACCACAAAGGATTCGTGAAAGAAGAGGAGGTAAGTCGTGTCTTATCTGGGTTTTCTCTTGCGCTGAGGCCCAGAAAAATTCAAACCTTTTTTCCCAATCTTCGTTTGATACTAGCTTCAGTTTATAATTCAAATCACGTTTCGGTAAAACAATGACTTTTGCATACATCGCTTTAAAACCCTCGCGCCCGTTCATCGCTCGAATAACATTTCAAAGTGTTGGTATTCTTCAAATTATTTAGGGAACGGATTATATTTTGCCTAGAAAGTTTTAAAATGATAGCGAACGGCGTAAGCAAGTTTTTAATCATTCTCTCTTTAGCTGGCTATCAAAAGGTTTACACTATTCATTAAAAAATCGCGCTTTGTCGAAAGTTTGTTGTTTTACCCTAAGAACGAAGTCATGGCCTTTCCCAAAATTGAATTACAATAAGATTGAGTCAGCGATGTTCATGTTTACATTAAGTCTGACGCGGTAATTTGATTTTGAAAATATTGTTATGTGAGAACCCGTCAAACATCTGAGAATTAAATTACCGAGCGCAAATGTGAGGAGGAAACAAACTCACGGGTAAAATGGTGTTAATCCAGCAGCGGGAGGAGCGAATTTTATCGTTTAGTCATGGTACTTTTCAGCGCTGTTTTCATGCTTTCTATGCGATTCGTTCTAACTTGAAGAAATAATTTGTTTCACAAAATATGGAGCCACTTTCTCTTCGCTCAACATCTCGAGTCGTACTTAATGCTCGGGTTTATGCAGTGTCAGTGGGGAGGAGGGATCCCATGGATCCACTAATGTTATCACTGACAAAATTAGACGGATATGGTTGGATTATGACGTCATGTAGTCTTCCACTTGCGTGACAAGGAGACTTTCTCCGCTTTTGTTCGAAACTCTAGTTAGAGGGTACCAATGGGGTGATGGCTTTTACGACTATTAGTTAAAATACGTCAAATTTTACGCCTAACGGCTAAATTTTCTTGCTATTTCACGGCTATCGGTTAACCCCATTGAGACTAATTTACCTGCATAAATATAATAACAGTAAACCAATGTTTCTCACTTGTTCTCTTTCTTCCTACTCATTTTCTTTTTATTACTTGTTCTATTGTTCTCATTTGTTCATTTTTTCTCACATCTCATCGCCTTGCTGCTTGAAATAAAATAGATATTGCAGCGCGAACTTCGTTTTTGATCACTCGTGGGAGTGAAAGAGTTACGACTGCCATGCATGAAGCAGGTCTACAGTGACTTGATCACTCACAATTTCCAGCACTATGAGCAAAGTACTTGTTTTTAACCTGCGTTCTCAATGGCCTCTTTCTATTTCGGAGAACAATAGCAGTATTTCCTTAGACGTGGGTAGGAAGACGCGATGCAATATGGTTGATCCTTGTAAGCATCAATTCGACTGATATCTCCCACTAGTGAGGGAACACCCTTCTTCATTCTCACCGAAGCTTCGTAAAATCCCTCGTTTGGAGATGTCACGAACTGTAACTGATACAAAGTGTCCATAGCAAGAGTATTAACCGATTTTTCACCCAACACCACACCACAGGAATCACATTCATCGTGAGCGCCTCTTTTGGAGTCTACAAATCTCTGCATGGCTTCTTTCGGCATCTCGCGGAAAGCGTTCTTTATTTCTTTTAGTTTCATCCGCTGACATAGCTTTAACAATTTGTCGCTTTGTGACGTTAAATTGTTCATGTGCCTGAGGACAAACTCAGCTGATTCCTTGACTGCGGGCTCATTCACCGGCACGGCTTCCAAATCAAGGCAGGGACACCAGTGATCTTCCACACCTGCGCTTGCGCACGTCCGATTTCTCTCATCAATCCGGCTGAACAAGCTTTGACCAGTTATAATTTCGCTTGGATACTGTGGATATGACAGTACGTGACGTAATGTGGCATAAACGTCAAAGGGTGATGTTAGAACACGAGAGTTTTGGACCAGATTTTTGTGGAGGTCTGGATACTTGTCAAGAAACCAGTTAGGCAGACTGATTGACATAAATGGAAACCTCTCTTCTAGTTTACCCTGAATTGTCTTTCGCAGACCAGCGAACCGATGCCCATGGTCCCCGAAAATAATCAGCATGGTATTCTTTTCAAATGATTCTCGCTGGAATGTTTGCAAGAAAGTCGTCAGGTCTTCGTCTACATAACCGATCGTATTTACGTCATCATGTGAAATCGAAGCATGAGATGAGAACGCAAAATTAGGCCGGTTCTTGTAACTTCGAAAGAAACTTAACAAATAATTGAGAGATACGTTATGAGCAGGTCTGTTATTGATACATTTTCCATTTAAAAGTTTATCTGTCTCTATCCAGAATGGTCTGGCGAAATGGTCTGTTGGAGGGTCTCTGAAACCATGTAGACGGTAATTAAAGGCTGCATACACTGGAGTGTCTTCCGAGAACATAGTAGCATATCCTTTGTCATTGTAATTTCTGAAAATCCAGCGCCATCTGTCAACAGGTTGTGAGCCGCTCATTCTCCGTCGAGCCTCAGGTTGTTTATTCTCGTCGATTCCAGTGAGCATTCCACACAGCTGCGCAGTGGTGCCGTCCCCTATGATCGTCTCTCCTATCAAACACATAAAATTGAGGCTGAATCGTTTTTAGCGTTTTCAACCCTAACTACAAATTATAAGAAGTTTTGTAGCTAATGATATAGAAATCTGTGAGATTATTCTGTTAACGCTGAAGCCAAAATATGTTAATTCCAATTTACAAACCAAATTGAAAAAAAATCCATAATTGTCGATATTTTCTAAAGAATAGATGTATGAATTTTCATAAATTGGTTAAAAAAAAGGTGGGACGATGAAAGAAAGGGTGACGTAGCAGCTGACTTTGGCTTTCATTTTTTTTTTCCTCTTTTCAAATGATCACATAAAAGTAACTCATGTAGAGAGAATTACATTCCCCACAATCGATCCGAGAAACTTGATAAACTTGCAACCGACCAAGAGCCAGAGAACGTTCATAACACTTCTTCAAAGAATAAAGATTAAAAATTTGTTGGCATAATTTGCGAGAATAGGACCTTGTTTACATTGAGAGCAAGAGCTAATTCATTGTCGGTTTTTAAATATTTTGTCTGTGATGACTTCTTTGCTGGAATTCCCTTGACAGTTACATGTATTCGTTCGTTATTCCAAATCATTTCTGGAGTATTTTTAGAAGTTTAAACCGAATTCCAGACAGGTGTAACTAATATGGCCAAATATCCGTTATTAAATGAAGTAATTAATCCTGAAAAATTGAATTAACGCTTGCTGAACCAGTGATAATCATGTAAAGTAAATACCGGTGGTTAAAATGCAGTTGATTTCCTAATGTACAGGAGAATCCTGTCGGGGAATATCAGTTACAAATTAATTCATTGATTAAATGTCCCAGTAACTATTAATTATGTCACGGAATTGTAAATGATCGCATTAGAGAGTGTGACAGATTTCACAATATTGTAAACAAAGTCCGCAGTTGATTTACCGTAAGGGAGATGCTGTAATTGCATGCGTTAAGTCCGCCTAATAAGGAAGGGCAAACGTGCTTTTGGGTAATAAGAGTTAAATATAGACATATTACAACAGGTTGGCTTGGGAATTTACTGCACTCGTGATTGTAAGGAAACGCTAGCTGGTAGTTACGCAAGGCGAACTGTGAAAGGCTGTAATATATATAGTTAAAGTTAGATTTGGAAGAACGTTTGAACTGTTACCACAAGAGAATTGATAGAATGAATTTTTAGAACGTCGGCGGAGTTCGTCGAAAATAAAACTTGGAAAAGAAGATAGAATACAGTCCTCTTCAATTAATATCGAATTAACCAGCGACTGCGGAGTCCGTATAGATTCCGCGACAAATCCTTGGACCTTTCTCACGGTGAAAGTTGCGACCACAGAATCATCGAAATAAATTGACAGTCGGTCACCTAGCTACCATCTCTTAGTATATTCACGTGTGACTGACGTGTCAAACTGACGATCCATCCCAAAGCAGTGGAACGATCTAACAGCCGTTTATCTCAAAAATAAAACAAGTAATAGAACTATACAAAACTTAACTCACCTTGCAGAAAGACGGTGTTTAAGTTCTTGGTCAGATATTCCAAGCTTTTGGGCAATTTTCTTTTAAAATTAGCGTGTGATGTGGAATCGAACATGATCAGTGCTACATTTAGTGGAATACCACCAGGTTTCTGCTCCCGTTTGAGAACTTCCTTTTTAGGAAACACGTGCATGTGAACGTCACTTTTGGTCTCACCTGAAGATGTCTCGACGTCTACTCGGATGAAGTCGTAATCAACCGATACATTTCCACTGAAGATTCCTGCAGGTGCAAATAAGAACTTATGTAATAACTTGGCTGAGGGCTATGTGTTGTCCAGATACCAATTGGTGTAGTTAGGCGGGGTTAGATGATGAATGCGACCTCCTTTTGGTCAATTAAAAGTGATAATCTATATATATATATATATACATATAAAACAAACAACCAAAGAACAATAAAATGAGCCCAGTATGCTGCCAAAAAGCCAAGACGCTTAAATGTATGTGGGTCCTACTACATGCGGATATTCCTAAAAGTGGGAATGGGGAATGGAGAATAGGAAATGGAAAATAAAGATTGGGGAATGGGGAGTGAGGAATGGAGAATGGGAAATGGGAAATGGGAAATGGGAAATGGGAAATGGGAAATGGGAAATATGAAATGGGAAATGGGAAATGGGAAATGGGAAATGGGAAATGGAAAATGGAAAATGGAAAATGGAAAATGGAAAATGAAAATGGAAATGGAAAACGAGGAAAGGGAAACGGAAAACGGGAAACGAAGAACGGGGAACGGGGAACGGGGAACGCTTACTTGAAAAGTAAGACAAGTGCTTTGTCTGATCGAAACTTCTCTACCAGGAAAAATCTTTATAATAATAATAATAATAATAATAATAATAATAACAATAACGGTTTAATATCAGTACATCCATGGTATGGCTCTTCGCCTGATGTAAAATAAAAAGAAAATAATTAATAAATAAAAATACATAAATCTGAATTATGAATTTATAAAATGCTAGGTAATAAACAGTAAAATGTAATTATACAATATATACATTATTTAAAACTAGGCAAGAAATTATTCCGCCCTATTCCGGCAGCGCTCTCTTAAAATACACAATGTTTGCTTGCTGAAGGATTTAAAATTATCGCAGCATTTAACATTGGATAGCAGAGAATTGAAGAGGGCTGCCGCGCTATACTGAAAAGTGTCCGAGGCATATGGAATAACTAGATTTATGGTATTTGATTACCGTAAATTTCTAGCATGTTTTACTTGCTCAAGCTGAAGGTTTCTGGGCCAATCATGAGAGTATATAACTTTGTGTGCGGCCTTTAGAACATGCCATTCTCTACGTTCTTTCATAGGCAACCAGCCTAACTTAAGAATAGAGTCAATATTGTTCACACAGTGTCCAAAAACAAAACTGACTGCCGCAAACCGGATGTGCTGCAACCTTTTTAGAAGGCAATCAGTAATTGGATGGAATAGTATATCATTAAAGTCTAGGAGAGATAGAACCAGACATTCAACTAAATGTTTTCTCAGATGGTAGTTTGTAAAGTTCTTGATTTTCCTCAGCGCAGCTAGGACACCATAACAAGATGAGGCGAGATGCTTAACATGATCATCCCATTTCAAGGTGTCAGTCATGTGAACCCCAAGTAATTTAGTAGAATGAACGAGCTCGAGGGGTTTATCTCCTACAGATAAATGTATAGGACGTTCAGCCAGAGAATGGTAAGACGACATCTGAGGAGTTGAGAACAACATACACTTAGTCTTTGCAGGGTTCAGTGCTAAGTTGGAGTCCTGGGACCAGTTTGTGATACTACAAGAGTCTCATTCATGTCCAAAGCTCTTGAGTCTAACTCCTTGACATTAAAATGGCTGTACAGTGAGGTGCCATCCGCATACTGGACGCATTCCATCGATGATGGAGTAACCTCGTGTAGATCTGATACATATAAGTTAAAATCATCGGTCCCAGGATGGACCCCTGTGGAACGCCATACTGAGATGACTGGTACGAGGACTTCCTATCGTCGATCTGCACGGACTGGGAGCGGCCAGATAGATAGCTCAAGAGCCACTTGAGAAAGGGTTTTGAGAAACTGAGCTTGTAGAGCTTCACGATGGTCGCGCTAAAGGATATGGCGTCAAAAGCCTTCGCGAAATCGGCTAACACCATAATTTCGTCTCTAACTCTTAGCAAGGCTGTAGTGGTGGAATGACCTTTACGGAAAGCAGAGATGCGATCGTGAAGAAGATGGGCGTGGTTCGCATAATTCGTCATTTGAATAGCCACAAGCTTCTCGAAGATTGGATGAACTGAGATGGCCGAAGTTGATCAAGCGGGTTATATCTTTGGAACTGTAGACACCCGAGCAATCTTCCATTGCTTTGGAAAATAAGCTTTCGCAATGCAATTGTTGATGATAGATGCTAGGGGGACTGCCAAGCAGTCAACAACCATCTTGATGAAGCGGGTAGGTATCTGATCCGCGCCCGTAGAACAATCCGATCGTAGATTCTTGATGACCTGGAGAACGTTCTCACTGGTGACAGGTGATAGCTGAAAACGCATACTCCCTGACGGGACGTCAGGCAGGTTATCTATCAGGCCCGTGAGATCCTCTATTGATCCTCATAGGCGCTAGATCCTCTATTCTCCAGTGTTCTCTGAGCAGTCGTAGCGAAGAAATCGTTAAGTTCGTCCGGATCAAACCGCAGGGGCCTTGCACTAGGCTTTAGCACTCTGTGGATGACTTTCCAAACCTCGCGCGACTTATTTGAATAGAGAGCTTTTTCAATAAATGCCTTCCGCGCAGTTCTTATTGCCGACTTTAATTTATTCCTGACCGAACGACACTCATGCCAAGCGGCATCAATGCTAGTCTGGTGAGCGGTAAATCTAGCAGAATCCCGTTTCTTCTGGAATTCCTTTATCAGTGGGTCCTTCATCCATGGGGCGGGTGGTCGCGTGACGCGAACCTTCCGCAAGGGGCCGTCTCTCTCAAGACACTCGGAAACTAGTGTATTCAGTGTCTCTAGTTGTTCGTCTGGATCATCTGAGTAGTATATAACAGACAGAGGAGAAAAGTCCTCTAGGTGAAAGAATATTGTGAAAGACTTTACCACTGTGTAAGGGTTAGATTTTGGCGCGCACAGAAAGCTACGTAAGCATAGGCGCTAGTTGCTCGACATACCTGCGTGGCCTGTGCGACGAAATAACTTCACGGAATTGGCAAAGTTTCAGTCACAGCAAATTATACGAGAAATCTAGAAAGATTTAGACTTACATCTCGTCTAACGTTTAAAGCGACATATTAACGCCTGCAACCATTATATTTTATACGAACCTCGCAAACTTTTAAATACGTTCTCTTGTGATGCCTGCGAAAGTATTCAGTATAATTTCTGGTAAGATTTTCGCGGACAATCTGATCGATTTCCCTTACATTGTGTGCTGAGACTGAAACTTTTTCCCCGGGCAAAGCTTCGTCGAACGGCCCAAACAAACAAGGCGAGCAACTGAGCTTCTTGTACATATCCGTGTTAAAACACACGAAAGGACTCTGAAGCATACTTCACTCTGATTGGGCAGAAAAACACAAAGGTTTTCTGGGACCAATCATGACGTGCACGACAGTCGTAAGCGAGTGGTAGGTTTGATTTACACGATACAATTCGTGTCGTTTGGAAGCTTGTCGCATGCGACAAAGTCGTACCGTGTTGTAAGACAATGTCCCCAGGGGCTCTTCCGCCCTGACTTGAAATCGACTCACAGCCCCTGGGTCTCCGAGGATGTACTGGGCCCGGATTCACAGAAATATCACCACTCCGGATCAATAGCCTTTGTGTTGCAATGGAGTTGCTGTAATAAGTAACCGGCGTTTTTTAATATCGCGGACGCTTGTGCCTTTGTTTACATCGATGAGAGCTGGACCATATAGAATCCATTGTAGCGAAGGCGAGACAATTTGATCCAGACCACGAACGACTATCCCTTGGGACACCGCAGTTTAGCCATATGCAAATGTCGAAAGACCAATGTTCGAATATCCAAGTTCGAGCTGAGAAACTTCTTCCTTCGTATAACCACTTGAACCAAGACCATGCCAAGAAAATTGTACTATTGGCAAGTGCATCGACTTATAAAACACGGGAACAAACTTCAGCGCCGTAAAATGGATATTTAAAAGGAAAATAAGACATAACACGGAGACTAAAAATCCGTGTCTATACGTCGACTATACGCCATTATTGACACAGTTCCGATCCCTCTCTATTACTTTCTAAAAATAAAATGACAACTTTTTTAAAATGGATATTCAAGTGTCCGTTCGTTTGTAATTCGTAATTAGGTAGTGACTTGAACTCTGAAAAATTCAAGCACTTAACGGCTAACATTTTTGAAACCTATAATTTACTAATTTTCAAACAAACACTAAAACAGCTTTTTCACTAATCACAACAAATTTAATTTCACCTATCACTTGTTAATGAAACGATTTAACTTTGGTTTTACATTATTCTTCAAGTGTACACCTCTTTCATTATCATCAATTTATTCTGTTCCTTAATTTTGCCTCTGCACGTTTTTGAAAGAAAGTGTAAATATCGATAATCAACGCTGAAAATATTTAATCCGCATTATAAACTTAAAATATATAAAAAAATGAATTTGCCATTTTCAATTTCCCATTTCAATTTCCCATTCCTCATTCTCCATTTCCCATTCTTGCTTTGTGTAAAATCCAGTATTTTAGTAACAGACTCTACGTTGGTTTTAGGTCACTATGGTGCGTTATCAGAATAGAAGTTACTATGCAACCTATATTTCTGTTTTCAGAACACAATGTGAACTGAAATAAACCGTCGTAGGGGCATTCGCCTCAAGACAATCCATATAACATATCTAAAATTTTGGAAGTTTCAAATGACGCATTGCATATAAGAAAAAAATTATAATGTTAACTTTTTTTACTGTTTACATAATTGAGACGCTCTAATTTCGGGAGGAACCGGTTCTGGAGAGCCAGTACAAGTATCGCTGAGTACAGAAAATTATGCTGGACAAGAAAATTTACATACGACACGTCGACACAAGGATGTAGTCAGCGTAGCGTTTTGGGTTTCCAAAGAATTCGATGCTAGAGAACTATTTTTCGTATCCAACATTGACTGGAGACAAGAGAATATCTCTTGCTCACGTTGGTTTCGTAGAGTGTTGCATTGTCTCACTTTGGCGTGACAGTAAGGGTCATCTACGTCAGAACAGTTTTATGTTTGCTTAATATGGAATATTACTAAGAAAATTCCATGTCTGTTTAGTTATTCCAAGTGATTCTAAAATTACTTTTTCTTTTAGGGCCCCATGCGGAAAAGTTGTTTATTTAGACAAGTTTTATGTCATCACGAACATTTTACCAGTGCGAATGGTTTGTCGCGACTTGTCCACTTGCTGCGACTTGTCCTCTTGCAGAAGAGGACAAACCTTCATACGCACCGCCGACAAAACTTTTCCGTTGGAAACTGAGCAAAACCGACTGCATAAACAAAACCGAGTGTAATTGAACTAAAATCAGTTTACTAGAAAGGCAAAAAAATTGTCTTTTGAGGCAAAACTCGAAGATTCTCAACTTTTAAAACGACTGAGGATAAATCCTGAAAATTGGAGGTAGTTGTCGGCACTTGAAGAGACTGCCGGGCACGATCTCAAATAGACTAAACGCCCGGGAATCGGAAATATCCACCGAATTTCGAGTAAACATTTTTCACGAAGCATAAATTTGAATATGTTGTTCCGTGTTATTTTTGTGGAGCTGTTTAATTCAGTGCAACGTGGAACTTTACTCGTCACAAACATATTTATCTCAAGTAACAGCTCAAATATCTCACCTTTCTGGTCTGTCGTTGACGCTCGACTCCCGCTCTTGTTTGGAACTTTAACTGGATCCGAAAGAACCACACGAAAATCGTTCCCCTCAGGCCTTTCGATCTTTCTGTATTGTGCGGAGACGATGCCTTCGCCTTCAACTCGAAGCACGTTGTCTTCGAAACTAGAATAACTGACACCAACGCAACTGAGTTTGCCAAGATCTTTTATAAAGTTAACCACGCTGGGGTGAAATGGATCTAAAACGGGCAGCTTACAAGCGGCAGGATCATAGGCTGCTCTGTTCTTGGGAACATTCACTAACATTTGATTACGAAGTTTCGTGACTTTCGTGTTTGATGTTCTCAAATTGAAACCTCCATAAAACACAAGTGCTAACGATGTAAGACTAACAATGCCCAGTGATAAAGCGAAGCAACGAAAGTTGAGCCATCTAACAATAGAGCTGAAGGTAAAGGTCTTCTGAAAAAGCCTTTTAGGCATACTTTCCGCAAAATATTCCGCTAAAAAAAATGGGAAGAGAGCACAAACGCTTTCGCAATTTTAAGTATCATACGACGTGTACGTGATTAGCACCCAGTCTCAGCGGGTTGAATTACTATGAAAGGTAATACTTTTAATGGTTTACTTAGGTCCTGTGTGAGACCCCAGGTAAGTGAAGTAACCCGCCTAGCCGTGGTCGGAAAATAAAACGCGTTTACATACAATCTTACAACCCCGGGGTGCTGGGGTGAGATTTCTTGAGGTTGTTGTTGCGCTTGCAGTTAAGGAGTTTAAGCAGAGGCGTCCTAAGCTCACATCTCGAGAAAGACGAAAGATTAATTCTCGGACACATGTATTTATTCTTGAAAGCGTCACGCGTTGTGTTACGCAGTGTTAGGTTACACGATGAACCGTTGACTAATACGTTATACGGAATAGTTTGGGAAACGAAATATGGTCGATTTACAACGCTAAGTATTCCGAAATGTGAACATTTTACACTCTTTGTGTTTCCGTTGCGGTTTCTGGCGATTTCTGCCATCAAACGGCTAGGAAATGAACAAAGTTTTAAAACACAAATGTATCGCTTTTGAGCTTTTTGCCATGAACGCGACCCCAGCTAGGCGGGTTACCCCTCCTTGAGACTCTTCCATGGCAAATTGTCACCCCGGCTGACAGGGATACCCTACCCGACAGACCGGACAACCCGCCCAGGTGGGTCACCCCACCTATCATGTAAACGTGATCGAGATAAATATATGTTATTTGCCGGCTGGGAGGTTACAGTTTTTCGCCATACGGACCGACCTATAGCTGGTAAATCACATATTTATTTTTTAAACTTAACGAAATTCTTTCCGAAAGAACCCGAATGATTTAGGGCTGTAAATATGGCAAGATCTTCCATAAACTGAACAATTAATATTCAGATTAATTCAAGTTGAGAGTTGTTTTTATTTCCAGCTCAAACATTAAGCCGGAACAATTCTAACAATTTAACAATTAGTTATTTCCGGTTCAAACGATAAGCCACTGTAGTTGATTCGGACACTCATTTTCACATGTGAGTTCAAGTCCGCATTGATCTCCAGGTGGTCACTCTCACAGAGGGACATAATGGCTTTAAAGTCCCACTTCTTCAGCCTAAATCGCTTTCAAAAGGTTACTTCGAGGGCCTACCCAGTTTTGCGTGGAGTGAGATTGGTAAGGGAAACTTTGGATCGGTGATGAAAGGCAATTGCGCTCCTAAGGGTAAAGTTGCTATTGTTAAGCGATTCTTTGGAGAGGGGGATTCTCACTTAAAGAATATTGCAAAGGAGGAAAAACTGCTTAAGAGCTTGTGCCATTCGAACATTACGCAATTTATGGGCGTTTGTTAAAAGCCAGCGACAATAATGATAGAGTACGAGTGCTTCGATTTTAGTACCTTCTGCCTCAACCATCAAATATCCAATCTGCTGGAGTTTTTAAACACTCTTGATGGGATTGAGGGCCAACTTGAAGCCTTTGAGCATTTCTTACCTGTTTTTCCGAAAGCTGCGTCGCGGAGGGACACTGTTGTCTTCATTCAAATAATACCCATCATGCATCGTGACCTAAAACTAAGCGACGTGTTGGTCAGCAAGCAGCACTACTGTAAAAAGATATCAGTGCGGATCAACGGCCAAGTGTCTTTGCCGACTGTCCAGTGGTTTGTACAAAATAATCTTTCTTCAGCGAATTTTGAAACAGCCTCTAAAGGTAAGAGGAAATGTAAACCCGGAGCAAAATTATATCTAGTGGGGATACTTGTCAGCAAGCGGAAATCGTCGAACTAAGAGTATTATCATACAGAGCTGCGCACAAAACTATTCAAGGGCTAAAATGACTTTATTTTATTTAAACTCTACACAGGATGATGAGTATCTGGTAAAATGGAAAGACTGGTCGATTCGTCAACATCTTCCCGGCTGCGATAAATTTTTGCTGGACTGCTAATTCGAAGATAGACCGCAGTTTTTTGCCTCTCACGATCGCTCAATAAATCAGACACACACAATTGCCAAGCGGAAAATGTCACAACTACCGACGCGACCCACGCACGTACGCCTACACATCCTTCCGCTGAGTTCCGCATAGTATATTTTCCAGCGTTGTAAACAGTGGACTGCTGATTTTATGACCAGCGTATTTTCGTACACACTATAATAAATCTCCTATGAAGTATCTACAATATAAATGCCCGACTACATTTTAGCCTACGTGTAGCCGTACCCTTCCCCGGCAAAGGTGGAACGGAGGCGAGGCAACGTCTACGCAAACCTGACACTAATCGTGTTCCGTGACGTCACTGTGAAGTATGCAAAATAATGTCACTTGATGTTTTTTTTTGGCGAAGTGACACGTGATAGCGTGAAGGTTATTGAGATAAACAACAAAATACAAGTGAATACATTTCCCATTTTTCAGGTAATACCAGAGTTAAGATACCAGAGTTGAAGAGTACAAGGTGTACGTACAAGGCGTACGTAGCTTTTGAATAGATTTTTGTTGTTACTCGCTTTCACCATATGCACCTGGTTGTCGGCACTTTTTTTATTTATTACATGGTTTTTTTAGGTAAATATAAGTGTTAATGGTCTTTCTGGAAACATTGGTTTTCATGGTAGATAGCAGCTGAGTTTATACTCGTAACTTTAATTTCTTTTCATGCGATGGTTTCCAAACCAATCTTGCATAGATAAGCAGAAACTTTTAATTGCTTTTCCGTTTTTATTTCCTGAGCTGCGCTACTGCAATTAAGATAGGTATTGTTTTCTATATCAGAGCTGTAAATTCGCACCTAAGTTTCCTACGTTAATGGCCTAGAGTTTATTGCATCCGTCTTTTTAATTTTGAGATTCTTTCCGTCGTGGAAACAGATGGAATATTTAAGTAGTTTTCGTTCAACTTCAAAGAGACTTTTTTCCGCTTCTTTGTGTCCTTATTCAAATATTGCAATTTGTGTAACAATAGCACTTCACAATAGTTACTTCTTAAGCAAGTACCTTGTACAGCTTTGATGATTACAAACTAGAGTATGCTAGAGGTCATGTCGCTTGTTGGCCTGACCTAGAATAAAAGTGCTGTGGAACCAAAGATTGTCTTATCCTTGACGTCCGTATAAGCTCGCTCGAAGTAGATCTCCGTGTACCAGGAAATCGTGACGAGTTTCTGTTCTCGCTGCCGAGTCGTCTCTACAGAGTTATTTTCCCCCAGTTGTCATTGTGCCGTCCGCGAAGATCCAGGCCCCCATTTTGGCTTACCCCGACTTCACGCTTCCCTTTGACCTCTACGTTGATGCGAGTGATGAAGCTCTTGGAATGGTTTTAGGACAAGTACAGAACGGTCGTGAAGTTGTAATCTCGGTCATGAAGTTGTGCTCGTTGGGCTGTACTCCTCCAGCAATACGACTTTAACATTGTTCATCGTTCAGGTAAAAGCAATGGAAACGCAGATGCCCTCTCTATACGAGATTATGATAACCTTATCGCCCCTCTTGATAAGGGTGGAGTCCAAACGGAGAAGATTCGCGACCTACAGCGCAGGGACCCCGCCCTTGCCGATATAATTGAGTACCTGGAGTTCGAGGAGCTTCCCAATGACAGTAAAGCAGCCAAGCAGTTCTTGTATACGATTGAACAGTACTACCTAGATCCTGAGGGAATTCTGTGCCACATTTGGGTTCCAGAGGGTAAACGGTCGTCCACACCCAAATCACAGCTCGTAGTTCCCGCCTCGCTACGCCATGAGATACTTGTAAACGTACACGATCTCCCAACTGGTGGTCATCTGGGAGTAAACAAAACTTATGCTCTTGATAAGGGTGGAGTCCAAACGGAGAAGATTCGCGACCTACAGCGCAGGGACCCCGCCCTTGCCGATATAATTGAGTACCTGGAGTTCGAGGAGCTTCCCAATGACAGTAAAGCAGCCAAGCAGTTCTTGTATACGATTGAACAGTACTACCTAGATCCTGAGGGAATTCTGTGCCACATTTGGGTTCCAGAGGGTAAACGGTCGTCCACACCCAAATCACAGCTCGTAGTTCCCGCCTCGCTACGCCATGAGATACTTGTAAACGTACACGATCTCCCAACTGGTGGTCATCTGGGAGTAAACAAAACTTATGCCAAGCTTCGCGAGCGTTATTTTTGGCCCAAGATGTACATAGATGTTCAACACTGGTGTTTGAGTTGTGAGCACTGTGCAATGAAGAAGACCCCAAGACAGCGACAAACTTCGCCATTATTCCCGATCCCCGTTGAGGCACCGTTCGAGAAAGTAAGCTGTGATATTAGTGGACCATGGCCAGTAACTCACGACAACAACCGCTACATTCTGGTCTTCATTGACATGTGCACCAAGTGGCCTGAAGCCTTCGCCATTCCAAATATTGAGGCAAAAACAGTTGCTGAGATCTTCGTGAAGGAGATTGTTAGTCGTCACGGTGCGCCACGCGTGCTCTTGTCAGATCGCGGGTCTAATTTCCTTTCCAGTCTGTTCCGAGAAGTCTGCTTCTTAATGAACACTGAGAAGATATTTACTAGTGGATACAGACCACAGACTAATGGTTTAGTCGAGCGATTCAATGGCACCTTAGCTCAGAGTCTTTCCATGTACGTCAAAAAGGACTGGGATCAACATTTGAATTCCGTCCTATTCGCCTATAGAGTTTCACCCTCAGAAGTCACTGGGGAATCCCCCTTTTACATGTTGTATGGCCGAGAACCCCTACTGCCTATGGACACCGCCTTGATTCCACCTAGGGAAATGTCTGTGTCCGTCGCCGAGCACAGAGTTCGTGTTGTCGAGCATGTGGAAAGAGTTAGGCGAATTGCCGCCGAGAATACCCAACGAGCACAACAGAAAATGAAGGAACTCCATGACCTTACTGCCTCGTCACCACCTTTCGCTGTCGGAGATAGGGTCTGGGTTTATACTCCTAAGAACCGAAAGGGGCTCTCCAAGAAGTTAGCTCATAACTACCATGGCCCTTATCGTATCGTCGAGTTCCTTTCCCCCGTCCACTGC